GAATTATAAAATGATATTAATATTTAATTGTATTAATTATTATTATATTAGTATTAATGTAATATATCATAATTAATATAATATAATTATAACATCATATTATATAATAAAATAATAATAATAAAATTATTAATATAATTATGATATTATTTATTACAATATTACAACTATATTATATTATATCATATTGTTGTATTATCATATTACATTATATATATTATATTATAAGATATAATTACATTATAATATATAATATATTATTATAGAATATTAAATAAATATATTATAAGCTATTCTTTTAATGTGAGGAAAGAATGATAACTAACCCAAAATAAGTAAATGGTAATTTTTTTCATAAATTTAATTAAACATCATTATTAATTTTTATTTCATTCTATTCATTTTCTTTCTACTCAACCAAACATACCCTTAAGATGGCAACATTTTTCATTCATAAAAAAAAGAGTTAAATTCATTCATAAAAAAAGAGTAAAATTCAAGTAATTATTAATTAACAAATACATTCTTCAACGAACTTCTATTTTTAATTGTAAAATAGAAAAAGACAGCTAGACTGTTACCGGTAGCATCGTGAGTGCAGGGACGAAGCCACTACATGCCCACCCAACTTTTTTTTATTTGCAATTTTATATGTTCATTTATGCCAAATATATAGATAGCCCTCACTAAAAGTTAAAAACTTTCTTTGTTCCCTCACAAATTAAGAAGGAAAAAATTATTGCTTTTTTTTTTTTAAATTTTTTTATTTTTTATAACTCACAGAAATCTTTTTTTTTTTTTTTGGCTCCCCCACTGATTAGCCCCCTGACTAAAATTTTGGCTTCGTCACTGCGTGAGTGGCAACGTTTTCAGAGCAAAAATTGTTGTAGTCCGCTATTGATATTAAAACAAAGCTCTCTCAGATTTTTTTTTTTTTTTCAATTCTTTTTTTTTTCCCATTGTTGTAGTCCGCTATTGATATTAAAACAAAGCTCTCTCTGTTTTTTTTTTTTTTTCAATTCTTTTTTTTTTTTCATATATTTTAAATTCAGATAATCATTTCTAAGGTCCAAGCTATTCTTCTTCTGAACTCCAATGGCGGAGACGACTTCAGCGCGAGAGATTACTCTCTTCTCTCCTTACAAGATGGGAAAGTTCGATCTCTCTCACAGGTCAGCCCCTCCGATGATCTTTTTTTTTCCTGTTCTTTTTTTGGACGATATTGTCCTCGCTGGTTCGGAATAATTACGGTGCGTTGACGAGGCGACAGGGTGGTGCTGGCGCCGATGACGAGGTGCAGGGCGCTGAACGGAGTGCCGCAGGCGGTGATGGCGGAGTACTACGCACAGAGGTCTACTGCCGGCGGATTACTCGTCAGCGAAGGGACTTTGATGTCCAGCACGGCGGCGGGGTAATTCTCGTTGCTTTTCCAGGGCTTGTCAATGTGTGGGATTCGGTACTCTTTGTGGTACTGGTTCATCGTTAAGTTCTTGATTGGGTCCACTTTTGTCCCAAGTGAGCTCTTTTTTTCTTAATTTCACCGATTCAACTCTTTAATTTCAGATTTATTACCATTAAAAAACTCTCAAAAAATTATATTTAACTTTTTTTTATAGTTAAAATTTTTTTAAATAAAATTATATTTTAATTTAAATTAAAAATTATGAAGCCTAATCTTTTAACGGTTAGAGCCTAATAATAGTGCTTCAGTGTACACGTTGGACAGTATTTTAGTATGTGATATTTATATTTTTATGTCCTATGTTTTAAATCTATTTAAAATTTATGTTTATATTTTTAATTTTTAATCTCATTAAAAGTATACTTTTAAATTATATTTAATATATGAATTTATACCTTATTTCGGTCAATAATTGATTTTAATTTTTAAAATGACCAAATTATTTCAAAAAAAATAGAGAAAAGAAACTAAAACTTTCTAATATTACAAACAATAAAAATTGAAAACACAACAAAATCTATTTCAATGTTATTTTATATATTTTTGAGGTCAAAACTGTAAGTTTAAAGTTTTTTTAGTTATTTTTTATCTTTTTAATTCAAGGGTATTTTAAGTATCTTAAGGTTAAAATCAAGAGTTGGCTGTGAAAATGTATAAATTTGACTATTAAATCTAATTTGAAGATATACATTTGACGAGATTAAAAATTAAAGATATAGGTCGTGTTTGGAATTGATCACATTTTTGTTTTTCACGTTTTTCGAGAAAGAAAAAATAAAAACGTTTTCAAAACGGCTTTTGACGGAATAAAGATAAAAAACAGAAATGAAAATGATTTTTTAGTTTAGTATAAAATAAGAGAGAAGTGAAAAACAAATTTTAATCATTTTTTATTTTTTATTTTCGTTTCCTCCTCTCTCGAGCAGAGAGAGAGACATTAATGAGTTTTTTATACTGAAAATAATTTCTTGATAAAACTACCAAACACATTTTTAAAAATGATTTTTGTCTGAAATTAAAAACGTTTTTATTTTTATTTTCATACGAAAAATAAAATCATTTTAGAATGAGTTCTAAACATGTCCATAATTTTTGAATAAATCTAAAACACAATATATAAAAAGGTAAATATCCCCTTTTAGTATTCAGCTAATAAAAGTTTGACTAATAGTTCAAAGGTTTTAATTGCATATGGCAAAAAGGGAAAAAAAAAGTTTTGTTCAATGTTTCCATTTTAATCGAAAATCTACTCCAAGTAATCTTTTTTTTTTAGTTTTTTGCTTTTGTTTGGATGAGAAAAATGGTTACGTTTTCTTTTTTTAAGTTGAAAATCATAATAATATTTTGGTCGAGTGAAATAGTACTATCCCTTCTTTTATTTGTATGGTTTGATGGCTCAGTTATTAATTTAGGTTCTCTGAAAAAAAAAAAAAAAAAAAAACAAAAGAAGTACTACTGGTTGATTTTTCCAGGTATAATTAGTGCAATGCTATTGGATATTAATAATGTTAGACATTACAATTCACACAAAATTCACCTTATATGAATTGTAGCGTCACTGTTAAAAGTACACTTATATTTTCTTAAGCGAAGAGATAAAAAGCGTATTTTCTTTATGCATAATTTCCGATGGTGGAGGCAGGTTCCCACATGTGCCCGGAATTTACACAGAGGAACAGGTGGAGGCATGGAAGAAGGTTTTGGATGCCGTTCATGCTAAAGGCGGCATCATGTTCTGTCAACTTTGGCACGTTGGTCGCGTATCTCATCAAGGTATACCACACACCCATTATTTTCCTTACCAATGTTTTTCATTACTTCGAGTTTGTTAGATATAATATTATTATTGACCGATTTCTCATCAATTAAAGTTTTTAGGACAGACTAGTAACTAACAGAGTATTTCTAGTCTGGTTATTTTTACTCACATCAATTGAAATTTACAATTAGATCAATGGCTTGACATTAATTTTTGGTAGGATTAAGTTCATTTTAACCACTTTTTTTTTTTTTTTTTGTTGGTGATGGTACGTGTTAAAATGGTAAATTTGATCACCATTGATATGTATTGTAGTTTATCAACCTGGTGGGGGATCACCAATATCGTCAACAAACAAGCCCATTTCAAAGTTTGAGAGTTCTGTTGCCAGATGGGTCTTACGTGCCATATCCAAAGCCTCGTGCCTTGGAAACCCATGAAATACCAGGGGTGGTGGAGGATTATCGCCGCGCAGCCATAAATGCCATTCGAGCAGGTCAGTTGTATTCGTGATAATGTGTGTTTTGTTTTGCTAATGGTGATCAAAATATGTGTTTAGTCAGCTTCATTTTACGTTTATTATGCCTTTGAGTCGGTTCATGTTCCAACTTCTTATGATTTTGTTACTCTGGTCTCTGAGTACGTACGTAGTCACTAATCTCATTTTTTTTTTTTTTCCATTTTGGAACTATGATTTTGTATGAAGACGAAGAATTAGATGACCAAATTCCTCATTACCAAGAGTACCAGAATCGGAAACATACAATCAAACTAGAACACATAAAATTTATAGTTCACCGGTAATATTAGAGTTATGTTTATTTTCAGCCGCCATAAAAATTTTACTGTAATGAAAAATAAGATCATAGAAGCACCACACGGCACAGGCCCCACATCTTTTGTTCTCTAACTTCTCTAATAACCGTTAAACCATCGCTCCCAAGTCCCGACATTAGTATAATTAGGGATACTGAAAATAGATGAGTGCCCCCCTTTCTAACCTTTATTTGCTCGTGACTCGTCATTGTTGATAAAAATATTGAAAGTTTGTATACTAGTACTTTTCTTCTTCATTACATTGGTTGGATCATCGTGTTGAAATGGATAGGTTTGATTTGTATAAGCTCGAGAATGGTGTATCAGGGACATTGTTTTGCTATTTCAACCATGAATTGCATTTCAAGAAAAAAAAAAAAAAAGAGCTTTCAGCAGATCTTGGTCATGTTCATATTCACAGGTTTCGATGGAGTTGAAATCCATGGCGCACATGGCTACCTGATTGACCAATTCTTGAAAGACGGGATCAATGATCGAACAGACGAGTATGGTGGATCCATCGACAACCGGTGCAAATTCTTAATGCAGGTGGTACAAGCAGTGGTTTCTGCCCTTGGTGCTGACAGAGTTGGAATTAGAATTTCACCTGCAATTGATCACCTTGATGCCATGGACTCCGACCCGGTCGGCCTAGGCTTGGCAGTGATTGAGAGGCTTAACAAGTTCCAACTAAACAACGGATCACAGCTCGCTTATCTCCATGTGCAATTGATCACAGCCTATGTCGAGGCAGAATCAGGCAGACCTGGCAGCGAAGATGAAGTGGCTCTCCTAATGAGGACATGGAGAAATGTTTACCAAGGAACATTCATTTTTAGTGGCGGCTTCACTCGGGAACTCGGTATGCAAGCTGTAGCCAATGGCGACGCGGATTTGGTATCATACGGTCGCCTTTTCCTCTCAAATCCTGATTTAGTATTGAGATTTAAGCTTAATGCTCCTTTGAATAAGTATAACAGGAAGACCTTTTACACTCAGGATCCTGTTATTGGGTACACTGACTACCCTTTTCTTCAGGAATCACGTTCACGTATTTGATTGGGATATTTTTCGGAATTATTTATGTTATTGTAGATTGCTGGTGGTCATTGTCTGTTGTGGAACTCGATTTAAGTACTACTTTTAGATTAAGAGTTTGTAATGTAATGTATTTGTGAGAATTTGGACCAAAAACCGAAATTGAAAATACCAGAAGAATCTGAAGAATAAATCGAACGGACTAAACATGCGAATGAAGAAAAGGAATTTCTGAAAAAACTCGATTGGAAATTTATTGACAGCAAAACAACTTCTCAAGTCTTTACACCCTCAAGAAATCCTTTCACGCTCACACTACACAGTGACAGAGTACACAGTTTTTCTCTCTCTACAAGATTGCCCCACAGACAAAAGAACAAGACTTTCTCTCACTAAACTGACTTTTATATCTAGCCCCAAAACAGAATCAATAGCACTTATTCTGTTGATATTTTTCCAACCAACCGCCTATTTAAGAAATCTAGATTCTCTGTAAGCTTGTACACTGAAACTCCTCTGTAGACCAAGTCAGCACACCTGCTGCTACGTCATAATGCCACATTACCAGCTGAAATAGCAGCCACATCATCACGACAGTATTGAATGAAGGAATAAATAAAAGCCTAGAGTAGAAAAATTACTGTTTTGCAGAGACTCCTTGAAGAATGGAAATTAGCATATATAGTGAAATAATTAGTATTGTGTTTTAAGTACTGTAGCTTTATCTGAAATCAATCTATCAAATTAATTTTTACTTTTCTGCAAAGACTTCTTCAAGCTTCCAAAGAAAAGAGAGTTTGGAGTTTGCTTGAAATTAATGTGGATTATTTCAACTAAAATGAGTTCACATATTAATGAATTGCCCACCTAAGTTTCTGAAGAATAAGAATTGTCTCACTTTATCTAATACAACTTAAAATGGAATGAAATTCACTTTAAATTTATTATAAGTTACAAGTTTCGTAATTCTCTCTCAGTTTCTTTTAATGATTTTTAATTACACATATTGTGAAATCACGAGCAACCCCAGAGAAAAATGAACAATTGAATACAAAGCCAACGAATTAAAACACCAAGAACAGAGAACCAAGTTTCTGGAAAAAACCTCTCAAGCTTTATTCAATGAATGGAATTAGAATACCAAGAAAAACAAATCTTTGTACAATACATCAACTAGACTTTTTTTCTCTCTAGTCCCAAAGCACCCAGAAACTTCAACCTTTTTCTTTCTCTGGAACTCTCTATCGAAGAATAGAGAAAACTGCTTTTTTAATCTATTTTAACAAAACGTTGAAACTGTTCAAATGATAAAGACAAAACTACCCTTATCACATAACCAGTACTAATCCCACCTAAGCTTCTTGACACCACTCTAAGTGTGCCACCTGGATTTACACATATGTTATGTAACTAGTTGAAAAACGTCACTTTTATAAAGGTTTTAATCACGATCACCCTGTTAATACATGTGATTATAATTGTTATAAAATTGACGATTCACTAATAAAAGTATCAAAATTACAATTCATGATAAGCTTGATAGAAAATTTTGTGTCATGTTATGTCAAATTGAAATTAACCCACCACTTCCCACTGTAAAAAGTGTCTCTTTGTCCTGTTAGTTAATATCATAACTTAATTTGGACTTTAGCTCTTATTTATACACAACTTTATTTCTACAAAAATTTAAAGAAAAAAATACTGGCAAAATATTCCTATCCTTCTTTACAACACAGAATAAACAGGATGCATATTAGGATAGAACAATCTAAAATTCTGCTCCACACCATCAGGTTTCAGGTTCTCGTTAAACATGGCGAAAGTGAAGCCTTCCATAAAACCTCCAGGACGTTTTGGTGTCCCAGTGTTGGATGAGATATGATTCACGAAGTTCTTGTTGTATATGTCCATGCAAGCGCCGGACTCGTGTAGCCACCATTGCCGGCGGACGGTCAGCCACTCTCTGATACCACAATATCCACGTCAGTCACTCCGTCTCTTTCCATCGCCCAAATGAATGCATCAACAATGGCGTCAAACAATTTGTAGTAGCTCATATTCCCGTCCTGAACGACCGGACTCCTTGCGGTAAACTGGGCGTAATCCAGTCGGACATTTGCTGGATCCGATGCGTTGGCGAAGTAAGGATACACGTTGATCATGATTGGTGATCCTTGAGTTGATAAGAACCTGTGAGAAGAAAATAAGTGTTACGTACATGAGTTAAAACTTGGAAAAATAAAGATAAATATCACTAATGATAATCAAAAGTCGCATATCATACTGCAGACCTGATTTTTGTGTAAAGGGAGCTTGTGGTGTTTTGAGATTAGAGTTTTTTTTTTTTTTTTTTTTTTTTTTTTTTTTTTTTTTTTAGAGTTTTTTACAGTGAATTGACAAGTAATCTCATGAAATTTTAATTTTAATAAAGTATTCTGTGAATTGAATAAAATATTACAGCATGCTCCGAATCAATAAAAGATGTTATATTTTAGGAGGAAAAAAAACTTCATGTACATGTCTTGACGTGCTTTGTGCTCATTCGAATTGTCAGTTTATGTCTTCAAACAAGTTCTGATCATAACATGTATGATAAGATTTCCGTCCAAATTTCAATATTTATTAATAAATTTTGAAATACTTTACAATATTTTATTAAATTTGAAAGGTTATTATTTCTCAAATTAAAATTTTAGACAGCAACTTGACAAACTTTGAAAAATTCAGGGAGAAAAATATCAAATACCCTACTAAAAAATTATTAACATTTGAGGTCCAAATATGTAGTTAATAATCATTAATGGATGCTATACACACATAAATAAACTTAATCATCTTTTGGAGCATGCATTGGTGCATTTATTATTTTTAAGAGTTAGAATCTGAGCCTACCATCTAAGTTAATATTGTATGATTTTATCAATTAATGTCGTATCTCCCTTGTATAATAACTAGAGTACACCATAAAGACAAGGTGCTGATTAAGATCAGTGCAAGTAAATATTGCTTTATTTTTTTATTTTTTTTTTCAATTTTCGTTTAATTAATTTATTGACACTAGTCTACTTCACATCAATTTATGGATCAATTTTAGCAAACAATTTTGTAGCTGTTGAATTGCGTAAAGCTATTATATTTACAAGATCTAATTCTTTACATAAATCATGAAATGATAGGAAAAAAAAAAAAACCGGTAGAGGATAACGGCCAATATTTTTGAGAAAAAGATGTAATATGCATATATATGTAAGGATAAATTTTAATGGTTACATTCTCATTAATTGTTATCCATCAAATATGAAAATTTTATAATGTAGAACGATAAAAATTCAATCTCATTAATTGCCATAATTTTTTTGTTTAACTATTCAATTTATTACAACTGTCAAATCAATATTACAGATTAAAATAATAATATCTACTGATAAATAAATATTAAGGGAACCATTAAAATTATAGCATGACAACCTCATGAATGAGAAAAAAATGTAAATTGAGTCTAGGTATCGATTCGCCATGTCAGTACAAAAGAGGTAATAGTAAACAGCCCAGGGAGGAGCAAAAACAAAGAGTATCCAATCAAGCTTTTAATGGGTAATCCTAATTCCATGAAACATAATATCATTTTCCCTAGATCAGTAGTTTGAATATATCACATGCTGTTTATAACTTTATTACACTTTATTTCTCAAGAAAAGTACTAATTATGCATTAAGAGATCTGATTTTTGCATGAATATGGTCGAACCTTCCTTGATGTGACTATTAATGATAAAATGTTAAAATACATCCAATACTACTTTTCCCACTAATAATCAAGTACTTTCATCCTATAATTATAACTTTAAATCTAGATATACTCTTATTTGATTTATATATGTACCAAAAAAAAAATGCAGTGTTCCATATATATGCTACTCTAGAATACAGGATAAACAGGATTCATATTAGGATAGAACAATCCAAAATTCTGCTCTACGCCAGCAGGTTTCAGATTCTCATTAAACATGGCAAAGATAAACCCTTCGACATAAGGGCCAGGTCGTTTTGGTGTCCCCGCATTAGACAAGATGTGATTCACGAAGTTCTTGGCATACGTCGATGCGAGCTCCGGAGTCGTGAAGCCGCCGTTACCTGCGGATGGCCAGCCACTCTCCGCCACCACGATATTGACGTCAGAAACTCCTTCTCTTTCCGTGGCCCAAAAGAAAGCGTCAACAATAGCGTCAAACATGTTGTGGTAGCTCAAATTCCCGTCCTGAACCACCGGAGCCGTCGCGGTAAAAAGCGCATAATCCAATCTTACATTCACCGGATCAGATGCGTAGGCGAAGTAGGGATACACGTTGATCATGAGAGGCGCTCCATGAGTTGACATGAACCTTTAATTAACAACTCATGAACCTTTAATTAATACAAGAAGCAAAAAGATAAATGTCACAAGTCAAGTACTTTTTTTGATAGGCAAATGTTACTAGTCAACTTGAACTTGGAGAAAATTGATTTAACCAAATAATTACGATATTTTAGTAGTTAAACGGAGGCTTTTGTGACTCTTTTTTTTTAATTATTTTTAACAATAACGAATATTCAATTTTAGATATACGTCTACATAAATTATAAACTTTTTAGTTAATAAATACAATATTTATTCAAATTTTTCTTAGTAAATATAAAATCTATTAAAATTAGTTGGTCTTTTTTTGGGGTAAGATATTTGACCATTTTAAATTTTCACTCCTTAAATTTGGATATTTTCTGATTTGTCCTTTCAAAATTAACAAGCGAAATTGTGAATATTAATGAACATCATGATAATGATTACCGTCACTTTTTAAATCATGATTCGAATCATGGTACGAATCCTCCTACTAAACACAAGCTAAGAAATGTTAGAATGTTGCTTATAATATCATATCAAAAGTTTAAACTCTTTTATTACAAAGTGCAAAGTCTAAATAGAAGATTTTTTTTTTTTTCAAGTTGCATTTTATAACTTTTACTCAAAGCTGTTTTGGAGTGCAAATTAAAACTTTTGACAAATTATATATGCTAAGAAGTGTTAGAATGATGTTTATAAACACCTCGCGCTAATATACGTGAATATATCATAAAACTTTTACGCGATATACAGTACTCACACACCATAGCTTAATTACCTGATAATACCTCTCAAATCGTTGGCAGCCTCATCTGAAAATTGCGCCGCCGAAGGCGGATAAGACAACGCCAAGGCGTTGGCGGGGAGGACGGTGGTGAGCTTTATACCAGCTAGATTCTTATGATCAAGTATGGCTTGTAATGACTCCATAACAGGCAAAACATACTGACCGAGATGCCCCGGGATAACCTCGTTTCCGACAGCAATGTTTGAAAACACGATGTCGTTGAGGTAAGGCTCAACGTGGGCGGCGAACCAGGACGCGACGGCGTCTTGGTTCGATGCGAGGCCGGCAAGGTCTTCATTTCGGATACCGACAGTGACGTCGATTTCGCTGCCTCGCAGAGCTTGCAGCGCCGAGGGATCGGGGTCGAAGAGCCTTATTTTGCCAATGTTGTTGTGTTTGTAGAGGTTGATCACTTCGGTCGCCGGAGGCAGATTATTGCCTAGCATTCCGTAGCAAACGCCGATGTCGGCTGATGCTTTTGCGGTGCCAAACTGGTTGGGAATGACTGCCATGGAAGTGAGAAGGAGAACCCTGATTAGAAGCTGTACTGCCATGGTTTGTGATGATCACTGAATGTGTGCAAAGAAGTTATATACATATGAAGAAGAAGATATAATATATAAATTATATGGCAGTTTATAGTTTATCTTGATTTAAAATCTGCCCTTGCCATTTCTGTAATACATTGTTATCTGGATTTATTAATTAGTGAAGTATAATCTTCCTTGTAAGTCGAGTATTTTAAATTTTTACGTATATGTGAAGATTTTCGTTTGAATATGGTCTGATGTACCAGTAATACTATACATATGACAATATACAGATGGTATGCTATTTAGGAGATCTTTAGGTATAAGATATATGATAGCCGATAAATTAAGGGCTAATTCCGAAGACTAGATATAATATCTGAGAAAAAGATATATGTACCATGAATTCCGAGTAATGATAAAATAAAAATAAAAATGAAAATCCAATTCCGGAGTCGTGGGAGTGAAAAATCAAGGTGGTTTTAATGGTTTGTCACGGTTTTGTACAAGCCTATATTTATGTCATTTTAAATAATTGAGTGCTGTTATGACTTTTTATTTATTTTTTCTTTATTATTTTATTGACAATTGTTTATTTTTTAGTGGGTGACATAAATAATATTTTTTTACTACATTGAGTGATATTTCTGGCTATCGCCCTTTAAGGAAAGCAAGGATTATGCAACGTTCCAACTCTTAAAAATGTCAGACAGCCAGAGTACTTTCAAGGCCTTAATACAGAGCGCGGGAGATTACTACCAAAGACATAATACTTATGGTCTGTTTGGAAAACAAGTTCAAAGTGTGATGATATGAACTTTTTTAGTTTGTAGCCGAAGCTTTAAAAAGTATATTTTGAACCTGTAGTGAGAGATGATGTTTGGATAGCAGTTGAAATGTGGTTTGAAAAGGGAATAAAATATAAAATTGTGTTTGGATATGTAATTAAAAGTTTTTTTTATATGAGAGAAGAGGTATGAATTTGAGTTAAAAAGACTGCATTTTGGTTCAAAATCTTAAAAACATGAGGTGGTGGTGTAGATTTAAGAATTTGAGTTGTTTTTTAGTTCAACTTGTCACATCAATAGTTTGAAATAGGCCTCCAAATTTTTTACTAAACACCTACTCAGCCTGAATTTTTGCTCAAAACACTTTGAACCACTTTAAAAAATAGGCTCTTAATGCCTTAATGCATAACGTACGATCAGAAGGAAAAATGAATTAAAAATGAATATAGAAAATCAGATTTAACGATGACATAAAACCTAATCTAAAAAGCCGTTGTGGAAAACCAATGGCCAAGTTTAGATTTAACCCGTATTCCCGCACACTACTGAGCTTATAAAAGGGGTGAGGGCAATGGAAAATGTGGATTTTTCTTGATTTCTTAACTGCTGCTTTTATATTTTTTTTCAGCTGTTTTCTGACTTTATAAGTATCAGAGATTTTCTTATAGGAACCCCATTTTAATTTTAAAGGTTCATATAAAATCAATTAAGTAGCAATATATATCATGATAGATTTTCACCCCAACACGAGCTAATTATTTGTTGTGCTAGTATTTTGTGATGATATTGAAAATTGAAAGATGAACGTCAAACTGTTTTTTCCTCTCATCATTCATTCTATCAAGTTGATATCTTCTCTTTCTATATATACTGTTCGAGAATTTCTGCACAAAAACGACATCACATGTACAATATTGTACCTATGTTTCAGTATTATTATCAAAAATAAAAATACAAATTGTCCAACAATTTCCAACTATATTCAATTATCAACTTAATTAATCAAGTACAGTAGTACATTTGCTCTTAATTTGCTTTATTGAAGAGCAACTTGTAATGACAAGTAGTTTCAGTTCAGACATAGGATGAAAAAGATCCATATTGGCATAAGTGAGACAAACTCCTTTTTTTTTTTTTTTTTTTTTTTTCTTCTTCTTCTTCTGAATTCTAGTTGTCGTGTTTTCACTTTGGGTGGCTCAAGAGATTGATAATCATCATAATCATGACGTGTTTAATTATTAGCTCTAATATCATTTATAATAACAAATACCTCTATTTAGTAGGCTATGCTCCCGTGATTCTGTTCATGAACTTTACTTTAAAAGGTCTCATGTTATTAGGAGATGATCTTCCTACTTATGAAGCCTTATTTATAGCCGGCTTAGACTTTTAAACGATATGAGACTGCACAACTTACACTGTATGTTTCTATTTTCGTGATTTTGGCAAATTTGGCTCAAAGGATTGATGTTGTCACAACTTCCCTTTCTTATTTTTCTCTTTCAAAAACAAAAATCTTCCCTTTCTTATCTTGATGTGCTCGCTTTCCAAAAAAAAAAAAAAAATTGTTCACTTTATAAGTTTGGTTGTTCTTCTTTCTCTGCTTTATTTAAGTGTAAATGGTCAATAAGCGTTAAGGACCGATCAAACTTTATAGAGAGAGACCACAAATTGTACCATGATAGGCCATGGTAGCATATATACGTCTTTCTCTGAACACTCAGCTTCTTCAATAAAGGAGCTTGAAATTCAGGCGCAATTCGATGTTTCACAAATTCCACCAAATCTACATATAATGCAGATTCATAAATAATGCATGTTTCACAAATTCCACCAATTGGAAATTCAGGAGCTTCCATATTATATTCCAGTTACTATCACTAAATGTAATGCATATTCATAAATATAAAATATTGAAAATTAGATGTCGTGTTTAGAATTATTCTATTTTTATTTTTCACGTTTTTTGAGAAAAAAATAAAAATGAAAACGATTTTTTAGTTTAGTGTAAAATATGAGGGAAATGAAAAACAACTTTTAGTCATTTTTCATCTTTTGTTTTTGTTTTCTCCTCTCTCGAGCAGAGAGAGAAAGAGAGAGACATTAATGAGTTTTTTTATACTGAAAATAATCTCTTGATAAACTACCAAACACATTTTCAAAAATGATTTTTGTCTGAGATTAAAAACGTTTTCATTTCCATTTTCATACAAAAAATAAAATTATTTTGAAACGAGTTCCAAGCGCACCCAGAATGTTATTGATAACATTAGCTTTTATGATTAGAAATTTTATGGATTTAATGCGTGCTCATTGTATATATCAAAAATAATAATTAAATGTTAATAATTTCTTTGAAAGGATTTAATGTTAATCATATATTAGTAGTTTTATTACTAAAAAAATATGGGTATAGTATGGTATGACAAACCGATTAATAAAAACAAAGAACTTTCGTAACTAGCTAGTAATATTTGATTTTCAAACTTCTCAAAAAAAAAAAAAAAAAAAAGATCTTAAAAAAATCAGCATATTTTCATGAGTGAAATATTGTCCTCGGTAAAATGAATTTAATTTTTTACGGTTAACGTTTCAAAAATTTCTCCTTGAGAAAGAAACCAGTCTACCAACATCAGTCTTTATCGCGAAAATTTTCATAAAATATGGCTTTTCCCAATCGACAATTTCGTCGCGAAAATTTGATTTTCTATTCAGCACAATTTTGGTCCTTTCCTGACGGTTGAATTCGGAAATTGAAGCTGCAAAGTGGACACCATATATATAGCAGTGCCTATGCTCAAGTCTGGAATTATTATCTATTAATTGTACGAAATATTAATTTGTTTATTGTAAATTCGGAAAGCTCCATGAGTACAAAATAATAATCCACCTAGTTTTCTTAAAGATATATAGCAATGCGATATCCCATTGTTAGTGATACATTACAGCATTCGCGGAACCTAAATTTAATCTATAATTTAACAAAAATTAGGTCCAAATTTTATTCATCTAAAACTCTGTGTCACTAATCATGCAGCTACGATGCATCAAGTGATATATTTATAAATTTTTCTTCATGCTCCAAATTTAGGTCCCCTAAATTTTCACCGAAAACTATCCGATATGGCCATCGATTAAATATTACTTATAGTTTGGGGTGGAAAAATTAGAAAAGCTCCTTTTGAAAGTAGAAGAAGACTTAGGAAAGTGACTCAGATATGAAGTCATCAATCTATAATTCTTGGGATGCTTGATTCACAAGATAATTGTGTTTTTTTTTTTTTTTTTCCCTGGATTGTATGGATATGTTTGTGACCATTATTTATAATTTAATGTTATTTTTTGCTTGATTGGTGGAGCTTCGTTCATGTAAATGTGCTGAAATTTCACGTTCCATCAAGTAGATAACGAGCGAATTGGAGATATACATAGTGATAGAGAGAATCCAAAGCTTAATTTTTCTCATTGACTACTTACCAGCAAACAGTTTATTTGCATCCAAAAACTCGGGTATGTGGACAAAAGACTCTCCAAGTAGTGGTCCTCTCTCTCTTGGCATTGTAAGTTTGTGATAAGATATTTTCCTCAAAGATATTTGACAGATATTTTACTCGCAGTTAATAAAAAATAATATTAATATTCTGATTCTCGGTTACTATACCCATAATTGTTTGAAATAGAGGATTTTACAAGACTGTAAATAATGTATTTGTTTTAAGACGTCATCCTGTAAGTATTTGACGTCATTTATAGTTAGCGCCATTGAAATACTTAGGTCTCGTTCACTTCACAGATTCGAGTTTTTAATTCGAGCTGAGATGTGACATTTTATGAGAGCTTTTCACTGTAGCAGAAAAAGTTAGATGTGATATTTTTTGAGAACTTTTAACTATAAAAACCTAAAACTGAAAACTCAAATCAGTGAAATGAACGAGGCCTTAATGGAGTAATTAAGGGTCTTTTTGGCAAATGTATTTAAATTCGTGATTTTAATTATGCTACAGTACTGTTTTACACTCACAAAGAATTTGAATTTAAAAATTTCTCACCAATAGTTCTCCCACAAAGTTTCAACCAATAAATCAAAATCACTGACTTGATCAACACGTGAACCATACGGGTCTTAATCAGATTCGAAGAGTTCACAATGACCAGCTAATAAATAAGTTTAATTTAAGTGCTCATTTCGTGGGGTTTCTTCCGGTAATCAAGGCCGAATTATTAGTATTTCAAAAGAACAAGACAGAAAACTTAAAAAGAAAGACATTACGTACTTTTACCTCGCCGGAAGACAGAGTAGCCCAGAAGTTGGGCAATTCTTAACGTCCACACAATTCAAATGGCTAACCCCTGAAGTGGGATCTGTAAGTGACGATTTGCCCATCAACAGAGACGAGCTTTGAGCTGTCATATAATGTCTTGTTGCGACCCCCAAATTCTTTCCTCTCATGTGATTAATGGTCCATCTCCTGATCTTATAAAAGTAGTCTTGGACGGTCCTCCATGACCTTTTTCATATTTTTTGAGCTATTCCCTTAGATGACAATCTAGCTATAGCTAGCTCTAATTACGTAGACTGGAAAAAAAAAAAAAAATAAGTACAACAATTATTTATTTTTTCAACTTAATTATGGGAAATTTGGTTGATTATTAAAAATTTTAGATTACATGCATGTTATGTCATGTTACATTATCGATCAACTATTACAAGCGAACCATAAATATTGGTATTATGCATACAAAAAGAGTGTTTGCATTAAACTTTTTTTTTTTTTTTTCCTTTTTGAAAATATCTAGAGGAGATAATTTTTGTAGATGACGGCCAAAAAGAGTCATCTTGTTGCAATACTAGATAAAGACGTGCCCTTCACGTGCATCATACGTTTGAAAATCTATCGTATATTATGATCATATCCGATGGCATATTTTTGAATGTTTGCCACACATGTGACTATTGCATGAGCATATTCGAAAGCGTATACTAATTTCACCAACGTATAACCAAAGATATTTCACACCATGCTCCTCTATATAAGACTCCCAAATTCCTCACCAAAAAATCACCACACTAGGAAGTAAAATATCAACCAAAACACAAAAGTATAGTAGTACTAGTCATCATGAACATGATCATTCCCATTTTCTCTCTCTTCTCCCTCCTTTTCTCCTCATCTCATGGAGCCATCCAAGACTTCTGTGTCGCGGACTACTCGGCTCCCCAAGGCCCTGCAGGCTACTCCTGCAAGAACCCCGCGAAAGTCACCGTCGACAGCTTTGTCTACTCGGGACTAGGCATCACCGGCAACACCACAAACCTCATCAAAGCAGCGGTAACCACGGCATTTGACAACCAATTCCCCGGCGTCAACGGCCTAGGAATCTCCCTTGCTCGGGCGGACTTAGCCCCTGGTGGGGTCATCCCTTTCCACACTCACCACGGAGCCTCAGAGATCATAATTGTCATTGAAGGGTCGCTCTGCGCAGCGTTCGTCTCCTCGGACAACAAGGTCTACCTCAAGAGCCTTAAGAAGGGCGACATAATGATTTTCCCTCAAGGCCTTTTGCACTTCCAACTAAATGCAGGGAAGAGTAATGCTTTGTTCTTTGTTGCGTTTAATAGCCCTAACCCGGGTCTCCAACTTTTGGACTACGCATTGTTTGGAAACGATTTGGCCACGGAGTTGGTGGCTGCCGCTTCTTTCCTCGACCCCGCTGAGATCAAGAGGCTCAAGGCTGTTCTTGGTGGTAGTGGTTAAATATTCCATTCTTTATAAAGATTCAGATTACCTGTCTAATTTTTGGTGTCACAAATAATATCTAACTGATCATATTACACTACACGTGGTATAATGTGGTTGGTCACACATCATTTTGAACACCAAGACATAGTGATCTAAGTCTTCTATAGAGATATTGTTGTTTATTTTGTTTGTTTCTTGTGTGATGGTTGAGAAGGCTTGTAAGTGTAGGATTCTTGATGTCGGTGCTTTGTAATAACAGAGTCCCTGATGATTAGGTTTGTTTCTCTTTGTATGCTTTACTAGTTAACAAACTAAATGGCGTACATGAGAAGTCAGTTAATTTCTTCTTTTTTAGGCTGTGGTCTCTTTTGTTGCTACTTGTTTCCTTGTCTTCATGTGTTTTTGCTTCATGCTTCGGTTTCAAGTGATGTATTTCGTAACGCCAAAAACATAAACAAAATTTGAGGAAAAATATATTTGGCTTTTCAGTTTTGAGTTTGCATTTTTTATGCACTTTGTTAAGTTTCTCGTGTATATTTTTGGGGTCTTTTCGCTTTTGGTCTGAAACTATGATTTTGTCCTATTTTAGCCCCATGAAATTTAGAACGTTACATTTTGCATCTCACATGCCTAGTCAATGAAAGGTAATTTAAACACATTACGCCTAAATGAATTTAAAAACTGAAGAAAGGAAGAGAAGAAAATTATGTTATCTCTACACGAGCTCGTTGAATAACAAAGTACGCAAATATTAAAATTATTAAAAATTCATCTCAAAGACGTTATTTATCTAAAATACTTATCATTACAAAATAATGTGAGGTTCACATGAGTGACTGAAGAGCCAAATATGAGACAAGGAGTATAGTTTATGGTGCTATTTGTAACATGACAAATGGGACAAAAAATGTAGTTCATGGCTTTGAGTGAAATTAACCGTATCGTTTAATAAACTAGTTAAATCACAGATTGTACTTTTAGAAACTTTCTTATTGGTATATCATACATCAGATATATGTATTAGTAGCCGCCATAGTACGAATCTCTTATATGTTTATACCAGAATACAGAACATTCTGCATTTAAATTTGGTACTATTTACTACTTTGGATGGTCCAAACTTCCAAGTTCCCGCTCAAAGAATCAGCGAAACCTTATTAATCTTTTTTCTATGTGGTCCAAACTTCCAAGTTGGTGCTTCAAAAATCACTGAATAAAAGGATAGGAAAACCAAGATTTAAGCCACAGAACTTTACAATCGCCTCTTGCAGTAAATTCTACTGCGCTTTTACTATCATGGTAATGGTGTTGTACTATTCACAGAACTGCCAATGTTTTTATCTCTATGATGGAGATTTTAAAAGGCAGTACTGTCAGTATTCTATCAGACTACGGATCATATAGAGATTCCCTTACATCATGTGTATACATCTCTTGAAGAAGCAAATTTTTAATGATTTAAAAAAAAATCAAAATCCCACGAAATTATATCACCTGAAAATGGATGGTTGTGAGTTGTGATTATATATATTCAAATGTGTGGACACTTATTCTTGTAAGCTTAAAAAAAATGAAGGTATACTGCTTGGTGACGCATGTCAAATCTCAAGCTGAAGATAAAGAGCACTAATATAAATAGAAGTCCTATTTCTTCAGCTGCTACTGATTTCACTTTCCCCGGACCAGTTTCAAGCTTTATGACCGTACCTTATCTTTCAGCCAAAACAAACATCATAGTTGATTGTATAAAATCATTCTTGGTATAACCAACAAGGTGGCTGCCAAGCAGAAGGTCGAGGTATAAAAGTACGGCTAAACAGCAACTAGGTCCCGGCTCTGGTCTGTGACTTGTGAGCAACATCCTTCCTGAAAGGGACTCCATCACAGAGTTTTACCAGTAATCCATGCAGGAACAATGTCCATCTTCAAAATGATGGTAGCGTTTTCGATCGCGAACAGCAATTTTTCTTTTGAAAACCTTTGAAACAAGCTTGAATGCAGAATGGCAGTCATTGCAGATCCTTATATTCTTCACTATCCGAATTAATGATCCACGCTTTGTGTACATAAACCCAAAAGCCAAGGCCAGTTTCTCACTGTGATATCCAACAAAAGTTTCTTTTTCCTCCTCTTCAATGTCAAACATAACCGCTCTAGTCTCCGCGCTGTAGCCAAATTTCTTAATCTCCTTGACAATTTCATCCCACATATGGTAGATCTCCTCTGTTTTCTCATGGGACCTATCTCCAGCCAAGAATTCGTGCACAAAACCGTCCACTTCTATCAAACTATACCCCGGAACCCGCTTTACTTTTCTTTTTCTCAAAGTTTTCCTGACCTCTTCAGCATCTTCACCTTTCATGGACTCGGCATAGATATTAGAAAGTAAGATGTAACGTCCATCATCTTTTTGGTCAGAATGTATCAGTAGATTCCCAACTCTCTGGCCCATTTCAGCATTTCCATGAACCCTGCAAGCACCAAGGAGGGCTCCCCATATGGCACTGTCCGGTTTAATTGGCATTGAAGCAATAAAACGCTCTGCCTCTTCAAGCAAACTGGCACGACCAAGAAGATCGACCATGCAGGCATAGTGATCCAACTCTGGTCTAATTCCACAAACATCTGACATTGAATTAAAATAGTGAAAACCCTTATCAACCCACCCCTCATGACTACAAGCGCTTAAAACTGCAATGTAAGAGATACTATCTGGTGAAATGCCTTCAGCCTTCATGTCCTCAAAGAGCTGAAGTGCTTCTTTGCTACGGCCATTCATCGCTAGCCCAGATATTGCAGCCGTGTAGGTAGAAACACACTTATTCTTTGACGAACTGAACACTTGCATTGCAAGATCAATGCTGCCGCATTTGGCGTACAGATCAATCAGGCCTGCAGAAAGTAAGGAATCGATCTTCACACGTTTCTTCTGGACATAAGAGTAAACCCAGTTACCGTAATCCAAGGCTCCTAACTGAGAGCATGCGGAGAGGACACTGACTAAAATAGCGGAGTTTGGCTCCTGATGCGACAATAGCATCTCTCTAAATAGAGCCAAAGCCTCTTTCGGCCGTCCATTTTGAGCACACCCTGAAATCATGACAACCCAAGAAACCAAACTTCTCCGCGGCATCTCCAAAAATACCCTATAAGCATCATCCAAGAAACCAAACTTGGCCAAAGCGCCAAGTACACTATTCCAAGACACGTCATTTCTATTGGGCATTTTGTCAAACATGATCAAAGCTGCAGATACATGTCCATTTCTCGCGTACCCATTGATCATGGAATTCCACGAAACAACATCAACTTCATCGCTTTCATCAAACACCCTTCTCGCGTCATCCAATTCTCCGCAAACCGAGTAAAACTGAATAACCGAATTGCGAACGAAAACATCCATATCCAAAAAACTTTTCACCAACACGCCATGAAACTGCCTGCCAAGATCAAACGCACAACAGTTCGAACATCCTTGAAACAGAAAAGTGAAAGTGAAGTTATTCGGAGCAAGGTTGAGCTCCGCCATGCGGTTGAGCACGAGCAACGAGCTCGGCGCAAAAGTCCGACGGCCGTGGCTGCGAGCAAGGCCTCGTATCACAGTGTTGAAGAGGAAGACCGAAGAAGCTACGGAAGTCCTGAACAGGAGGAGGAGAATGGCATAGTTTGTGTCGCCGGAGGGATCGAGAGCGGAGAAGGAGATTATCGGTCTGAGAGACGCTGGTGGGTGGTTTAGGCCTCTGACGACAAGCTGCGAATGGGCTTCTTTAAACTGTTTGATTGATTTGCATCTGTGGAAGATTGAAGTGAAAGGGAGGTTGTGAAGGAACATGAGTGTTTTATCTAAGGTATTTACATGAGAATGAGAATGAGAATGAGATGAGCAACTTCCAAGAGTTTCAAGTTGTAACGGCTATATTGAATGAGAGAAGGCGGGAAATGAGTTTGTTCACTTCGTGAATTCGAATTTTTAATTTAAATTGAGATGTGACGTTTTTTTAAAATTTTTTATTATAGTAAAAAAAGTTAGATGTGACATTTTCTGAGGACTTTTTACTGTAAAAATTTAAAACTGAAAACTCAATCAATAAAATTAATGAGCCCTTAGAATATTTTCTTTTTACTATGAATAAACATCTTAAAAAAAAATTCTAAAAGTGAGGGCAACCAGCCATATCTGTTTTTCAAGATCGTTACCAAAGAGGCTGCACCCGTTAAAAATATGGGCTCGTTTAGTTCGCTGATTTGAGTTTTTAATTTAAGTTAAGATGTGACTTTATGTGAGAGTTTTTTATTGTAGTAAAAAAATGAGATGAGATTGTTTCTAAGAGCTTTTTATTATAATAAAATTTGAATCGGTAAAATGAACGAAACTTGTATGTAAATTGCTTTCATTTTCCTTAAATATTTTGCCTTTTGTAATGCATCCACAAAGAAGATGTCAACTTTTTTTTTTTTTCTCCATTCCTACAAATAAATTTGCCAATTGGCTTTCAGCTTCTTGGTTACTAGTATCCGGTATATATTCTTTAAATATATAATCACCTATTTGGTTAACACATTTAAATCAATAATTTTAATTCTAAATTTGAATATATTAGCGATAATTTTCATTTAAATTTTTTATAAGATAGTAAAATTAAAATTATGGGTTCAAGTTCTAAAACCGAAGGAGCCATAAATGTCAGTCTTCTAGATTGGTTTTTATGTTCTTTATATTTATTGTCGTTTTTGAGTTTGTCGTAGTTTTCTTTATTTTCATTTTTACTTTTTGCTGGTATGGTTTTGATTTGTTCTTATTTTCTGGTTTGCCACTTGTTTTCCTTTTTATTTGGACGTCATTTTGAAATTCGTTTACTTGTCATTTTTAAAGTGAATGCCGTTTATCACGGAGACAATCGTTTTCTAAGTTGTGATTGTCGTTCTCTCAAGATTTAGTAGCTTTAAAATTTCCTTGTCGTTTCATGTTTTATTGTCGTTAGATTTATCGTCGCATCTAATTGCTTGCAAGGGCCTGACGGTTGCCATGAACAAACGCAGGCGGAAACCTTACGTTTTAGATGATCCTCTTTGACATGAAACGCCAACAAAGTTGACGCCGTTTTCATGATCAGAAACGACATCCAACAAGCCACGGATTTCCTTCTTTTTTTTTTTGTTCCGTCTTACGTCAAGAAGAGGGTCCCAAATCGAACATAGCGATTAATGTTGCTTGTGTCTGACTCTGTTAGAGAGAGAAAGAGATCAGATTTTGTACTAGTGATCAAACATCTTACACTAAGATACGACATGTTTATTTGTTAGACTTAAAATACCTCTATTGTTTTTCTGATAACTTAAGATAAGAAACATTATGCAAAACAACTTGATGGAACAAAAATCAAATTCCCCATAATACTTCTTTCCAAAAATAAAATAAAATGCCCACTATACATTATTTTAAAGTTCCAAAAATACAAAATACAAAATAAAATTATAATACAGCTAAGATGCTTCTTCTTCATGTTCTATTTACTTTTTTTCCCCCTTTTTCCAGAAGAAAATACAGCTAAGATACTTATCATTTTTTGGGACCCACCGTTAGCCCACTAATAATATGCAGAATCAAAGTTCTCCACCAATCGACACACCACTTTTTTTTCCCCCACTTTTCGAAATTATTGTTATCCTAATTTGTTAAAAAATACGTAGAATAAATAATTTTTGGTATAAATTAATGGCTAAAAAAATAAAAAATTACTAATAGTTTATTTTTTCAATCTTACTAAAAAAAAAAGCTCACAATTTCTTAATAGTTAGAATCAACGTACCTTTTTTTTTTCATTCTAGTAAGGCTTTCTCTAGTATGAGATCCTCTAAAAAAATTCACTGGTGGAGCACTCTGTTTTTATCGTTAGATTATTTTTTCAACGATCAGATCTACAGAGAGAATAATTCTATGCGGGGCATTATAAATTTTTAATATGCACGTGTACAAATTTAACTGTTATAAACTTATGCAACGATCAAAACAGAGTATTCTACCAATATATTTTTTAAGGAGTCGACTCCCTTCTAATAATATAAATTCTTCTCCACGTCACATCTCAAATAATCTTTCATGGTCATGATCAATTCCCAAATTTCTATAGGTCCTAATTTTACGCAATATAAACACCCCACCTTATTACAACCCACAAATCACCCTACCTTATTTTTTTTCTTTCTTTATGAGGACTTTCTATGGTAGAGTCTCCTCGTTAATTAGATTGGTTTATAATTATTAGATCTGATTAAAATCACATCAAATTAAAAAAAAAAACATAAGAACAAATAATTTTTAATACAAATCTAACGGTTAAAAATAGATAATCATCGGCAATTTATTTTTTATGATTCTACCCGAAAAACTCTTTCATTTTTTAAAAAGGGATAATATATTCCAAAATATAAAAAATGCATTATAAACATCAATACATACACATAGATCTTATTATAAGAAATATGACATCGTAAATAACTGATTCTATCAGTATCAAATGAAACTCAAGAAAAAATAATACGCACTGGACTCCACAAACGAAAATACACAAAGAAGTACACAAAAATCTAAACACACATACCTAAGTAGTTTATTTATGTATTTATTTATTTTGTCCAAACAGAAAAACTCCCCTATAAATAAGAATGGAATAATTTTCTGACTTAAAAATTTTTTAAAAAGAAGAATAAGCCAAAGCCAGGTCAGCAGGCCGGAATATAGAAAAGAAAGGAAGTTAAAGGTTCTTGGCTGGCTCTGAAAGAGAGACAGACAGAGATGACAGACTGGCAATAGCCAAGTCAAGCTCAGGAGAGAGACTCTCTCTCTCTCTCTCTCTATCTCTCTCTCTCTCTCTCTCTCTCTCTCTCTCTCTCTATCGTATGTAACTATTTGTATTGTTTCGTAATTCTGTGGGCAAATAATACCTTCTTTCTTCAACGTTTTTCCCCTGTATTCCAGGCTTGGTTTCTGATACAGCAAGTGACACGATGAGTCTTTTTGGTCTCGGAAGCAGGTTTTTTATTTTTTTTTATTTTTTTTTTATTTTTTTAACTTTTGCTTCTTGTTTTTTCATTGAATTGTCTTCAGTTTGATAAGATTATCATTTGAAGTATTTATTTTTATTTTTATTTTTATTTTTTTGGCGGATTCTGAGTTCAGCCTTATGTAAATCTTTTTCTGTTCCTTTTCAATTATCTGTTCATCAAGTATTTTCAAACACTTTCTCGAAGCTGTTTGTATGATGATTATGGTAGAAGTTTGCTCCAAATGGGCATTAAACGAAATTTCATAACATCTGAATTGTAACAGAACATGATTAAGATACTTATTAATCCTTTTCTTTTTACTCTTTCTGAATAAATCTTGCCCATGACATAATAGTTTTTTATTTTCCTTACCATTTTTTTTTTTTTATAAATCCTTAATATTTCTGAATCCTTGCACTTCTTCCTTCATACAGAAACCAGAAAACATTTCGTCCCAAAAAGAGTGCTCCTTCAGGAACTAAGGTTGGTCCAATAACAATAATTCACCGTTATCTGATTTCATTTGATGGTTCGTTAATCATTTTTATGAATCATTGATCAAGGCCTAACGTTTAATAAAAATGTTACAAAAACATGTGTCGCGGAAATAAAGGGCGCTCAGCTTCAGAGGCACATTGATGCCACTTTGGGAAGTGGGAATCTGAGAGAAGCTGTAAGACTTCCTCCAGGAGAAGATATGAATGAGTGGCTAGCAGTTAACAGTAAGATCTTTGAATTCATGATCTGTCTCAATTTTCATTTTCGTTTGATTTGATTCATGAAGGTCTCTGTAACAAAAATCTGTCACGTGTTTCATTTTGTAAATTCGTGCTCAAAACCTCCCCCTCACATATGTCATTTAACATTCTTGAAAATATAAGGTGGAAATTTTTTATACAACACGAGAGATTTTTGTAACATGGTTTGACAAAGTCGTTTGTGGTATCATAAGGGGGCCAAAAAAAAAAAAAAAAAAATCCATGTTGTCAACATAAAGAACGACCTTAAATTCTTGTTCTTGTTATTGCAGCGGTAGACTTTTTCAACCAAGTGAACATCCTCTATGGCACTCTTACTGAATTCTGCACGCCGTCCAACTGTCCAACTATGAGCGCAGGACCAAAGTACTACTCTTGATCATCCAAATAATGTCTCTCTCTTTTCCTGTGTTAAATTTCTTAGGCGATTGGATCCAAACTTTAATGAGGAAGGTTTTTTTATTTTTTTTATTAACTAAAAAGGTAGATTTTATGGCTATTTTGTTTATAACTTTGATCAATCGCTTGTAAACTGTGTTCAATATATCTACATTACAACCAAAATTTTGACAAAACTAAATAAGATAATGTTAAGGACTCAAACTTAGTCTAATTTTATTTCACTAATTGACGTGATATATAAATTATTATTATTTTATAAATAAATGTTTAAAATACTATCATATCAAGTAATATTGCGAGATTACGTCTACCTCACTAGCACGTAAGTTAGTCAAAAGAAAAAAAAAAAAAAAAAAGAGAATTGGGCATCCCTATCACTATTGGACTATATATACGTGATTGTTTCTTATGTTAAATACATGTCATGGTGAATTACTCAGTTTGTTTTATTTACTCTCCTCAGGTACGAGTATAGGTGGGCTGATGGAGTTACTATCAAGAAACCTATAGAGGTTTCTGCTCCAAAGTACGTTGAGTATTTAATGGATTGGATTGAAGTACAGCTAGATGATGAATCAATATTTCCTCAGAGATTGGGTACGTGGAATTTGATTGAAGCCCTACTATGTCGTGTAATAATCACATGCTATTGATTGATTACCATGAACTAATACCTTATTGTTTTCGCTACTTACGTTCACAACTTAAATTTTATTATTACAGTTTTTTTTTAATAAAAATTTTAATTTAATTTTTTTATTATAGTATTTTTTTTCTCACAAATACAATTTAAATTGTAAAACAAACCGACGCAAATAAGATACTACAGGGTTATTCTTTTACAACAAAATTCAGAAAAAGTTTAAATTTAAGTTACAACTTTATTTAAGTTCGTGTTCTTTTAAGTTCCAATTTTATTCAACTTTATTCAGTTTTATTCAAACTATAATTTTAAACTCAAATTATAACTCAAATTTAATTTAAAAATTATACTTAAGTAACACTTTAAAAGAACAATTCCTACATATTTGATAAAAGGTGGATCCCATTACATGAGATGGATCCATCTTTTGTGAGAGGTCTCGGTTGGTCAGGTTGTACAGTGGTGCTCTGCTCATAAATTATATTGTTTTTGTGCTACAGGAGCTGCTTTTCCACCTAATTTCCGAGATGTAGTGAGGACAATTTTTAAGCGATTGTTCCGTGTGTATGCACACATTTACCACACTCATTTCCAGAAGATCGTGAGTTTGAAGGAAGAAGCTCATCTTAATACCTGCTTCAAGCATTTTGTTCTCTTTACGTGGGTAAGTTATCTGTGTCTTCGAGGACTCGTTCTTTTAAATTAAAACCTAAATAAAATTTAAACTCAAATTATAATTTTATTTAAATTTATATTCGTTTATAAAATTTGAGTTTAAACTTAAGTTTTAACTTGAATTTAATGTTAAAATCTGGGTTTAAATTTCACTTTCAACTCAAGTTTTTAAACTCAAACTCAAATTAATGAATAATATTTTTTATATTCTTAAAAACATCATAACTTTTTCGTTTTAATTTCGATTGAGATGATTTTTTTTTTCTATGCGTTCACAACGAAGAGACGAATAAAACATCACACATATACCTTATTAAAATTTTTCATCATCATTGAATTTTTATTAAAATACTATTTAAATACAAATTTAAGTTTTGACCTCTCAAACACAAACTCAAATAGATTCTCAATTCAAATCATAACTCAAATGTGCACATCCAAATACAAACTCAAGTTACAACTTAACTCAAATTATAACTCAATATCTACATTCAAGTCACCATAACTTAAAAATGTAACTGAATAAGTCTTGAATTGTTGAGTACATCATGATGCTTCCTTTATTTGTTGTGGATTGGACATAAGGTAATCTTTTTCTTTGTTATACCTTTTTTTTTTTTTTTTTTTTCTATCTATTGTGTTTGACGGTAGGTATTTTGCAATTTTTGAATCACACATATTATCAATCCTTTTATCCTATATTTATAATGCAGGAATTCCACTTGATTGACAGAGGGGAGCTTGCACCTCTTTACGACCTTGTTGAGTCTATTCTACAGCTCTAGATAGTGCAACGTTATGATCATTATCTTCACTTTTCTTTTTCCCTTGTTGGGATTTGGGTAGAAAACAGAGTGAAGTAATTTACAAGTAGAAAATTTTTTGTGAACCTGTTTCTTGGAATGTAATTTCGTTTGGAATAGGATTCTTTTCTTCTTGCAACTTATTAAACTGTTTCTATCTCCCACTTCCCTGTGATGGTCCCCTTAATTAATACTTTTGCCAATCAAAAGAGACCATATTCCCTGTTCTTATTTGAAGTTCGACTTCATTAAACATCAAAATTCTAATTAAACATCAAAATTCTATGCAACGACACTGCACGCAATTCCGTCGATTTTACGAGTTCAAACAACACTATGGACTGGGCCTCTTCAAGGTGGTATACTGCTACTTGAATTTGGGAGTATTATTTTGGAAAATAGTAGAAAATAGGCCAATATGAAAAACTTAAGAAAGTATATAAGTCAATTTTTAGTTATAGAAATTAATAGGCCATAACTTTTCAAGTTATGGTTCATAACCAGATAAATTATGGATAAACTTGTCAAGTTATGGTTCATAACCAGACAAATTATGGACGAAAACAGTAATTTGACATATTTATTAACTTATATAAATTATTAACTTATTAATTTTAATTCATCTCAAGTATCGGTCTATTTTCCTCTTTCTCCCTATTATTTTTAGGATTTCATTTTATGAATGCCCCTAAAATGTACGCCTTGTTTAATAGGTCCCGTGAATTTTGAAAAAGATTCATTTTGTACTCTATTTCAAATACTCCTTTAATTTATAATACTGACAAAAAATTGACGTGTCACTGTTTATAACTTTATAAGTGTCTCATGAATTATGTAGCTTAGTCAGCTTTGAAGATATTTCATTTTATCGCATGAACTACGTACACTAATTCAAAATACCCTTCAGTTTATAATACTAATAAAATAATGACATCTCACAATCTATAATTTTATAAATGTCTTCTAAATTATCGGTTTTAAGTTAACTTTCTCCTTAAACTATTAATTTTATGTCAACTTGTTCCCTAATTTTTAAAAAGATCACGGGGAAAGTCTAAACAAAATTAATAGTTTTAGGACATGTATGAAAGTACATTAATTTAGGGGATGTTATGAACCATTTTTTCATACTTTAGAGGTGAAATGAACCCTTTTCATAATTTGAGTTGTGATAAATAGTAATGGGTTAAACCTTCAAAGGATCCATGAATTTTACCTCTAATCCCACTTCAGTCAATAGTCAATGACTTTAAAATGTCCCCACTGAAAATGACATTTTGCTAAGGGAATATTGAATATACGCATGATTATGGTGGAAAACTATTGAGTGAACGTGATTCATATTCTGTCTTATTTTTAAATAACATCCGACTGACGAAATGTCTAAAACTGAAATGAATTTAAAAGTTTTAATAGTGAAACGTTTTAAAAGTTAGGGATTAAATGAATTTAAAAGTTTTAAGAGTTGAACGTTATAAAAGTTAGAGATTAAAGTGGAATTAATGGTAAAATTTGAGAACAATTGCTAAGATTGACTCATAGTTTATAGTAAAAGTTATGATAGAATAGTGTAAAATATGTGAATAAGAAAAAAAACATGATACTTCTGTTAGAATTGATGTTAGAACTTAAAAATGTTAAAATCTGATACTAAAGCATAAAGCACCCAGTTTCATATCAAATATAATGACGATATGACTTTGGCAATAAAATATATTACCATAACATATTTTCGTACTATTATAATATGGAAATAGAAAACAGTCATTATCACTCATTGTATTCCCATCAATTATTTCAAATTCAATAAATGTATTACATGCTATAACTCCTCCCGCAAAAATGAAGAAAAAAATAATAAACAAAATAGATTGAGTAGGTGAAGAGGAGACTATTCTTGGTAAGTTGGTATTAATGTTTACTTGGCAGTTATATAACGTGAATGACATCTATTTGTTATGTGATGACCTGCAATTACTATTTCAATGTCCCCAATCTTCTAGTATAAATCCGTGACATTCTTCAAGAACTTTTACACAAGTGAGTTGGTTTTTGCCAACCAACGTATCCATTCTCTCCTGGGTTTGGAAAGATTTGCCATTTTTGCTGGCCAATGTCTGAATGAATCGTGAAGCAATCCCGTAAGGCTTTGCGTGCAGCTTAGCTCGCGCCATGAAACAAAACGGAAGCAACACTCGATCTATCTTTCATTTTTCGCTCCCCGATTCACAAATACATCCTGGGAGGGGATTTGCAAAGAAACTTTCCTCCAGTTTTGGAAACTCTCCAGGCTCTCTCAAATATGGAGCCCCAGTTCTGTCATGATGAAGCTTCTTTACTTTGGAACTGAATTTCTTCCAAGAGATTTTTCCTTCATCCAATTGATCGACAAGTTTCACGAAATTCATCCTGCAGAAGCACCAAAATAACAATTAAGGTTTATACAGCACACATGAAATATGTAAGATCGATATAGATGCTCAAATTGGAAGCAGAATTACTTGTCTGGATTGATAGTCTTCTTAAAGTTCTCAAAGCGTCTGTGTCCTTGAACTGCCTTGGCCATATTCCCGTCGTACGTGTACACAAACACATCACTCTGAAGAGCAACTACATAATCTAGACCAGCCAACATATTCTGGTGATTTTTGAAAGGTCTCAGCTCATCTTCTGTAGCAAGAGTCGAATGAGAGAAGATGTTGGGGAAGTCGTCGTTAAGATATTGCATGCTTCCATTTCCATAAGCTTCTCCAGCTACCAAGTAAATCCTGGTGTTGGATGGAAAACCCAATCCTCTCAGTAAAAGAGAAGTCTCCCTAGGGGTCAACGGGCAGCCACCAAGCAACCTCTTCTCCATCCCATTAATCTCTTTTTCCTTCCAATGGCTAATTTCATAACGCATTTTGCGTAATTCATCATCTTCTTCTGCAGTCAAATTGTGACTACAGCCTGTAAATGCAAGCATATCCTTCTCATACCTATAGCAAGAAAGAAGCGTTTAAAATTAAGGGAAAAGGAGGAATAAAACTTTTACAAATTGCAATACCTAGAATCATATATAACGACAATGCTTGCCTCAAATGAAGAGCAAGATAAGGGTTTCCATCACATCTCATTCTAGAAACCAATGTGGTTGCAAGTTCTTCTATCTGAGCTGAATACTTCAGTGCCCTGTAATTGACACGACACCGCAGCTTTTGTATGGAATTTGGAATGCCATTGTTGGCAAGCCGAGAATCAGTATGAGTGAAATAGACAACTTTGTGCTGCTTCAACGGAGGTAGGACTTCTGTCTTATAATAACCAGCCTGAGCATAAAAACATGAATCAGCTGATAGTAGTCCCACAAAATGATAGAAGGTAAGAAAGGATGCTAGCCAGAAGACTTCAGTGAAGCATAACTACTTATGCGTACCTTAGACCATGAAATTGGTGTTTTCATTAAAGGCTCAATATCAGCATAGGCAGGTGGTAATGTCTCAACTATGTGGACATCGTCCTTCAATGTCTCAATGAAATGCCGCCAATCAAAAAGATCTTTAAAGCCGCTGCAATCATATATAGAAGTAGTTAGCTTGGTAAAACCACTAAAGCAGCTAAACACTTCCCATGTAAAGCATTTATATGACATTGAACTCTTAAAGCAATATACTAAGCGGTGCTAGGCGCATTGAAAAGGAAAACCAAAAAACATTTTACCATCCAATCAACTACTCCAATAACAGAAGCACAGAGTAAACTGACCTCTCATCAGCCCAGTAGGAGGTGTGATCAAGCGAAGGAAGGACAAGAGTTGCCTTCATAATCTTAGCAACAGCAACCATATCGCAAATCTGCACTCTAAATTATTCATACATCAGATCATAGATAAATTTCAAGACCACAGTCTTCATTAAAAAAAATAAAAACACACAATAGCCAGACCCCAAATCTCATCTGATTCAAGCCGCCATTAGCATTTATAAGAAGGTATCCGTTGGTCTTCAAATCCAGCTCTACAAAGAAGCAAGCAATAAACAAGAAAAAAAAAAGGGTTAAAAGCGCATAATCAGCACCGAACAAAAATCACATGCTTCAGAGAGAGAATATGGACTTCATCAAGTAAGTTGCGTACTTTTTTTATTATTTGGCTGGTCAATGCACTGGGTGAAATTCTCACTGTTGGGTCTGGACCAGATACCTGAGTACTGAACAAGAAATGAATTTTCTAAGTGATTAACAAAAGCCCCTAATTCTCTACCTTTTTAAAAAAAAAAAAATCTCTATATGGTTTTCAAAGTTAAGTAATTCTTAATGGTTTCCATAGAAATTAGGATCAGTACATATTTATGTACAAAAGGGGGGAAAAAAAAAACTTACTTCATCCTTGCTCTTCTGGTTATCAACTCTTACACCTGTTGATACCATCATTAGAGTTCTCTCAACATCAGTTCCTTTCTTCTCCCTATACACGTAATCTTTGGAGCTTTGGTCCATCACAAGTAGACCAGACATGGGATCCGTTGAATCCTAAAACAAAAGGTTTCTTATAGTTTAGATAATACAAATATAAATCAAGCACATAAAAGATAAACCAGAACAAAACTCCAAAACAAAAAAAAAAAGGTACAAATTTACATGTTATGAAATTATGAATAGAATATATTCTTATTACGAAGTCAATCCTCATAATCCACTGCTTTTAACTTTATTTAGCATCTTTCTTTTTTTTTTAATGCCTATTTAGCATCTTTCTAGAATTGTATTTGTCACGAAAATCCAACACAAAGAAAGACAAAAACTGCATTTAAAGGGAAAAAAAAAGGGAACACATTTTTTTTTTTTTTCAAAAAAGAAGAAAGAAATAAGAAGATAGAATCAACCAACCCGATCAGAGGAAGCTCTTTCAATGGCGGATCCGAACCAACCAGTCGCGCAAATCTTCAGCACTCCGAGAAACAAACACAGACCACAGAACACCAAGAACATCCAATGTCCGAGCTTCTTCTTTTCCCTAAGCCCTAAATCCACAACCACCGATCCAATTTTCTTCCTCAACGCGAATCTATGCCTCCTTTCCAGAACCGAGTCAAATCCGTCGACGGAACTCAGATTACCGCCGATTTCAGATCTAGGCGAGTTCAGCTGAAGCTCAATCTCGTGGTGCGGACTCAATCCGCTTCCGTTGTTTCCGCCGCCGCCGCCGCCATTGTTGCCGGTGTTGGTGCCGCTCTGCGAGGAGCTGTTGGCGTTGCGCTTGAACGAGTGGGCCCGGCGAGTCATCGGGCCGGAGAATCGCGGGCTGTTGACGCGCTGCGAGACTCCATCGCTGGGGCTGTGCTGGTGGTGATGGTGATGGTGACCCATGTCCTGCATATCGCGATCGCTAGTGGTTGGCCTGAGATCGAATCGCCATTCACGAACCAGATAAGCTTCGCTTCGAGTCTGTATCTAGCTCAGAACGCCGTCGTTTTATCTCTTCCGCGTCGTCTGTTTTGCTCTGAAGTCAATCGGAAGTTTTCTTTCTTTTTTTTTTTGCTTTCCTTTTCTTTTTTATTTTTGTTTTTAACTTTATTTTTCTCTTTCTGGTGCAAATAGAATCGAAAGCTTTTATTGAAAATGAAATGGAGAGAACCGTGTATTTGCGCGTTATTCAGTGGATAATGATAATGTTCGTTCTTTGCACTTTAGTGCCCCCTGAAATGTTGGATCTTAGTTTCCATTAAAAAATATAAAATATGTCTATACATATGTCAAAAATGGAAATCCGGCAAAATAAAAGATTTTTTAATATATACATGTCAAATATGGGAAATAAAAATAGGGGAAATATCAAATATACCAAAGTGATGGCCAATGGGTTTTTTTTTTGTCCTCTGTATAAATTTGAATTCTGTGCTTATTTATTTATTTATTTTTTTTATATTTTTGAATTTTGTTGCTTATATGGGTTTTGACTCTAGTAATGAAATGGTAAAAATGTTGGTGAATCTTACCAAACTAACTTGATTCACTGTTTATTTTCTGTAATTGTATGAAACATGAATAGGATTTATGCCTTTTTTTTTTTTCCTTAAAGAGGAAGATAAGTTTTCCATTATCTTTCCTGTAAAGCGTTCCTAAGAATGAATCCTTTTCACCCAAAAAAAAAAAAAAAAAAGTGTCCCTACGAAAAGGTAAAGTAATAATTTTCTTACTAAATGGTCAAATTGAAAGGAAGAAAAAAAAAGTGTCAAGAATGACAGCAATGAAAAAGACACAACTAAAACACAGGACTTAATTAGTAAAATATTAAATAAAAAAAGGTAATAAGAATCAGAATTAAATAAGAGGAGAGCTCAAGTCCAAATCTCAAAGGTAATGCAAAAGATGGTCCAAAACTGGATGACGAGAAAAAGAATCTTCAATTATTGAGGGTCGTCATCTCTATTTTTAATCATGTTATCCCGTGAAAGCTTATTTATGCACTATTTGGAAATAAATACAAATAATTGAAAGGGATTTATCACCATCTATATATACATTGGATGTTTTTCCCATATCAAGTTTTTTTTTTTTTTTTTTTTTTTTTTTTTTTTTTTTTTTTTAGCATTTCTTCTTGGAGCTTAGTGGTTTTGATGTTCTATTTGTAATTACACCGGCCGTGTAATTTTGGCTTTTGTATTAACTATGGTTGTTTCTGTTATTATTGTTCCGGACTAATGAAGTACTTTTCCGCCAAAAGATAAAATTTTGCCTATCTTGGTGTATTCTCTGTCTTTTAAGGCAAGAGAATACACTATAAAAGCCAAGAATGAACAAGTAGCAAAAAAAGATCATATTTTTGTTGGTGTAATCCCAATCAAATGAATCCTTAAACAAAGAATTAAACAACATCGAGAAGAACACCAAAAATCCTGCAAATTAAACAAGTAAAGAAAAAGGGCACCGGTGTGGTAATTGGTACAAAAAAAAGGGCACTCTAATGCTTAAGTCAGCAAGCTTTTAGTCAATGGAGTTTTGTGTATTGTAAGAAAAATGTGCAACTTGGCCTCTGAAAATGAGAGAAATTTATAGACCTTTAGAGAATATCCAGTAATAAATGGATGAGTTCTACCTTTGAAACAAATGAGACGATTTATTTCATTTTTGAGCAATGACTGAATGCAACATTTCTTAATAGAGAAGTGATTTTGTGGATAATATAATGTAACATTAATTAAAATATTTTAACTGACATGATATTTTAGTTAAAGAAACACGATATTTAATTGCAATGTCATGGTATTATTTCATAACACAAAATGAGACATAAATAAATAGCATACAACAGTCGAATTCTTTTAAAACTCCTTTTTTTTGTGGGGCGTGTTTAGCGTACTGAACACATACAGCCAAAGTCAACGTAAGTTAATGATTATTTTATTATTGTGAAAAAAAAAAAACCTCCGACACAGTTAAGAGTAGAAATTTCTGCGCAGTATGATTTTGCTACAAGTTCCTTCTCAAGTTCACGGGGTAGACTATACCTTTTTTTAGAAAAAAAAAAAGAAAAAAAAAGAAAATTATCAATTTCAGCAATTTGGAAAATATGGGGAGGAAATGGAATTGTCCGTACACCATTGCCCACCATTAGCGACTCACTTTTTATTTTATCTATTTATTTATTTGTAAACCAATATTGACTTGTTAGACTTCTTCGTGTTTAGAAGAGGTGGTTATTAGTGTGATTGGTTTAGGTAATCAAACTAATTCAACTAAAATCCTAATCTACGAGGCGGGGGAAAAGTCGCTGCACAGGTTAGGAAAAAAAAAAAAGATTAGTGGTCTGATAATGACTTCTTTTCTCTATTCAAATATCTAATTACATTCTTAATCCTTCAACCCAATGAAAAAAAAAAAAAAAAAAAAAAACTGCATTTTTTTACAGAAACGCTGCATCACAGTGTGATCCCAATGATATGATTATATGAACCACGTGATTGCTGTTCTGGTCCTTAAAGTTTGGCGGGGCCCACCCAAGAAAATTCTTGAAGCTGATTAGTTTAGCATTCAAATGATTAGATTCCGTGACTCTGATTGGCCCACCCAATAAAAGACGTACTTTTTTTAAAAAATAGAATTACAAAAACCGACTCTTAAATACATCATTCTCAAATTTTACTTTTTTGTTGTGATAAATACTTATTTAATAATAATATGTTAAATTATTAATAATAATTTATAAAATTACACCCACAATCTAGTGACTAGAGATCCGTCATTAATATAATTTGTCAAATTATTTATTCTAAATAAATAAAAAGTTGATAAATTAATGTTGAGATTTAAAACTCCTTAATAGTATTATTTTAAAAGATATTTGTCAAAATTATTCTTTTATTTTCTTTTCTCTTTTTCTTTTTCTTTCTTTTTCTTTTCTTTTTTAAAAATCCTCCTTTTTTTTAAAAGGGTATAAATCTTATTATAAAACAGTTAATATTGGTAAATATGTAAGGGAGTACCAATCTTTTTTTTTCCCTCAAACACAACCATACTATTTCTCAAACAATGCAATATCAAACTTGCGTCCTTTTAAATTCAATCTCCTTCCAACGTACTTTTAAGGAGACGTTTGGTTCATAGATTAGAATTATTTTCGATTTATATGTATTTTTTATGAGAGAAAATACTATAACAAATCACGAACTATGATTCGAATCAGGAGATGAATTCCCTAACCAAATAACCTCTAAATGTTTGATCATCGACAACACAATCTTAACACGGGGTTAAACATTGCTGAGAGAAAAAAAAAAAAACATGATGAGAAGAAATACTTAAATAAAATAGAGAACAATGAAAACCCAAATGAAAAGGTAAAAAATTTTAATATTGGTTGATGACAGTTTTACTCAATACTTATATTCAGTATAAAACGTTTGCTCCGATGATAAATTATCAACGTGCTTATTCAGTTATTCTTCATTTATCACACAACGGTCTCTCTCTTTTTTTTTTTTTTGCATAGAATAATAAAATAAAACACAATAAAATTTGGATAAAAAAGATATATTCCCACCGATAATCTTCCAAAAATGAATAAAATTTCAGGGAAAATACCCAGCTGTCATCGTTCTGTTATGCATATTAGAGACTATATGGAAATCGCAACTTTGTGACTTGGACTTTCTTGGCCGAATGCCAGCGACCCTTGTTTAGACATTGCGGCGGATCCATACCAAGACGGTGATAAAGTTGGCAAGCATTTTATGAAATACATGGTTTTAGTAATCTTTCAGAGTTTCTCTTATAGGACCATGAAAAAATGAACTATCAATAGTTAATTTTTAATTATCTGATTTATATTAAAAATTAATTTTTTTATATTTTTTAAATTTAATGTAATTTTATAAAATATAATGTTTAGAAACTGACTTTATTAATAAGCCGGCCTATCGAAGAAAATTCCTTAATCTTTATAACAACTCTCTAAATTCTTGAAAAACTTTTGGATTAAGGCAAATACTAATAAAATCTCTCAAATAAATGTTGGCTTAGACTCAGTGATAAGTGATGGACCACTGATCAAAGATTTAATTGAGTATGATGTAAATGGTGCCATTAAAGATGGCTCGCGTGATCAACTCAGGGCGGACTTGTTTGGAAATTTGGTTTGTATTGTTTTTCTTTAATAAACTTGGAAAAAAATTGTTTCAGAAGAGATTCAAGTCACTTGTCCAGTAATAATTGATGAGAGAAAAGGATTTTGCTTTATCTTTTTTGTATCATTGGGATTTTTTTTGGATCAGATCTTGTCTATTCATTATTCATGGGTTGAACTATCTTAAGAATGTTTTTTTATGTAATGAGAAAAATGCAAATAGGCGGACAAAAATTGTTCATCGGTCTGATTGTACGACAAACGAGAGGAAAGGATAAAACGGCAAAAAAAAAAAAAACGACAACAGAAGTAAACAAGAACCAATTGAAAACGACGAAAAATATATAAAACAACAAGAACAAAAAACGACAAGGACGAATGACAACAAGTGCAAAACAACGACAAAAGGCTAAATGGCGAGAAAACTAAAAACGACAATGAAACCAAATCCAATAAAAGAAGTAAACAATAAATTAAAAACAAAGACCAATAATTTGAATGACAAAAATAAAGGAAAACGATGGAAAACGACAGCATAAAAGAGGCAGGAAACATATAGAAACTACAATAAACGATCAGAAGCTGCTCGCTTTGAGGTTGTTGACACACCTGATATCAAAGATTGCCTGGTAGTCCTTTTTCTACTTCCCTGGAGATTGTGAAAGATCGAGAAAAGAGAAATCTGCAGGCGGGTACGGTATGGTTTCCGAAGAAGTGTCAATGAGAGCGCAGGAAAAAGGTAGCTCCCTCGCTTCAAGAATTATCCTTCGGTGTTTGGCTCGCAATTCTGATAGATTAGTTTCGCTTGATTACGTCCCGGACCATTTGAGGCACCAGCTAAGTCAGTTGCTATGCCATTCTGGAAGAATGAGTGGTCATTTTCTAAAGCTTCTGGTTCAAGGATCCCCAACAGAGCTTTGGTTGAGGGATTGTTCTTGGCTTAGAGAGGAAGTGTTTAAAGAATCTTTTCAGAACTTTGATCCGAGCGAATTAACGGTATGTTTTCTCATTTCTTAATAATGTTTGGTATTGTTGAGAACCCTTAACATATTTCCGACAATGTAACTTGATCTAACATATCTAGTGTTTTGCCATAGCATTGCCATATCTGTGACAGGGTCGTCTTTGGTGGTCGTTTTATCTAATTTTAATACACAAATTTGTCGAAGCAAGACTCAGTAAACATATTTTATTTTGGCTTTGAAACAAATTGATTCTCATATTCAGTAGTGAGTACTTGGGGTAATTTGTATCATGGATAGTTTATTTTCCATACATAATGTATATCTCTTCCAGTTTGGAAGGCACGTACTATTGAAGAAGTAAATAATCGATAACTAAGTGACTAGTCAATCATGATTGACTTGGATTGAATTCAACTAGCTAGTATGACTAGATAAAAATAAAATAAAAAAGGTATAGGGTTTAAAGCTCATTGATATATTTATGTTTGTCTTTTGTGACATTTCATGCTTGCTATGATTTTCTTATGGGGCATGGAATATGAGCCTGCAGATACTCGTCTCCCTTGTCATTGTTCTTCTTTCTATTTAAGGTGGATTTTATTCTCTTTTTGAATCAGGTGCTACGACTTGGTACGCACGGGCACTGTCTGCCAGATTATGTATTGCCTGCTACCTTAGCTTGCTCGGCAAACAGTTTACCTGCACTAACCAATTTATTAGTTTGTGGTGCATACCAGCTTACAGACGTTGGACTAAGTGCTCTTGTTTCTTCTGTCCCTGCACTTAGATCTCTCATCCTCACCGTGTGCCCCTTTGTCACCTCCTTGAGTATTATCACCATAGCCAACTCATTGGCTTCGGTCCTGAGAGTATTGCGTCTTGGGCATTGCCTAAGGCTTGACGCCATGATTATTCTGCCAGCACTGAAGAAACTTGAAAAGTTGGAGGATTTGTCTGTAGAAGGCATTGAAAATATTTGTGACGAGTTTATTGAGGAATTTATTAGCATTCATGATCATAATTTGAAGGAGCTTAGTTTGGCTGAGTGCAAAGAAGTTGGTATAGGATGTTCTATTCATAACGCTTGTGATGCACAACTTTCGTGTAGTTTCATAACACTTTCTGTTACATGGATTCTTTGTTCGTTATGTTGTTTGTTTTTAAATTGGTGCAGCAATTTGACAGATTCTTCATGAAGATAATTGCTGAGAAATGTCCCGGCTGACGTGCAATTGACCTTTGGGACTTGGGACAAATTGACAGATGCTTCCTTAGGATATCTTGCGAATGGTTGTCAAGCAATTCGAAGATTAAAACTCCACAACCAACAGTTCAGGTTGTTGCCATAATGTAGACATTGATCTATCTTTCCCCTTGGATTATATTTAAATGTTCTCTTTTTGCTATATAATTGAGGATTAGTCAAATTTATGTTGTTAACAATTTAAATTACTGAACCAATTTCATAAAGAATGTTGTGGCTGTTTAACCTATATTATATATATATATATATATATATAGTTATGGAAATGGATGATTTGTTCTCACATATGGTAAACTATGGGGCTTGGTGAAGAAATAAGGAACTGCAGTCTAATTGATGCTTGTTTATATTATACTTTACCTGGTTCTCTTCAAAATTTTGAGAACTTGTAGTATTTCTGTGGTTTGTATTCTCAATTCTGCTCTTGTACAAGTGATATTATAATCTACAACGAGAAAATATGTTCAAACTTCAGGTAAGTAATTTATAACATTTGTGTTTGATTCAAAGAAATGTATGGAAGCGAATAACTCTAGGGCACACGGTTGATGTCCACTGACTGACAGACTAATTGAAATGCCCTTTTTGGATGACGACGGTGATGAATGTATTGCTGCATTTCTGGAAACCTCTATCTAGAAGAACTTGTATTGAATAAGGTCAGGAAGGTATTTATTCTCCCTCTGTCGCTGTTATGCATTTGTACATGGATACACTATTTCTCTCATTGTGTTCTGTGAGTAAATTGCATGAACCAGAGAGCCATGGCTGCCCGACTTCATGCTTCTCTAGTTCACTTGCTGTGTTTTGATGTGTCCGTAGAAGCTGGTCTAGTGTAGCATTGTTTGTTGAGTTTCTGTTCGTTGCTTGCTTGCTGCGATTTTATGCCAAGTTAATTTTTGCTAAAAACTTGAGTGCCTATTTAGGTTGGTTGGCAGACAGCCTTATCAATTGTCGGGCGTTCAAGAATGTTGCGTAGTCTGGATCTAACATATTGCCGAGGTTTAACAGACAATGAACTGGGCTTTGATTGTGGACAGTTTCCTATCGTTGAGGGTGCTTAAACTATCTGAATGTACTAGGGTAAACTTACAAAACAGAACACATATACATTTGTACACTTGACCAGTGTGTTCAACCCATGTATGCTATAGAGTAGAGAGTGACATATAAGGTGTTTTCTCTGTAGATTACGGATGCTTTTATCAATGGCCACTCCAATCCTGGATTAAAAATCATTGGCTTTCCAACGTTTCGGGTGCATAGTGGATTGACGGGACGCTTATGGCTACGAGATCCATGACTTTCCAGAAGGCAAAACTAGTCTAACAAGTTGTACAAACCTGTTACAGATTTTCACTAATAATGTAATTAGACTGAGTAAGATAGAGACCATAAAAATTTTGTTTTGTTAGGTCTGCAAATATTCAATTACAAGTATGCAATTTTTTCAATTGTTTTTAGGTTGCGGAATTGGATTACCGGCCTCTATTGTTTCCTGTAGAATTGTCTATTTAGTTGGATGAAATCCTAGTTGAGGTTAGTCTTTCAACATTCATGTTCTTACTTGCTGCACGTACGTACGACTTTTTCCTTTTACACAAATTTCCGGCTAATTTTGAAAAAGATATAAAAAATAAAAAGTATAGGATGGACAGTGTTTATAACGTCTCCGATTTTAATGTTGGTCCCTTCAAAGAGTATGGATGGACAGTGATTTTAATATCATTTATGCTTTGAAATTGTGCCTTACCTTTATGACAAAATTCTTGGGGCAATAAAATCTAAACAGGATATCTCTCATTTATTTCCTTTTTTTTTTCTTTTTAGCAAATTATAGTCAGTAGTTCGGTTTTGAATCTTTTTCAATTCTTCATATTAGAACATAACTTACTACCGACAATTGTTAATAAATAACACTTTCTGAAGAAAATTTATAATAATAAAAATTAGTTTATTAACTAAAAAGTAGTAAAATATTGTGTAAATAAAAAAGTAAATATTGATTAAAAATGCATATTATATAGGAGTAAACCGTGTAAATCCCGAATCTATTAATTTGATAATGTGATAAGCCGGAGTAAATTTTAACTTATCAAATTTGATCATGGATAAATATGATAAATTCTGAATTCACTGACAAATTCAGTGATAAATTCAGATAAATTCTAATTTATCAAATTTGATCACGTAATAAATTCTGTAAATATCTAATTTAAAAACCTAATCCTAATATAAATTTAAATAAATTCTGAATTTACTAGATTTGATTCCCAAATAGAGTGAATAAATCTCGAATTTCTTTCTATTGACTAACTTACTGTAAAGTTCTACTATCTTTTTTATTTCCTGAAGAAAAGGCCATTTACCTCTTTTTTCTGTAGAAAAGAAAAGAGAAACATTAAAAACGTTTGATCTAGTGGCAGCCCTCGTTTGGGTAGAGTTGGGGCTTGGATAGAGGTTGCGGATTTGATCCGGCCGTAAAAAAAACAAAAACAAAAACAAAAAAGAGAAAAGAAAGGAAAAAGAATAAACGAGACACAAGGGTTTATCAGATGGCGGGAAAATATAACCAACATATAAGCATGTCCCGAAAGCTTCTTCCTTTCTCAAGCCATAAACGGTGGCGCAAAACCTAACTCCTACTCTCTCTTCTCTCTGTCCTACAGAATTAAATATCAATGGCGGTTTTGAGATCTCGCGAAATCGTCCCAACTGGAACACCACCAAAACCCCAAAAAACAAGGAATGACAATAAGCTCGAACCTCCTACCCCAGCCCAGACCAAAGAGTCCTCTCCATCCTCGCACCAGGACCCGATTCCCATCTCTACCGGGTCAGCGCCCGGTCGGGTTCCAGTACTCGGAGTGGCGCCGAGGCGGAGCCGCCGACTCGCTTCCAAACTGGTGGAACCGCCCGCTGAGGGTCCGTCTCGGGATTCGGTCCAGGACGGCGGTCGTCAGCGTCGGAAGGGTGGGTCACGTGAGGACGCCGCGTACTCGGCGGAGGAGAAGGCGAAGGAAGAAATTGAGGAGGTGAAAACGGATTCTGGTTCGGAGGAGCCTAGGTTTTGGTCTTCGGATTTGGAGGAGGCGAAGGGGAAGAGGAAGTTGGGGGTCGTCGATGGTTATCTTCCGTCTCTGGAATGTTCGGAGGACGGCGAAGGGGGAATTGGGGTTTTGAGTCTGCGGTCTGGGAAGAGAGTCTCGAAGAGAGGAAATGACGGAATTGAGGGAGGAAGACAAGTTGGAGAGTTCGGGAAAATTGGTGAAGATAAGGGAAAGGCGATTTTGGATTCCGAAGAGGCATCGGGGGAATTTCGGATTCCGAAAATAAGTAAGGGCAAGAGAAAGATCAGTGACTCAGGTGAAGAAGAAGTAATTGCCGATGAAAATGGTGATAACAGGAAGAGGAAAGGGAAAGGATTATTGGTTGAAGATGATGGCTTGGTGTCTAATTCCAACCTTGACGTGGAAATAAGATTAGAAACTGAAGTTGAGAATAATTCTGGTGACAATGTAGTGTCAAATGAAGGGCAGGTTAGAAATGAGTTCATGGAAAGGTTCCGTGATATCGCCAGGCGAAATGCTTATCGGTTTGCTCATTTTGATGGTGAAGAAGAGGATAATGAGCCTCATTCTGAGGTTGATGACGAACCCGATATCGAAGATTGGCCTGGTCCTTTTTCTACTGCCCTGAAGATTATTAGAGATCGAGAAAAGAAAAATCAGCAACCGGGTAATTCCTCGTCTCGGGAGAAAAAACCCGCAGATGTGGTATGGTTTCCGAAGAGCAACCAGGATTGCAAGTGGTCGAAGAATGTTGTTCCCTCGCTTCAAGAATTATCCTTGCGGTGTCTGGCCAACAATGCCGACAAATTGGTTTCACTTGATTACTTCCCAGACTGTTTGAAGCACCGGCTGAGTCAGTTGCTCTGCGATTCTCGAAGAATGAATGCTCATGTTTTTAAGCTTCTGCTTCAAGGGTCTCCAACAGAGGTTTGCGTCAAGGATTGTTCTTGGCTAACAGAGGAAGAGTTCACAAAATGTTTCCAGAACTTTGATCCGAGCAACTTAATGGTATGCTCTTTCATTGATTGATGATGCTTGCCTTTGTTTAGAACTACTAATATTTTTATAAGCTAAAAATTACCAATTTTTTTGGCCACATGACAGCTCTATTGTTCTCCATATCATTACCATATCATATTATATCATTGATCCTGTCTTTTTAGTGTCGTTTTGGTCGTTTCTTTTTTATATAGAAGAAGTAAATCTATATCTTCTAGTTTGGAAGGCATGTACTATTGAAGAAGTAAATAATTGGGTGGTAGCATAATCGAGTAGCTAAGTGACTGTCTAGTCGATCATGATTGACGTTGACTTTCTAAGCCTACTTGAGTGTTGAACAAAAACATTGTCATAGCTGAATTTGCTGCAACAGATGGTTGTTGTCTAATTTGTAAAAGGAAATAGGGTGGATTTTCTGAAGGACGTTTGACATTTGGCTAAAAATCCAAGATCGTTCACTCTAATGGATGTAATCTGTTTTGCGTAAGAGTGGTGCAGTCCAGTGCGTGCTCTTTGCTGTATATCACAAAGCTTCTTTTTTATTGAAGCAGGGAAGACAGGTTTTTGAACGATGACAATAGAATTTGTAAAATAAATTTAACTTGCTAGTCTGAAAAGATAAAAAAGAAGGGAAAGAAAAAAATAATTGGATTGAATTCTCACTGGTATATTTTCGCCCATTGTTTGTGACAATTTTGTGCTTGCTATGTTATTCTTATGGGGCATGTGCTATAGGCCTGCAGATTCTTGTCTTCGTTGTTATTTTTCTCTTTCTATATAAGCTGGATTTTATTCTCTTTTTCAATCAGGTGTTACAACTTGGTTTCTGCGGGCGCTGTCTGCCAGATTTTTTATTGTGTTCTACCTTAGCTTGTGCTGAAAACAGTTTGCCTGTGCTAACTACTTTATCAGTTCGTGGTGCATGCCGGCTTTCAGATATTGGACTAAAGTCTCTTGTTTCTTCAGCCCCTGCACTTAGATCTCTCAACCTCACCGAGTGCTCCCTTCTCACCTCCTCGAGTATTGACACCTTAGCTAACTCATTGGGTTTGATCCTGAGAGAGTTGTATCTTGATCAGTGCCTAAGCATTGACGTCATGCTTACACTGCCAGCGCTAAAGAAACTTGAACAATTGGAGGTTTTGTCTTTAGCAGGCATTGCAACTGTTTGTGACAAGTTTATCAGGGAATTTATTAGCATTCGTGGCCACAATATGAAGGAGCTCATTTTGGCTGATTGTGTGTAAGTTGTTTTAGCATATCTTATGTTTGATGCTTGTGATGCACAACTTTCATCTAGTTCCATAAGCTTTTCTATTTCACAATTTCTTTGTTGGTTACGTTGTTTGTCTTTAATTTGGTGCAGAAACTTGACAGATTCTTCATTGAAGATTATTGCTGAGAAATGTCCTGGCTTACGCGCGGTTGACCTTTCAAACTTGCGCAAGCTGACAGATTCTTCTTTAGGATATCTTGCCAATTGTTGTCGAGCAATTCAAAGACTAATACTCTCCCGCGATCTGTTCAGGTTGTTCCCTAACATAGCCATTGAAACAACTTTCTGCTTGTACTATTTTGACATGTTTTGTTTTTTGCTAGATAATTGATTGGTTGTCAAGTTTATATTATTAACTAGTTTAAATTACTAAATCCATTTCGTAATGAATCCTCTATCTGTTTAACCTTAATCTGTTATTGTTTTAGCTTTAGTTATGGAATTGGATGATTGTTCTCTTAAATGAAAATCTATGGGGCTTATTGAAGAAATAAGGAACTGCAGCATATTTCATGCTCGTTTATATTATATTTAATATGGGTCTCTTAGACGTTTTGAGAACCTGTAGCATTTCTCTATATATATTACAATCTATAGGGAAAAACTGTGTTGAAATTTCTGGTAAGATAGGCACTGTTCAACATTTCGTTTGAATTAAAGAAATGTATGGAACTTTGGAAGCGATTTACTCTGGCTATCTTCTTTCAGAACTCATGCTTCTTCTTATGCTGGTTACATGATCTCAAGTGATTTTATGGAAGGTTCTGTGCTCACCCCATATTGTTGGTGGCCTCTGACTTACACTAATTGATATATCTTTTCCGTACAATGACAGTGATAAAAGTATTGCTGCATTTCTGGAAACCTCTGGAGAGTGTCTAGAAGAACTTTCATTGAATAGTGTCAGAAAGGTACCTACTCTCTCTCTATTTATCTGTTATGCAATCGAATGTGCAAACCCTATTTTCGTTATGGTGTTCTATGTATATAAATTGAATGACTTCTCATCACGGGAACCCATGGTTCCCTAAACATTTTGGCTTCTGCTTCAATTATTGGTTGATATTGGCATCTGCTTACCATTTTGCATAGTTCAGTCATTGGGTTTCAATGTGTCCATAGAAGCCAGCTCTAATTACTGTTGCTGAGTTTCTGTTCGTTGCTTGATTGCTGCGATTTTATGCCAAGTTATTTTTGCTAAAAACGTGAGTGCCTATTTAGGTTGGTTGCCACACAGCCTTATCAATTGCTAGGCGTTTAAGAGTGTTGCGTAGTTTGAATCTATCATTTTGCCGAGGTCTGACAGACAACGCACTGGGCTTTATTGTGGACAGTTGCCTATCGTTGAGGGTGCTTAAAATCTTTGGCTGTACTCAGGTAAACTTATAAAACGGAACATAGATACCTGTTCGACATTCAGTGTTTTCAACCCTTGTGTGTTATATAATAGGAGATGAGGTAAGGTGTTTTTTCTCTGTAGGTTACCAGTGTTTTTGTCAATGGCCACTCCAATCCGGATGTAAAAATCATTGGCCTGCCAATGTGTCCTGTGCTAGAAGATTTTAAAGAGCCAAGCGTATGAAGCTACACTAAAATATTCCTTAGCGTCGATTTTGTCTCCAACTGGACGCTTCGGGGTATGACGTCTGAGTCTCCAAAAGGCAAAACTAGGGTAACAAGTTTGGTGCCCTGTTGCAGAATTTGACTAATTCAGTTCATCTGCACAATTTCTAAGGCCTCTATCTTACTCGGTCTAATTACTTTTGTAAACAGAATACACAGTTGTACCTGTCACATTACTAACCTTTTACAAGCACTGGTGTAAATGACAGGAATGCCATTTTGTTAGTTATTTTATTCACTTAATGATGGAGATGCTGTTTATTTATTGCATTTTTGAGGTTGTAGAATTGGATTACTTTTGTGAGAGTCCGACTCAACCTGACGGGATTGAATACAAGCGTTTTTAAAAGGCTTCGCTAATCAATGGTATAACGCGTTTCCTGAGCCAACAGTTAAAAACTACGTCAGTTCGAGAAAAACGTTGACTTATTTTTTAACATTTATAGTCCTTTTTGTATAATATTCATCTTGTGTTATTAGAATCCTTTTTCTATGGCCCTTATCTTGGAATCTCTTGTTTCTCAAGAATTTGGCCATTTATTTTATCATACTTTAACCAGTTTATAATAAATACAAGATTCATATCATACTTTGAAAAATACTTTTTAAATCTCAATCTCATGAAAGTATTCCAACAATAACATATATAAATTGGAAACATTCATTAAAAATATACTATTATTCAAGTGATGCAGTGGAAGGTACACTTACAAATTCGCTGGTCGATTTGTTCTCTCTCTCTCTCCCTCTCTCGCCTCCTCCATATGAAGGATTCATAGCTTGTCATCTTATATTCTAGCCCTTGGATCAAAGCATATGTGGATAGATCCTAGCCATTGATTCCATATATAATATTTACCATTGGATCATAAGTGTTTTGGCTAAATCTTGGTCATTGATGAAATTCCAAGTGTCTAATAAAAGACAATGTGAACTTTTCTTCTTTTTTAATCTTGACAAGTGTTCACTTAGAAAAAAATTTGAACTTTTTTTCTTTTCTAATCTTGACAAGTGTCCATTACATGTGAATTTTTCTGTATTTATATGTTATCTGATAAGACATGTATTATTAATGGATACCGCTCAAGTGGTATTGAAAATTGGCCAAGCTTTTGCAGTTCATCTTCTAAAATGTTATACTGGCAAACGTGATTGTTGCAGTATAGAAATATAACATCTCCATTGTTTGCGTAAAAACCCAGAATATGCTTTTACCTCTTTCCCTTCAATGCATGCCTCACGCCCCAAATTCCACAAATAAGTCACTGTAGCATTGTCGTTGCAGTCCCTCAGCTCCCACACTCTCAAAACTTCCTCTCCATCACTCTCCTTCATCGGTAAACCGGCCAACCGAAGCCTGCCCAGCAAGCTCCAAGAAACAGATTAATGGACCTTTTAATCGGAGTTAACTACCGTACTTTAAATTTAAATAGAGGGTTGGGATCGGTAGGCGGGTCGATAAAACCCACTGGTTTTTATCACCAGTGCCTGTAAACGGGTCGAAAGCAACAGTTGCGCAGCGATAGCTTGGCTCTATATCGCTTAGCCAGTGTATAACTCCATTGCAAGAGACTACACCACCATTATTCCATGGATGTATATAACAGAACATCTCCGACTGCAGCAGCGGGGTTTGGACAACTGATTCGGTCCACTTTTGCGTTTCAGGAGAAAAGATTAATGCTGTATATGGTTCATGATAACCACCGGAAAGATAGACCAACACTACTTTATAGTTATATCCCAACTTTCCGTTGCAGTTGTTGGGTTTGCATACGAGTCTGACCCTGGAAATAGCTTTTAAAATGCATTCTCCACTGTCTCCCTCTCTTTCTAGTCGCGCGGCGAGGGGGAGCACGTGCCACTACCTGGTGAGAGGATTGCAGAGATAGAAGTTCTTGCTTTAAAGAGATGGAGAAACAAGCAATAAATCCTCGAACCACGCTATTACCAGCATCGGCTCAGGGAGGAGATTTAGGTAATCAGATGATGTACCTATTCTTGGATGGAGATTCTTTGATTTCTTGCAAAATAATTGATGGAAGTCGGTCCCTTGTTTCTTTGGCCAATCAGATCCCATTGAAATATTTTTAATTGAAAGATAAAATTATAGGGCAGTGAGTTGGAACCGGAAGTTTGCCGCTGCTGGTGACTGAAACTTCGAATGACGTAAGGCGTCGAAATCAGAGAAAACCAGCGCTTGCAGACAGAACTACATTGCATTGCAGATCATAAATCAAGTCGAATGAGTATTTCAAAGAGTAGATCATCCGAATTGGAGAGACACCACATACGAAATTAACCCAACACACTTCAAAAGCTCAACTTGACCTAAAAACTTAACCTATTAAGTATTAGGTTATTCTATGTATATAAATCATTTTACATCCTCATTTACTTTTTATGTAGAACAACACACATACGCACTTTTCTTAACAAAAACGTCGTTCAGGAATTTAGCTAATGCTGCAGTTGATGGCTCTTTGGTTTCGGTTTCGCTTATATGTTGCTATATGGAACTATCACTGGGAACCATGATTACAAAATTAGCTATGGAAGCAATGGAACGCCAACTGCTCTCTTGTATCTTCAATTAAAAATAAACATGTTGTGAGATTTACTTTATATGAAAAATAAAAAATATATAAGAATTACTTATGATAATAGGAATAGAAAACATTATTCAAATATTATTTGTTCTTGATTATGAAGAAAATGACTTTTTGCGTTTACACAAGTTTTAATTGACACATTTCTAGGTGATTCTGAAGGAAAAAAAAAGTTGGAGGATAGACCATGTCAACAACGTCTCTGATAATTCAGAAGCGCAAACAATTTTCTTTTTTCTTTTAGAAGCGACCAACTTTTGTCGTAAACAAGCCAGATTTATTAAAGTTGACTACCTGGATGGACAATGCTTTTCTTCTTCAGAGGCACCGACAATAATTTTCCTCTTTCTTCAAGGGAATCATCTTTTGAAGTAAATAAAGGCAAATTTAAGCATATCTCAAAGTCATTACACAATACTACAAGTAAATCAAAGGTGAAAATTCCCTTGAGCAAAAGCACAAAAAAGAGTGAAGATTCCTACTTCAGATCCGTGAGAAAGAAAACTGGTTGCAGAGAAAACTTCTTGTGGGAAATATGTACGGATTTATAGCAAAAGAAACAAAGCAAGGGTAAGAATAAGAAAAAGTGAAGTTGTTCTAGAAATGCAATCAATGTCTCTTAACATCCTCAGTACTCATATGGAACAACAAAAGTAATAGATTTTACTTTACGCAGCCAAGAAGAAAAGCGAACATAAATTAAAGGAAAATTTTCATTTTAATACCCTCTGTTGTATTAAAACTTGAGTATCTTCTGTTTTTGAAAATTTCTTGCTTGTATCTCAACCTTTTAGAAAATTTTTTTTTTGGTACCTAGAAGTCATTTTTTGGGACACAAAAAGATAAAATTGCCCTTATTGTAAAAATTCATCTGTTTACTAGAATTTTAAAGAAAACGAAGATTTTAAAAAAAGATTTTGAAGAGATGAATTTTTTAAAAAGGATTATGTTCTATAGGTATAATAATTTTTAAAATCTTTTTTTTTCTTTAAAATGTTTGGTCAACAGATGAATTTTTACAATAAGAGTAATTTGTCATTTTGTGTCCCAAAAAATGACTCCGAGATACCAAAAAAAGATTTTCTAAAAGGTCGAGGTACCGACATGAAATTTTCAAAAACAGATTATACCAAACTCAAATTATGTTATTGCAGAGAGTACTAAAATGAAATTTTCCCTAAATTTCCATTACTACTTGCATCTATATACAACCAATATTTCCACCCATCGTAGGTGAAAAGACTTGGTTCAAATAATTGTATCCTCTGGGAAGAGAGAGGCACACAAATTGATCAATGGCACTTCCATTAGATGTTGATCCTTCCTTTGGAGTAATCCGTAATGATCATACTCCTACAATTAGGGCACATGAACAACCATTTGTTAAAAGTCATGAAGCCATCCTCAGTTTCAACAGAACCACTGAAACTGCAACAACAAGCACTAGCACTACACAGCAGACCGTCGCTTATCAAAACTATGGTTAGCAACTTTTAAGGGTATGTTTGGAGGATGGGTTCAAACGATCCTGATTTGGGTTCAAATAATATTTTTTCTCATAAAAAAATTTGAATTTAAAAAGTTCTGCTATAATGTTTTCTCTCATAAAATTTGAATTTTAGTTGCTCAAACCACCTGATTTGAACCCACCTTCCAACGGGCCCTAACTCAATATACGTATATATTTGTGTGTTATTTTTGTTGCATCATATATAGGTAGTGAAGAACTAAAATGATCTTGTCATTGATGATTAGATTATTATCTACCCTTGTACAACGCTGCATTGAAAGGCAATTGGGAAGCTGCAAAAACATTTATTGAGAATGACCCCGGTGCAGCTACAGCAAGGATCAACCGAGTTTCATTCACCGCGTTACATGTGGCAGCAGGCGAAGGGCGGTGGGAGTTTGTGGAGAAGCTGGCGGCCATCATGCCTGTGGAGGCACTCGCAATGCAGGACCAGGCAGGGTACACTGCCCTCCACCATGCTGCCATAGCCGGAAGCATGAAGACAGCTGTGGCTTTGGTCAAACGAAATCCTTCTTTGACTAATGTTTTGGATGGCTCGGGGCTAACTCCACTGCTCGTTGCCGCTAGGTATCTGTATGGAAGCTATGAAATTTTGTGGTATCTTACTTTGGTGACTCAGGACGAGGAACCAGGCCTTCCTTTCACTGGTCCTCATGCCATGGAACTCGTTCTTATGCTTGTTTTGGCAGGTTGTCTTGGTTCGTACATAAGAATATAGAATACTTATCAGCTATATATTTTTCTTTTTGAGCTTTGATCTTCTTCTTTATTGTTTGAATTGATGAATTTTTTTTAAAAAAAAAAAAGAAAAAGAAAAAGAAAATCAGACAATACTTTTAGTCATTTTATAGCTTTGAGTTATTTTCATGAATACTCCTTGAACTTTGGACTGCGCCTTTCAAAACGTGACATATAACCCTTGAAGTTTGCATTCATATATGTGAAAAATTTTGTCATTAATTGCACGTCATTTGATTAGGAAAAAAACACATTTTGAAAGAAATAATAGAAATTAGACTTTTTCAGAGTTTGGACTTTCATCATAAAAAATCAACCTTTTAAGTGGAGGAATCAATTTCCTTATATATTTTCATGGTTAAATAACATCAGACTTGAATTTATTTTACCCTTTCGAGAAAATACGAAGTTCATGACATATTTTATAGAGTTCATGAGGTAAAATGGGACACAGTGTGAAGTACTTATGTGAATATACATGATATTTACCTTTTATTTTTCTTCATTTTTAATGTCCTTCCATGTAGACATTTTGCTGTATCTACTCCAACGTTATCCTGGCTTAGCTACCAACACCGCCACCGGGACTGGGGGTACTTCTCTTCTTTCTCTCCTGTCCCTCACTCCTTCAAACTTCTTGAGTGGCACTAGGCTTGGATTCTGGGAAAGTTTCTTTTACTCAGGTATTAATCAATTCAATGGATATGATTATTATCACATTTAAATTTTCATTCTCATGGTTTATTGGCTTATAAAGGATTATGCACGTATAATTTTCATTATCTTGGCCAATTTTAGTTATCCCGGTGAAAAATAGCTATGAACCCCCACATTCTGTTAGAAGTCTTGCGGAGGATGGTCATGGAGAAGGCTCTGGTAAACAATCCTCGTTAATAGAAAATATTAATTTTTGGATGACTTCACAAATTCCCCCTAAACTATATCACTTCTTACAACATGCCCACAGAATTTACATATTTTTTATGCCCCTAATCTATAATACGTTTTCAGCTTCATCCTCTAAACTTTGAAAAATGCTATTTTTTGGACAGTATTATTGATCGAGTTGTTGCTTGTGCACGTTCTATTCCATCCAAATAATTGCACGTTTCGGAATTTGAAAACTGAATTTGGAGACGTATTTTATATCGAGGGCATGATACAAAGTTGATGAGATATGTAGATACAAGTGACATAGTTTAGGGGAACTCAAAATTTATCCTAATATTTATGTTGACTTGATTTTTTTTTTTTCCTGTTCTAGTACTACTTCGACTACAAGGACTACTCTTTAGCATTTTGAGCCAGATAAGTATGATCAGAAAATAATCCTACGTACTTGATCTCATATATACTTGTTTATTTTTGCATTTAGCCAATCAATTTGATCCATTTCCCTTATGATCTTTTGTTTTTGTTTTGTTTTGTTTTTTCCACTTGATGAAGCACCAAGTTTTATCAGGCGACTCATAGAAGCAAAACATAGACATCATTGTGCCGTGGAATTATTCAAACAAGCTTGCACAAAGATCCACGAAACCCATGGTTCTCTGACCGAGTATTTCCGTAACAGAAGATTAATCCAATTCCAGGCCACAACGTTTGGGATAGCCGAAATCTTGAAGATAATGTTTAATCTTTGTCCTGATCTAATGTGGGTTTCTATGGAGGACTTCAAATTCCCGATTCATGTTGCTATCGAGTACAGGCGGGAAAATATTTTCAGTTTCTTGTGCGAAAAGAATATGCGTGTTAAAGTACAAGCGGATCGTTCTGATAGATCAGGGACCGTCATGCATTTAGCGGCGAAATTGGCGCCTTTCGATCAACTATCGTCTGTTTCTGGTGCAGCTTTCCAAATGCAGAGAGAGATGAAGTGGTTCAAGGTAGTAGACAATTTTGTGCCTTTTCTTTTTCTTTTTTTCAATTCCACAATATTATGGGTTACTTTTATCTTTTTGTAGCATGTGTTTTAGCTTTATATTTAAAAGTGATAAAATCATTTTGGTATCGTGTGCTACTTAGTACAATGTGTTTTTAGTAATATTAAAATGGTACGTCGATGTTTTTAAGTTAATTTTTGAGACATGTAATGTCCAAACTACTCTTCTTGTTAATTAAATAGAAATTAATATTTTTTGTTGAAATCTGAAAATATTTTAATTTTAAAAGAAAACAACAAAATAAAAAAAATTCTTTTTTCTAGATTTATTAGTTTTTGGTTAATTAAATAGAAGGGTACTAAAGTCATTTTACGTTTCAAATATCAAATTTAGGGTGCCAAGAAAATGTTTTTATAAACACCGAGGTACGGTTTTAATATTATAAAAAACACATGTTACCAAGAGCATGTTTCGTTGTAACACATGATATCAAAATGATTTTATCCCCATTAAAAAGTATACCTTCATTTTTTTGGACAATAGTCAGTTTTGATCTGAAAATGCCCAAAATACCCTTAAATAAAAAGAAGAAAAAGAAAAATAAAAAAGAAACCTCTAAAAAATGAAAAACAAAAAAAAAGTATTTTTTAAAATTTTTGAACTTTTTTAAATTTTTACTTTTTCAATTTCACAGTAGATTGGTATTTTTAGGCATGTTCAACAAGAATATGCGTGAATTTGTGTATTAAATCTAATGCGAATGTACACGTTTGATGAGATTAAAAATAAAGTGCATGCTTTTGAATTACACAAGGTACAAAATGATAAATGTCTCTGTATACTAAATCTCATTTAGTGGTGGATAATTTTAGTATATGTTTCCGTTTTAGGAGGTGGAAAAGTTGGTTCGCCCTTATAGCAAAACATTACTTAATGAGAGAGGAAAAACTGCCAAGGAGTTGTTCACAGAGGAGCACAAAAAGTTGGCTGAGGCTGGAGAGAAGTGGATGAAGGACACATCGAATTCTTGTATGATTGTCGCGACTCTGATTGCGACGGTTGTGTTTACGGCTGCATTCACAGTGCCGGGAGGTAACAATAGCGACACCGGGGTTCCAATTTTCTTGCGGACTAATGCATTCTTGGTGTTTGCAATTTCAGATGCACTAGCACTCTTTTCGTCTTTAACTTCGGTTTTGATGTTCTTGTCGATCCTAACTGCACGTTATGCCGAAGACGATTTCCTTCGGTCTTTGCCGAAAAGGCTGATCATAGGCCTTGCGTCGCTCTTCCTTGCAATAACCACAATGATGATTGCTTTTGGTGCAACACTTTCTATTGTCCTTAGCAAGAGACTAGACTGGATTTCTGTCCCGACTGTTTTGCTTGCTTCGGTCCCGGTGGCTATTTTTACTTTGCTACAACTTCCATTGTTTATCGAAATGGCTCGATCAACATTTGGGTTTACCTTTCGCCCTCAAAACCTTTAGCGATTCATCTTGGATGTTGAAAAGTCGTTCTTCATCAATTGGTTTTCAGGTTTTTTTTTTTTTTTCCTTCCCATAAGCTATAAATAAATTCATTCTTCATATAGCGCGCCAATTCCTTTCTGATTGAAGAGACTCTCCTTGAAATAGTATGGATTCCAACTTATAGTCACTTATTGGGTGATGCCAATATTTCGCATTGTAAAATTACCTAATAATAATATTCGATATATTTCAATTTTTTTATTTTTTAATTATTTTCTAAAATACACACACACGCTCCTCCTTGATAACCTACTAGCTATACAACCGATCAACCAATATCAAAATGAGATATCTAGTAAGTCGGCCATATTATATCCTTCCTAGAAGTTTTCTTCTTTTTTGAAAAAAAATTAAATAAGGACTTCTGATGCTAATGATTCTGGATATATTTAGCTCTGACAATTTGGTCTCTAATTTTTTTGACCAATATATCAGTCCTTTGAATTTTTTATTTTACTATTATTATTAGTTTTGTAATTTGGTCCCTATAATCATTATATTACCAATACATTTTTTTTTTTAAAGCTAACATGGATGGTAATCGTGTAAGAATTTAAAATTACACAAAATATATCTTCAAAGGTTTGCACTTATTCTAAAAAAAAAAAAAAAAAAAAAAAAATTGCACTCATGTTTGATTCTGTAACTTTTCAAGTTATCATGAGCATGTGAGCAACTCCATCAAATTTTAAAAATATGTCATCAATTTAATGATTAGTAACTAAAATTAAAAAAAATATATATTTCAGGGCCCAATCAATAAAATAAAATAAAAAGTTTAGGAAACTAAACTATCACATGGTACTACTAATAGTTAGGGTCAAATATTGTCAAAAATACCTTTCTTAATAAACAAAATTGACATGAGAACATGTTGATTTGAAAGCTAGTATAGTAATTATCACTATAATTAATGTAGTAATTCTCTTTCGTATTGAAGTTCTTACATATAGCAAAGAATTGCAGGATCATCATTGGTCCAGTAGAAGCAACATCGTACGGCCAGCTAATCTAAGGAGACTAGAGACAATGCCATTTTTTTTATTGGGAACTAGTGAATTAATTAAACAAAAATGGAAAGGGTAACATTGAACTGAAGTACGAAATAATTATGATATTGGTTTATTTGACGTCCAAAAAGAAAAAAAACATGGTTACGATTTTGATCTGTTCATAAAGTATCAATAGTACCAGCTAATCTAAGCATAAAAGCATTCCACAATATAATTCAAAAACTAAAAATAACTCAACAATTTATTTTTCAAAAAAAAAAAAATTCAAATGCAGATGAAAGATAGTTTCCAAATTATTATGTACAGCTCCATAACTCTCTACTCAAAATAAATCTAAATCCGATGAGCCATAATCTGAAAGCCATGAACAAGATAAACTGTCAATCAAAGTAATAATCTCTATGATCTTACAGAACATCAAAATTAAAAAAAAAAAAAAGGAAAAGCGTATGGTTTATATATGAACAAAATCAAATGTATAAACTGACCTATCAATACTACCACTAAAGTCAAGCAATTCACAGAACCAACAATTTTCCATGGAGCAGAAAACTTAAACAAAAGAAGGAAGGAAAAAGAAAAAGGGATGATGAGAGAAAGATGAATTCATCAGGAGAGAAGCATGGCTTGGAATCGGCTTTCGGCGGAATCTTTTCAAGGATCCGGCGAGCCACCGCCTCTGTGTTACCCTCACGGCGCTAAACTCCGCCAGCACCACTGTCCGACGAGAGCTCTGAGCTTAAAGCGAGAGCGAAGTCGCAAGTTATGGGGCTGAACACGATGGTGATGGATGCAAGATCTGGGATCAATAAGGCGGCGACGGTTGCGATTCTGGGATCGAGCTGGCTGGGCTTTCGATGGCCTGGGACGTGAAGACTGGATTCTCAAAGTTTTGTTTTGGGGAAAAGCATCGGCAGCCATAGATCTAGGGTTTTGTTTTGGGGACGTTCCGCTTTAATTGTGTTGTACCTTCATCTTAAAAGAAAAGAAAGAAAAAAGAGCTACGATTTGAAAAAAAGCGTTTTCTTTTTTTTTTTTAATTAAAAAAGAAGAGTTCTCTGATTTGATTAATGTAGAGAATAATTTTTTTTTAATAATTACACTAATAACTACAATTTATCTTTTATAATAATTCATTAACCTTGATATTCATTTATCAAATAAAAAAACATTTAAAATGAATGCTACGTTAGTAAAATAGTTAAATTTATTGACGGAGATTATAATGGAAGGGGTATTTTGAATTGTTTTCTATATATTAAGGAATGTTTTGAAGCATTTTGAAAATTTAAAGGGTACTTTAAAATAAGGTATAGACTTCAAGAGGTATTTATGAAAATAATTCAAAAGAAAAATAAAACAAGTACAAGAATTGCATTCCTAAAGCAATTAAAGAAAAAAAAAAAAGGTGCAAAGAATATCTCTAGCATCATTGTCGTTTTACTTTACGCTGCAGAGAAGCAAGTAATATATTCCAATAATACGTAATTCTCAATATTAGTCGGCAAAATATTATTAGTACACGATTGAACCAAACAAAATACACAGTATTCTTTTTCTTTTCTTTGTTAACTATTTATCACCTGACACACAAATGACACTCCAAGACAGCGATGTTACACAACCATTAGATATTGATTCTTCCTTAGGATTAGTAATTAACTGCGAACAACTCCTAGTTAATTTCCACAGAAGCCGAGAAAATCCCGAATCTGCAAGAAACACCACCGGCGACCAGCAACACGTTAATCCCAATATTACTGATGGAAACTTGGGTAAGAAGCTAAATTAGTAAGATTATTATTATTACTACATGCCTCATAATAATAATAATAACGTTTCTAACAATAATTTATGCTCAAAAACTGTGCTGTGCGGAAACTTTAGATTACTACTTACCATTGTACAAAGCTGCACTGGAAGGCAATTGGGAAGCAGCGAAACGATTTCTTGACAATGACCCCAGCGCAGCAATCGCTAGTATCACACTTCTATCATTCACTGCGTTGCACGTGGCAGCAAGTGAGGGGCATACAGAGTTCTTGGAGAAGCTGGTGGGTTTAATGTCGACAGAGGCTATGGCTGCAGGTGACATGGAGGGCCAAACGGCCCTTCATATAGCAGCCATAAGCGGAAGCCTGGGGGCTGCTGTGGCATTGGTTAAGAGAAACCCTAGATTGACGGGCGTTGTGGACCACAAGGGATACACTCCGCTCGTCCTCGCTGCAAGGTATGCATCGGGAAGTGAGTTGGTGTGGTATCTTACTTTGACGACTACGGATGAGGAGCCTGGCCGTCCCTTTACCGGTCCCCTAGCTGCCGATCTCGTTCACATGCTCATCTCCAGTGGTTATTTGGGTAAGAGTGAACATAGGTAGCAATAGTTTAGAACAAGCATTTTGTAAAATATATACAAGTGTTACGGATCCGAAACTTGCATTGTGATACGATGCATATTTTTAATAGTAATTGACATAATAATGTTTTAAACATTTATCAATAAAAGAACAATAGCCGATATTTCAAGTAGATTATTATTAGAAAATTACAATAAAGTTAGCCCCAAGAGATAAATTAACTATAGTTAGTTTCATTGTAATCTCTGATTAATTTGTATCTACCTAATTTTATGTTTTCAATATTTCTTTCCACAGATACCCTCTTGTATCTACTTCAGCACTATCCTAATTTAGCTACTATGGAAGAGATTTCTCCTCTTTCTGACTTGGTCTTGACTTCTTTCAACTTCTTGAGTGGCAGCAAGCTCGGATTTTGGGAAAGATTCATTTACTCTTGTGGGATTTTTGCATGATTTCTTTCTTTTGTTGTTTTTTTTTCTCTAGAAAAGAATATTCTCTCCTTGTTTATTGTCACTTTTCTTATTATCTGATCTTCTGACAAATTTTATGTTTAACATTTTTGTTGCAGTTATCCCAATTAGAAAAAACATCGGACCCCCACACTCTTTGAGAAGCATTGTGGAGAATTCTCCGGAATATAGCAAACGTCACAACTCATGTTCAAGTACACAAATAGTATAAAATCAATTTATTGAGATTTTTGCACATTTGTAATTCCTGGAACTTTAAACTTTAAATTTTGGTAATGTAGTCTCTGAATTAGCCAAATGTAATTACAAATCCACTCTAATAACTGACTGTCATTGAATGGAGTGGATTTAATCCCAGTTTGTTAAATACCTTGTTAGACACTATATTGCAAATTATATTAAGTTCAGGGATTATTGTCCTAATTTTCAAAAAGATTACAGTAGCAAGTTACCAAAAACAATGTATATTAATTTTTTCTTCGTTCTTCTAATGCATGCAGTGCTGCTGTGGATGCTCCTCTACAAAATTTTCAGACGAATAAGTACGTATATTTGGAAGAATGCTGACCTATATACGTACTCTTTGTATTTTTAGATGTTTCCTTATCATTTACAAATTCATTAATTGCTTTGACATATTTTACTACTATTATATATTTATTTAGTTATTTATTTTCATTTTTGCGCTGTAGCACCAAGTTTTATCAAGCGACTCCAAGATGCAAAACTTAAACATCATTGTGCGGTCGAATTATTCAGACAAATTTGCACGATGATTCGCGAAACTCGCGGTTCTGATCTGACAGATTATTTTCTTAGCAAAGGGGAAATCCTATACGAGGTCACATCTCGTGGGATGGTTGATATTTTAGCAATGATTCTTCAGTTTTGTCCAGATCTTGCATATGTTCGCATAGAAAATCAAACTCTAATGCATATAACTATTCAACATCGGCAAGAGAAGATTTTCAGATTTTTGTTGGAGAAGAACTTACAAAGACTAGATTATGGCCCTCAAACTCGATCAGGAGCCGTTGATATCTTGTGTTTAGCAGCAAAACTTTTACCGTTCCCTCAACTTTCGCGCATATCAGGTGCAGCTCTACAAATGCAAAGAGATATATGGTGGTTTAAGGTGAGATGGTTGTAGGGTTAATTGCATAAATATACCTCCTAATTTTTATTTTTTTTAATTTATTCTTTAATTTTTAAAAACTACAAAAATTAATATCATTGGAATTTTAAAAATATGTTCCGACTAAATTCAAAATATATATATATATATATTCCGACTTTAAACCTCCCATACTTTTGGAAATAAAAAAAAAGCAGAAAAATAAAAATAACCGTAATAATTTATGAAAAAAATTTAAGAAAATTTTTATCTTTCCTTCAAAAACATTATGGGAGACAGATATGCTTTCTTTCAAAATAATTAGGGTTAATCCCACTAATAATCTTTGATGTTTACCCTCAATCCTACTTTGGTCTCTAACTTTTAAAATGTCCAGCATTTGGTCCCTAAGGTTTTATTCTATTTTAGTTTCAGTCCTTTTGTTAGCTAGGTGTTAAATATTTGATAGAATTTGTCTAAATTAGGGACCAAAATTAGAAAAATCTAAAATTTAGAGTATTTATGGAAATCAACTTTCATTTTTTTTGTATTATTTTAGTCCCTAAGCTTTAAATATTTTTAATTTTAGTCCCTAATATCATTCTATAAAAAATATAACACTTAGATAACAGAAAGATCGAAACTGAAACAAAGTAAAACCTGAGGAACCAACTGTGAGACATTTTAAAAGTCAATGACCAAAGTGGGATTGTGAATAAATCTCCAGGAGAATTTGTGAGATTAATTCAAATAATTATTTTTGTTTTATGGTTATGATGTTTTTAATTGTTTGAGATATTTTTCAGACACTAGTTAAGGTAATTTTTGTTCTTTTGTTCTGTTTTTTGGTCTAAAGTCTTGATGAGGGATGAAATTTGATGACGGATGAAATTGAAACACACTCTTAAAATCTGAAGGATACATTTATAGTTTCAAAAAATAGAGGGATAAACCAAAAAAAAAAAAAAAAAAAAAAAAAAAAAAGACAGTCGAGAAATTGGTGGATCCTTATTCTTTCATGTTAAAAAGCGAAGAAAAAAAAATTCCACAAGAACTATTCATGAAGGAGCACAAAGAGCTAGCTGAGGCTGCAGAAACGTGGATGAAAAATACATCAAGTTCTTGCATGATTGTATCGACTTTGGTCGCGACGGTAATGTTTGCAGCCGCTTTCACCGTGCCAGGAGGAAACAACGACGCAGGAACTCCAATTTTCTTGTGGAATAGTGCATTGTTGGTGTTTGCGATTTCAGATGCACTAGCATTATTTTCTTCTCTGACTTCACTTTTGATGTTCCTTTCGATCTTAACTGCAAGATATGCCACTGAAGATTTCCTCAAGTCGTTACCAAAAAGTCTAATAATCGGTCTGGCTTCACTCTTCTTTGCAACAACAACGATGATGGTAGCTTTGGGAGCCACACTTTCCATTGTGCTTGAGGAGAAAATGAATTGGATTTATGTCCCAACCATTTTGATCGCTTCTTTGCCGGTGACCATATTTGCTTTGCTACAACTTCCTTTGTTTATCAATTTGGTCCAATCAACATTTGGATATTTCACTTTTCGCCCTCAAACTCTTGGTGATTTATCATGGATGTAGGGAGGAAAACCAAGATCTATTAATTCGTTGCGGCTCTTAAATTACTAAGTTAATGTGATCATATTTTAATATATATGTTACTCCCATATGAATCTATTTCCGTATGTAGAGATTTATAGCATTGTGTAATTTAAAAAAGATATGGATTTGACGACACAGATATGTTTGTTTGCTAATTGATATATCACACTTGTATTTTTTATTAGGTGGAGATTTTTCTTAGGCAAAGATTGAGATCATCTTGACTTTAAAAAATAATAATCAAAACTTCATGTTCAAGTTGCAAATATTGAGATAATCTGGACTTTAAACAATAATAGTCAAAACTTCATGTTCCATCTTACTTGACTTGTATTTTTATCGTTTTACACCTTCCACTTTATTATTCCTCTTACTCGGCTACTTTTCCTATTTAAATTTATGTAACCGTTAACTCTGCAATATTTGAAATATATAATGTTTTCATAGAGTTAGGTTGACAGGCTAGAACACATGTCAAGGTCGGTTCAACGGGCAGGGAACGATACTGGCTTCAGGCTGACGGGCTAGAATCGCCATTGGGTTGTACCGGAATTGGTGTGCCTTCAATGTAGGGCCAGTTCCTGAAATGAATTAGGGCAACTGTTTTGCACGACCCTTATATATGTTGGTCAGACCACGACGTCGGTCGTGACCTGACCTTGTACTAATCTTGACCCATCGACCCAACCCAACACCAGTCCTAACTTGTTGTCTGATCTTGACGGTGGTCCAGGCTAGAGCAAGGTACGGAACTCAGTCCGTTAGACCGAACCCGACAATGGTATTTCCATCGACCGAACCCCAATATCGACCTCAGTCCACCACTTCCGACCCTAAAAGTAGTCCCAACCCGTCGATTGTCCCACTTCATCGGCCCGAACTAAGTGGTGACCTCGACTGTTGATATAAAGCTAGAATTATCCTTGGTGGCGATATGGGCGGACCCAAGTATTTTTCATGGTTAGTTAGCCTGACCCCAACATCTGTCCTTGCTAGACGGGCTAACCCAGGTAGCAATTCTTGCCTATCGTTCCGGCCCTAACACTGGTAGTTTGATCTCAACTTTAGTAGTGCCACAATCTAAAATATTTGTTTAAAAAATATTAAAAATAAGCACCTTTCATTTTGATAGTTTTAAAAAAGGGGTCCTTATTCAGAGGGCCTCATACCGGCCCTGCACTTTTTATAATTTTTGAATCTAGTTAAAATCATACCAAAGTAAAAAAAAAAAAGAGAAAGAGAAAAATAGGTCAAGACTTGAGATGAATTAAAATTAATAGGTCAATAGTTTACATAAGTTAATAAATAGGTCAAATTACTGTTTTCGTCCATAACTTGTCTGCTTATGAACCATAACTTGAAAAGTTATTGTCCATAACTTATCTAGTTATGAACCATAACTTGACAAGCTTGTCCATAACTAGTCTAGTTATGAACCATAACTTGACAAGTTTGTCCATAACTAGTCTGGTTATGAACCATAACTTAACAAGTTATGACCTATTAATTTCTATAACTAAAAATTGGCCTATATACTTTCTTAAGCTTTTCATATTGGCCTATTTCCTACTATTTCTAAAAAAAAAATACATAGAAAAAAGTATAGTTTGATGGTTGAAAAATAAAGCTCTAGTAGTAGTGCATTTAATTTATATCACCGTTATGTCTTAAAAAATAGAAAATTGATAAGAATTACTTTCTTAAAAATTGACGTCACCAAAAGTTTTTTCTTAAATAGTTTTAAAAAAAACTAAAAACTGATTAAAAATAAAAATAAAAAAAAGAAAATTGATAAGAACTACTTTCTTAAAAATTGACGTCACCAAAAGTTTTTTCTTAAACAGTTTTAAAAAAAACTAAAAACTGTTTAAAAATAAAAATAAAAATAAAATAAAATTGATAAGAACTACTTTCTTAAAAATTGACGTCACCAAAAGTTAAAAAAAAAATAGTTTAAAAGAACTATAAACTGTTTTAAAAAATAATACCAAACAGCCCTATAGAACAAGTTGCTTATTTGTATTTTGGGTTGACTTTAAATTAGCAGATGTATGAAAGTTTACATCTATATACGGCCAGCACATCTATGTACGGCCAGCTTTCTGCACTGAAGTCAACGTAAAAGAAAGAGTATTCTTAATCAGCTAATCAATTGGATAGGGTTGGCGTGTTAAAAGACTTCAGCACGTTAGCAATACTATATGTACCACTTGCAAAGTGAAGAACTGATTCCTATCAGTCACGAGTTTAACTAAAAGTGGGTAAACAAAGTATGTAGTATTGAATAATTCGTTTTATACACACACACATATATATAACATTGAAGGCGGTGGTATTGAAGCATCAAACAAGCCAATGCTACTTTAGGGTAGCGAAGAAAACTTCTTTTCATTGTTGCGTAACGTACTATTCTTCTGGTCACCGCGAGTGACGCAAAGAATTTGATTTTTGGCGCTCTCATCATCCGCAGAAACGAGCAACACACGCAGAATGGCTATTACTTCTCAAGATGCAGGTAAATTACGCAGCTAGAGAAATCTAAATATAAAAATTTACAATATAATAGATATATATATATATATATATGTAAATATTTTGTTAGAGTTTGTATTGACATAAAACTGATGTATCATAAACTTGTGAATGAATATTGCAACCTTTCTGGAAGATCACTACCACCCTCTGTATCTCGCTGCACTGGAAGGAAATTGGGAAGTTGCCAAGAAGTTCTTGGAGGATGACCTCGATGCAGCGGTGGCTAAGATCACGCCTATGACTTCGATGACAGCGTTGCAAGTGGCAGCCGGCGAAGGGCACGGAGAATTTGTGGAGAAGATAACACAACTTATGACAACAGAAGCAATTTTACAACGTGATCTTACTGGCTGTACGGCTCTCCACCACGCTGCTTTGGCCGGAAGCCTGAGGGCAGCGGTGGCGTTGGTCAATAAGTGCCCTGCTTTGACAAATGTTTTGGATCTAGAGGGAAGGACCCCGCTTCTTGTTACTGCTAAGCTTGGTTTTGAAAATAGAGACTTGCTTTGGTACCTTACTTTGAAGACCACAGATGAGCAACCAAGCTGTCCCTTTACTGGTCCTCTTGCTGCTGAACTTGTTCTTATGCTTGCTGCCTCAGGTTGTCTCGGTAAGACCATCTTGCCCCAGAAAAAAAAAAACTCATTTGATATGTTGCTATATTTTATGCTCCATTACATTATGTTATTCAAATGCCAAATTTAATTTTTGTCACAAAGTTTGAGCTTCGGATTGTAAGAGGAAAATTCCAATTTTTGTAAATAATTTAAAATGGCCATACTGTAATTATTAATTGAAAAATTAATACATCAACTAATAGGCAACCAAATGTCAAGTTTAGTATATTCTATACTTGGAACTAAATTAATTTAACACCAATAACAACATATGCTAAGTGTAATATTAAGTATGGCGTTGTATTGAAAAGTAATTTTCTTACCAAATGCCAAATTTTGGTATTGGCATAGAAATTTGGCATTGTAATATTGGAGATATTGCTCTAAGAAGATGTGAGCTGTATTAGCGTTGTATTAAAAGAAATCCAATTTTGTTATTTGGCATTGAGGTTAGTTTTTTCTGCCCTTTCCTTAATTTTATCACAGATGTTCTGCTGTATCTAGTCCAGCGTTATGAAGGCTTAACTACTGCAAATATGAATAGACTTTCTCTGCTCCCATCTTTGGCGATGACTCCTTCGAGCTTCTTGAGTGGCATCAGGCTTGGATGTTGGGAAAGACTCGTTTACTCGCGTAAAAAAACTTTGTTATAACTTTTATTGTCTTCCAATTTGTATATTCTAGTCTTCTGATAGATATGTTTATGATTTTCTGTATCTGGTTTTAGTTGTGCCTCGGAAGAGTAATGGACCACCGTACTCCGTGACATGCATTGTGGATCGACAGGTCGAGGGCTCTCAACAAAACGGGATGATCACGCAGCCTATCTCCAATCAAGGTTACAACCAGTTTTTTTCTTGGTTTTGTATCAAAAGAATTAGTTATTGCTTCTGAAAACATAGTTAAAAGTGATTATCTGTCTGTTTGGTTTGACTTAAAAAAGCTGCTTTTGATTTATAAATCAAAGGCTATTTTTGAAATTGTTTAGCTAGATACACTCAATTGACTTTTGATTTTTATAAACACTTTTAGAACAAGTCATTCTATTTGGGGCTTATAGAAAATAAGCTTATGAAAAGCTAAATGAAACTTTTTATTTACATTTTTAACCACTTGTTCATGAGTAACAACTTAAGAATTTTCATCAATATCCTTGTTTTACAGTTACATTTATTTAGAACAATAAAAAATTTTGATTTATTTAACTTAACATATTTAAAAGCTCTTTTGAATTCAGACACTATCTAAAAATTAATTAAAAACTCTGACTTATACTTCTTTTTTTCTACGGCTTAAAAGTAAAAATAAAAGCCATGTATCCCAAACAGATTCTGTAGATGGTTTGTTCATTTTCAGTGAAGCATACTTTTTGCTTTATTTTTCTTATGGAGTTATATAATAGTTGCTTATATAACAAAGAACAAATTGGTAAAACTCCAATTAATAGTTGCTTATATATCTTGATCTGGGTTCTGTATTTTATATGGGAAAGAGAAATGCTTTACATGATATGTATAATAACCTTAAGGTTATTTCAGTACCATGTTGACCTTGTGAAGTGGCGCTAGACAAGAAAATTTTCGAAGAAAAATGTACTCTCAACAATCAACAGCATGGATGGTAATGCATTAACTAATTGGTAAATTTTATTTTCAGCTACAGTGCTTCGTTGGTTGCAAAGTCTACTCTTCAGCGCTTCGAGACGAATAAGTAAAAAAGAGACAGTCCTTCCACTTGTAAACGATTTTTTTTCAGAATATATTTACATACTATATTCTAAAAATAGGAATATTGAATAAACGTGACATTCATAATTTACATCAGTAAAAAATTTCATTATGCAAAGAAAAATACTAAAAAGTACAAATGTATTTCCTCATATACATTAAGAATCATGTCGGTCGTCGAGATATGGACTATGGACTAATATATTCTCTCATGATATTAAGCATCTTCTAACTTATTGCAGCACCTACTTGTGTCGAGCGCATCCAAGATGCAAAACATAAACATCAATGTGCAGTTGAATTAGTGAAACGAGTTTGCGTAAAAATCGGCGAAAGGGAACCAATAGCTCGAGCAGAATTTTTCCTGACAACTAAAGTCATATACGAGGCTGGATCCTCTGGGATAATTGAAATATTGAAGACATGTTATCGCTTTTTTCCTGATCTAGTATGGCTTCCTGTAACTAATGATGAACAATTTTTGATCCATATTGCTATTCGGTATCGGCAAGAAAAGACTTTTAATCTTTTCTGCGAGACAAAATCGAGAAACAAAATAGCATCTAGTGGCTTAATTAATTCAGAAACTATCTTGCACTTAGCAGCAAAGTTGGCACCTTATTCCCAACTCTCAACATTGTCCGGTGCAGCTTTACAAATGCAGAGAGAGATTCAGTGGTTCAAGGTAATAGATATATAATAAATCTATAAGTTAATTTTTTTTTACCTTTTTATTTTTTATTTTTTTAATAAATTAGAGTGGAGGCTTGTTTGAATTGTTCAGTTGGTGTCAGCCTAATTCAAATGTGCTAATTTGTCTCCGTATTCTCAGTTCCTATCTCCATTTAAAAAAAAAAAAAAAAGTTTTACTTTTACCCTTAAATGTTGAATCCATGCTATATAGCTAGATTCGCGCAATCATTTGATAATGAATATTATTTCTCTATTTTGCTTTAGGCGGTGGAGAAAATGCTTCATCCTTACCTTTCAAATGTGTGGGAAAAAGATGGAAAAACTGTAAGGGAACTGTTCACTATAGAGCACAAAGAGTTAGCAGAGGCTGGAGAGAAGTGGATGAAGGACACATCAAATTCTTGTATGATTGTTTCCACTCTAATCGCGACGTTTGTGTTTGCGGCTGCTTTCACGGTCCCCGGCGGCCTAGACGGCGAAGGAATTCCAAATTTCTTGTGGACCAATGCATTTATGGTGTTTGCTATTTCAGACGCAGCTTCGTTGTTCTCTTCTCTCACTTCCCTTCTGATGTTCTTGTCGATCCTAAAAGCACGTTTTGCGGAAGAAGATTTCCTCATGTCGTTGCCGAGAAAATTGGTTGTGGGTCTTTCTTCTCTCTTCTTTGCAATAGCAACTTTACATTATGCTGAGCAGGAGATTGAAATGGATTTTTATTCCAATTGGTTTGCTCACTTCTTTCCCTGTTTCTATGTTTGTGTTACTTCAGCTTCCATTGTTTATCCCAATGGTCAGATCAACATTTGGATCCACTTTTCTCCCTCAGAGCCCTTGGTGATTCATTGCCTGTGAAGAAAAATGTGATTTTTGTCAAGCCTTCCAAAAAAAAAAAAAAAAAAAAAAAAGAAAGAAAATCCATGAATACATAATAAGAAACCTAATAAGAAACCGATTCGAAAGATGTGTGTTTGTAATCCTGATTAGAGAAGGGGAGACTCTTATTCCCCCATTTCCTGCTTGTGATCCTTAAACTTATATACATTATAAAAGTGGCATTTGATTTATTTTAGTACGTGACTTTGTATTTTAAATATCTTAAATCTTCAATTTTATTCTTCGATTTCTTCTTCTAGGTCGCATTGCCTAATGGATTGGTTACCATTAAATTGTCTGTGTAGAGTAATATTATGACCCGTTGGTTCATAGATTTGAACAAAAAATTTCAAACACAGAAATTTAATTTTTATGAGAGAAATCTAATGCTTGAATGCTTATCATGCCCTTTCTTTTTCTTACAAATTCTAAATGGGACATGATATGGGCTTCGGTTACTTGATTCCTCAAATATAATTTGTGAGATTGGTTCTACATTTTAACACGTACAAGCAAACAATCAACAAACCGCAAAGGTTTGGGTGTTGCTCGTGGTATTGGAGTTCTCCTTAAATTTTATAGAGCATCATATTAAAAAGGATCTTATTTTAATTTTGGCCTAGTTGCCTCATTTTGTTCTCTAAACTTTTAAGTAATACATCATTGACACCCGAGCTTTACATGTTGCACTAATTTTACCTTCATGACATAAACATTGAAAAATGGACACATTTCAGACGTTAAAAACATGGGGATTCAAGATATAGATATGTGTGTGTGTGTGTGTGTGTGATTTCCGCTCCTTTTAAGTGCCTGCAGGAACATATATAATATAGCTCTCGTTCTCAGTTGTCTCTCTTTCTTGGAATTTGAAGACTTGAATAGCTTCTCGTTTAAGGTTGGGACATATAATTTAACGTGACTTCTCTTCTATTTTTGGTACTTCAATCCTTATGTTGTCTTTTATTCCTCGCAATGTTTTCTTTTTTTTTTTTAATTGAATTAATTCCGCGTAATGTGTGCTAGTATATATGTGTTGTAATGATCGCCACTCGCCAGGTTCTCTCTGTGTTTTGTATCACTAGACTATTCTTTTATTAATATATATATATATATATATGTACATATAGCTAGGTTCACTTTTCTTGTCTTTTTTTCTCCTAACGCGGTTTATAGATGTACTTCATATGGAGTCAATTATATAGTTTCCAATATGATTTCTTCGTTGTAATTGTCATAAATTAATTTCTTTTCCGTAGTACTAAAAACGACCCTCTTTGGCGCCTTCTTTGTTTCTAATTCTAATATGTTTTTATGATATTTATATATATAGACAATATTTATCAAAAATATATTTATTTATTGGTCTATGTCCTATCAATTTATAACGTGTACGTACAACAATTAGTAAACTACAATATGGTATCCATCAGGAGGTGGTTATATATATATATATATATATATATATATATATATATGCGCGTATAAGGCTTTAGGCAACCTTATTCCCTGGCCTTTGTGACGACGAAAACAAGACAAGACAGATAAATTCAAGCTGGATGGCTAACCAAGTCAATGTGATCAAGTCCTATCGATTTTTTTTTTTTTTTTGAATAAATAAATTTCAGAAGAGAGCGATTGGCATCACGAAATAATAGAACATCTCAACTGGAGAGGCTGGCGTCTTTCCGAAGTGAATAAATAAATAAATGATCTTTACAATTAATCCAAAGCAGAGTTTACACAGGTTCAAAGCGTGTTTGTTAACTTAGGCTGAAAATTCTTTGATGGAGAGCCCAGTACGTCTTCTACACTCCAGAAAATGACCTGAGAAACCAGCAAATAATATTTTCATCCTCAGAGTGTCCGATTTTGTTTCTCAAGTGACCCCGTTCGTTTCACTAGTTTGAATCACAACTTAAATTTTTGTTACAGTATTTTCTTTTATAAAAATTCAAATTCAATTTGTTCTAAATTTTTCACTCAAATTCTCAACTCAAACAAGCGAAACGGACGAATATATCTCGATTCTCACTAGAGCTACTTGCAAATTAGGCTTATATTAATTACAGTCACCAGAAATAATTTGCTTCACTGTGTTTATTTTGGATTCTTCTCTTTACAGAGCAACAAATAGGATCATGAAGAAGACTTGATCAGCACCTTTCTCCACTTCTCCAACTTGATCGTTTGACTGATCTCATTATTTCTGCATTCGAGCCCACTGAAAAGAAACGGTATATAATTGCGTCGATTTCAGGTTTTTTTTTTTTTTTTTTGGTTATACTACTTTAACCTAATTGTGTGAATCATCTTAATTCATGGTAAAAAAAGAAAAAAGTAGCATTATAAAACAAGAAGAGAATTGGTTATGGATCAAAATTAAAAAAGAAAATAATAATGCCTATGAATTAGAGTAAGAAACACCCAAGCATCCCATCCTAACCGATATTTGAGACATAGTCCCATATCATGGTGGTTATTAATTAGTGACCTTTTAACATTCTTCGCCTTTTTTTTTTCCTTCGTTTTTGGCTGCCGAATTCCCAAGTTTTTTTGGCCTAAAATAATTTCTTCTATTACACAATAAATAGTTTTATTTTGTTTGTTGTTTTATTAATCAAGTTGGTTATCTCTTTTCATTTTTAGGTATTTTATAGTTAAGTTTGTGACAACTTTTTTCTCTTAATAATAAATAGTTACTAATCTAGAAAAATATACCTAAAAGTCAAAATAGCAGTGGTTGAGGTGTTCAGGCCAGCCCGCGCGCTAATTGCGGAAGAGTATAGTTAATACTCTTCTTGTTCAATATTTGTGTAAAGTTGATGGCATTCCCAGACAATAATTCGTTAGAATTAGCCGAAGGAGATCCTGAAGCATTTATTGTTAGAATTGGATCTGGAAATCCGTCATCTTCAACAAGGTCCTTCATAACACATCATGACAACGTTGCTGATCAAGACTGGGGTATGTAACTATATATATATATATATACACATATGTATGATATAGCTTAATTTAATGCTCTTAATCACGTATTGTGATCAGTTTTTTCGCTTGAACATAAGCACGTGAGATAAAAATCGACCATCTTATACTTGCAGATTTTAGTGAGGTACTAAACAATTATCTTTTACGCGGAGGAAATAATCAACCAGTCCTACGTGAAAATTATGATGATGAAGACTGGGGTAAGCATATGCTGTAGCTTAGCAATGTACTTATTGAAAAATGTTCTGGTTACAGTATAATATATTAAATGGCTTTGTCATTAAGCTTCTTTGATTCGACTGTATTGATAGGCCGAAAGTAATTAACGTAAAGTACACACATATTATTTATAACTAATTATACATATAAATGTATGTATGATACACATATTATATATATTGTTTGAAATATTATACGTGGTTTTGTTTAGGACGTCGTATTTTCTATTTTATTTTTAAGAGAAATTTTAAGTTTTCTCCCTGAACTTTCGGGTTTGTAACAATATGATACCCAAACTTTAAAATGTTACTTGGCTCCCTTCCGACGCTCAAACTATGATAAATTTCATTATGCGTTGAAATATTTAGGGACGGATTAATTAGAAATCACGGACATATTCTTACAAGCCCGAATTCGGTGAACATCTTGAATTTTTTTTCTTCACACATATTTTATCGAAGTGAATATTGCATTATACGGGAATGTTCATATATAATTACTGCAATAGTTCTAGTATGTAAATACGGGAAACATTATTACTACATGTCTAATAAACTATAATGAAGTACAACTAAATACTTATTTATCTTTTCAGATAAAAAATACTTATTTATTTTTTTGGTCTTTCTTGATTAGTATTTAAGAATTTTCTTAGAAGCAAAGGAAACCGCGAAACAGTACTCAAGAATGTTGTTTTTAGAAGTGGAGTAAATGATCCATCGTCTTCAAGTTCAACAACCAATCCGCCACAGCATGCGAATGGTAATCAACCAGCCTGGTGTAAGCAGCCATATATAACTACAAATATATACTAATTACAGAAAGTTTTAATTTTTTCTTATCAAAATCATTATTTATCAATCTTGTATTCGCTAAAAAAAATTATATAAATTTATCGATTACATTGTAAAATTGTGGCAGTGGATCTGAATTCCTACCAACCCTTGTACCATGCGTCACTGAGAGGCGATTGGGATGCCGCTAAGAACTTTCTAGATGCGGACCCTAATGCGGTGACGGCTAGGATCACTCGTTTCTCAATGACAGCATTACATGTAGCTGCTTGTGAAGGGCACTCGGATTTTGTGGAGAAACTAGCGCAACTCATGCCGGTAGAAGCACTCGAAATGGTTGATGAATTCGGCCGCACAGCCCTCCATTATGCCGCTTTTTCTGGAATCCTAAAGGCTGCTATCGCACAAGTTAAGAAAAACCCTAATTTAACAAGCATTTTGGATAGTCAAGGATGGACCCCACTCCTCCGGGCTTGTGTTTTTGGTTTTGCAATTAATAAGGACTTGATTTGGTACCTCTTTTTGGTGACTAAAGATGATGGACCTGGTCGTCCCTTCACCGGACCCTGTTCTCCTTACCTCGTCGAAACACTGGCCGGGTCCGGTCATCTTGGTAAGTTTATGTGAAAATCAATGTATCATGCAACGCAAATCTTTGTCACTAGATGATGGTTAAAAAGAACCGTTTTGTTGCCGTTTAAGACAAAACGATATTAGCTAAAAGATTCAATGCAGGCTTAGATTATTTACCATATCCAACTGTTGAGGTTGAGTTGCATGGTACATCCCAGAAATTAGGACGCATCAGTATTGTAGTTTTGTTACGTAAATTTAGTATACGGCAGTGGCTTTAAGAATATAGACGATCTATTCCCTTTATCATTTTTTTTTTTATAATATCTAATTATCCCCTTAATTAGTAAATTGATATGTTCCGATTTAATCCCTTTAATTTTTTTTTATAATATCTAATTACCCCTTTAATTCAAGTTTTCCTTCAAATACTGTTCCCTGCTATGCGCAGATATTCTGCTGTATCTACTCGAGCATTATCCCGACTTAGCAACCGCTCCTATTACTGATAAGCCGCCGAGGATATATCTTCTCTCTTTGTTGGCATTAACTCCTTTGAACTTCTTGAGCTGCAGTAGACTTGGATTTTGGGAAAGACTCATTTACTCATGTAGGCAATTTATAAGTCTCTGGAAACGGCATCTTCTTTCTTAACACACACACACACACACACACACACACATATATATATATATATATATATATATATCTTTTAATATGAATTATATAATTCTTTACGTTTTAGTAATCCCCATTCCAAAGAACTGCTGCCAACCCCCTGACCATGTGAAAAGCATTGTGGAAAATCCTAATGAAGGCTCTCAACATCATAATCAAGGTTAATTTTTTGCAACTATTCTTTGTTGTTAGCTCGGTTACAACTATGCAAAGTTTTAAGTAGTACATTTTGCACAGTTTAAGATTAATATTATTGTAGATATCAAGTGACAAAATTTGCAATATTAAAATTTCGGATGATGATGGAGCACATCATATAACGTGTATTTCTCACTAAATGTTAGCAGTCATCATCTATTTTTGATACTATGAACGCTTTATTAAATTCAAGAAATAGTTTTCTAAAATCAAAATTTAAGTGCAACTTGTCAATTTGTGAAAAATACCTAAAGGCACCAAATATCTTTCTCAGGGAAAAAAAAGTGAATTGTTGACTGCCATAATTTTCTTAATTATTTAACAGTATTTTAATATATATATCAAATTCATGTGAGCTATGTAATTTTAATTATGAAATTCCTAAGACTAAATATTTGATTTGCGTTTTAATTCAGTCATTTTATGTTTTTCTTTTCAGCTCATAATGTGCTTCAATGGTTAAGAAGACTAGTCCGTGTGGCTATTGGACGAATTAGTACGTGAAAAATAACCTAGTATTAAAAATGAACACTACTTGAACAATGCTACAAAGCATCCTGGCGTTGAGCACGTTCCACTAATAGAAGGTGGATCCGGACTCATACGTTGGGACCACCTTCTACAACTGGTGGTTGTTGTGTGTGCAAGCATTCTTTTCATCTAATTTTACTATCTTATTAAGAATCATCATTTTCTTTATAAAGCTTAATGTCTTCTTTAATTTGCAGCGCCAAGTATTATCAAGCGACTACAAGATGCAAAAATTAGACATCATTGTGCGGATGAGTTAGTAACACTTGCTTGCAAAAAAATTTGCGAATTGCACGGCTCATTGTTGTTTGATCGTTTTGGCGAATCATTGATTCTGGAAAGTGCTGCCAACAGTGGAATAACTGAAATTGTAAAGACAATGTTACATTTTTGTCCGGATTTATTATGGGCTACAAAAGCCGATGAGTTATTTATGCTTCATGTTGCCATTGAACATCGTCAAGAAGAGATTTTCAATCTTCTTTGCAAGACGAATGCGCATCTTAAGTTCACCAGTGGACAGAATACCCTCTTGCATCGAGTTGCGAAGCTGGCGCCTCTTCCCCAACTTTCTGTGTCTAGTCCGGCGCTGCAAATGCAAAGAGAACTTCAATGGTTCAGGGTAATTTTTCTTGGTTGCACATGAATTTTTACTCAACTCAAAAGATCAGTTGGATTCGTAAAAACATAGCACTTACTTCTTCCAATTCCTTCATGGTAAAGTCTTTGTTGAAATTTTAAAAACGCTGACAAATTTAAGTTTTAAAAATACTCTTGGCCGGGCGTGCCTTTACTTCACACGAAAGAGAGGTGAAGAGAGAAGTTATTTTCTTTTCTATATAATCATTTATTTACTTACAATATAAAGAATACCAATCAATGCATCCACTTCACATTCATAATTTTTAATTTTTTTAAGGAAAATACATGTTATAGCATTTGTCGATTTTCCTGTAAATCTTGACATTCATAATTAAAAACATTCTAAATTTACAATCTACTGTTATCACTCTACAGCATTACTATACTTTGGTTATTAATTTGCCTTTTCCATCTTTTTTTTTTTCCCCCATAGGCCGTGGAGAAATTGATCAACCCATGTTTGACAAATTTAAAAGACAAAGATGGGAGAACTCCAAGGGAAATATTTACAAAGGAGCACAAAACGTTAGCTGAGGCCGGAGAAAAATGGATGAAGGACACATCAAATTCTTGCATGATTGTTTCGACTCTAATTGCCACATTCGTCTTCGCCGCTGCATTCACCGTACCCGGAGGCAACGACGAAGCCGGACTTCCGATCTTCTTGTGGACCCAATCGTTCCTGGTATTCGTCGTCTCCGACGCTCTGGCTCTTTTTTCTTCCATCACCTCTCTTTTGATATTCTTCTCAATTCTAACTGCGCGTTACGCCGAAGACGATTTCCACATGCTACTGCCGAAGAAGTTGATCATTGGACTGGCTTCTCTCTTCTTCTCCATAGCAACAATGATGGTCGCCTTTGGTGCAACACTATTGATTGTGCTGAGCAAAAGAGTAGATTGGGTTGCTATTCCTATTATTCTGCTCGCTTCTGTTCCAGTCAGTATATTCGTGTTGCTTCAGTTTCCGTTATTCATCGAAATGTACCGCTCGACATTCGGAAACCGCATGTTTCATCCTCAAAGCATTTGGTAGTTAGTGAATTGGATTGGATTAGACCTTTAGACTTGGTTTAACAACGGTTTTTTCATAGAAACCGAAGCGTACGAATCACCTAACGAGTACTTCATGGATTATTGGATTGCTAAAGTTAGCTCTTCAAGATATATACTATTATGTGCTGGAGACTAGCTCATTGTATATAGTGATGTGTGTTTGTATTGGTAATTTGCTGAGGATTACCAATCTATTTGATTAATCTTATTCAGTTAATTGGCATTTGACAACCACATCTGAAATCTACGTAATATGATTTACATATATTAAACCATAAATTTTGTGACATTTAATTATAGGAACTTGATTACCAAAAATTTAGAGACCAAAGTTCCAAATGAGTAAAGTTCAAAATTAGCATTCTAGTGCTATTGGATTTTTTTTGTTAATTTCAAAAATGCCTCCTTTAACGACTTACCCTATAGTTTAACATGCCTCTAAACTCCAAAAAGGATTCATTTCACCCTCAACTACATAAGATCATTCACAACACTCTACTCTGTCCTAATCCGTTTATAGTACTACTGATAAAATGATAACATGGTACTAATTATAATTTCATAAATGCCCCTTAAATTTTGAAAAATTATATAGTAATTCGGGAGGTGTTTTGAACGATTTTATATGATTCAAATGTGAAATGGACCTTTTTTTTTGTTGAACTAGTGTACACAGTTCCGGAAACATCATAAAATATACCCTCTTTTATTGTATTTGCAACTAATCACTTCATATGTCTAATATTTTGTACTTTCAACCCCTAGATTTATCAAGCGACTCAAAGATACAAAACATAGACACCTTTGTCCCGTTGAACTAGTGAAACAAGTTTTCACCATAATCATCGACAAGGATGGTTCTTTGATAAAGTATTTCTCCGGAGAAGCGGGACTCGTGTTCAACGCCACATCTTGTGGCATAATTGAAATGCTAAGAATAATTTTTCAGTTCTGTCCTGATCTAATATGGCTTTCCAAGAATGGAAAATCTTTTATCCATACTGCTATTAAGCATCGGCAAGAAAATGTTTTCAACTTCTTGTCCGAGAAGAATGCGCGCAATAAAATACAATCTGATCGTTCAATTAAATCATGGCCAATCCTACATTTAGCTGCGAAATTGGCCCCTTATCCGCAACTCTCGTCAGTGTCTGGGGCAGCTCTACAGATGCAAAGAGAACTGCAGTGGTTTAAGGTGCTGTTGTGTTAGTACTCTCTTTCTGAAAAGCATTTCACATCTATTGTTCTTGACACAAATTTTATTTTTTTTCAAGAATTTCACTGATTATCATATCGTTTCAAGAATTTTTTAAAAAAGAAAAGTGCATAAATTTAAATTTTTCCAAACACATGAATTATAAGTAGGATTTTTGCACTTTTGCTCCCTAAACTTGTGAAATAGCAAGTTGCCTGCAAACTTTTAATTTTGAAAAATTACCCCTTAATTTAATAAAATGTTGTAAAATGGATCCAAATCAATGAAAGATGTTAAAATTTGGAATGTCACACCCTCATGACGTGACATAATTTGCTGATCATGTGATCACATGGACAAAAGTGTTTTTGCCCAAATTTAATAGTTGTTTGGAAACTCACATTATTTTATTAAATTAAAAGAATTTATCAAAATTAAAAATTTAGGAGACAACTTGTCGAATTGATAGACGTTCATAGACAAAGTAGCCATGTACACTTATAACTATATATGTTGTTCACTCTTCTGTTTCTGTTTAGGCTGTTGAGAAATTGGTTCGCCCTCATGCTTTGAGCACAAGAAACGAAGAGAAAACGACTCCACGAGAGCTATTCACAAAGGAACACAAAGCGGCAGGAAATGGATGGAGGATACAGCAAACTCTTGCATGATTTAGCAACTTTAATCGCCACAGCCGTGTTTGCTACTGCTTTTACCATGCCAGGCGGTAACAATAGCAACAACATCAACAGAGGAGTTCCAATCTTTTTGTGGACGAATTCCTCCTTGGTGTTCGTCATTTCAGATGCTTTGGCTCTCTTTTCGTCATTAACTTCACTCCTGATGTTCTTGTCGGTTGTAATCTCGCGTTATGCCGAAGAAGATTTCCTCAAGTCATTGCCTAGAAGGTTTTTTTAATTGTTCTGGCTTTTCTTTTCTTTGCAATTGTGACAATGATGATAGCTTTTGGGGCGACACTTTTCATTGTGTTGAGGAAGAGGCTAGATTGGGTCTCCATTATTCCAATTGCCTTGTTTTTATCTTTTCATGTGAGTTTATTTGCACTATCACAGCTTCCTTTATTTTTCCAAATGATCCAGTCAACATTTGGATCAAGGTTTCGCCCTCAAAGCCCTTGGCCATGAATTACATAATAATCAAGCTGTACTCTGTTGACCTTTTTTGTTTTTTGTTTTTTTTTTTTTGTTTTTTTTTTTTTGTTTTTTTTTTTTTGTTTTTTTTTTTTTGTTTTTTTTTTTTTGTTTTTTCCCTCTGATGTTGACCCTTTTTGTTGGGTTGCGTCGCAGAGTAATTAATCTGCAAGAAGTTATATATCTTCATTTAAATTAATTTCTATTGAGTGAAAAATATTATTACGTGAGTTGCTCAAACAATCTCAATAGCCCCTCTAGCTGTTCTTCCCTCTAGCTGTGAAAGGACAGGTAATCACTATTTATACCCAAAATTTCTCATTGAGTTACGGACTTACTTTAAAACGAATACACTTCAGTTCCAAAAAATCATATCTTCTACCAAGACATTTTCTAAGGAAGCAGAAAGACTTGAATATTTGATGACTTTGTTATTAAAATAATTGACCTTATTCATTTCACCGATTCGAATTTTCAATTTTCAATTTTTATAATTAAAAATTCTCAAAAAATGTCACATCTAACTTTTTTTACTATAATTAAAAACTCTCAAAAAATGTCATATCCCAATTCGAATTGAAAACTCAAATCTGCGAAGCGAACGAAACCAAAATAACGAGTATGTGTTGTTAAGATTCTTTTTCACTTTTGGCTGGAAATTAAAATGTTGATAATGACACTATTGACTATGTTAAAGTTCATTCAAGGAGATTCCCTGTCACGAATACTAATATTTACATTCATCATATCATTTTTTTTCCCAGAAATGTATTTGAAGCAGAAATACAAAACATTCCATGTACAAGTACAACATCATTGTTCAACGTATCTTGAACAGGGTTCGTGATGTAAAATGATCTCTAAAATGATCTTTCTTTTTCTTTTTCTTTTTCTTTCTTACAGGAACGTGTTATGAGGATTTGCGGCCCTCCAAATATGGGTTACCTCTAAACAAGTATTGTATAATATGTTTCTTTACCGAGAAATGAACTTAAAGCTGAGTGGGCTTAATTTCACGACCTCAAACAAAGCAAGAACGTTTGCTCCTCTAACAATTGAGAGCTTGCCATTTCGACGATCTGATAAGAGACTAAAACCCACATCAGTTCTTGTATACTATATAATAACAAGACCACAAATTTAAGCCATGATCAGCATAAATCAAGTAAGAATCACTGTGTTACCTCGAACCCCATCTTCTGGTACAGCTCCTGAGCAGCTTTGTTGTGTCTATGGACATGCACATAAACCTGTTCAACACCTGTTGCATGAAAACATAATCAGACAAGCTCTTCTGACGAATCCATCTCTGTTTGGTCCAGAAAAAGAAAAGGCCAGAACTATAGTATGACCGTCTTTCTTTGGTTGTACCATGCAGACATCATGCATTGGACGATGGACGATGGACGATGGACAAACCAACCAAGCCCATTGTAGTTTGAGCTACTTTTAGTAGGTAAGACCCAATAACTAAAAATTTTAGATTTCTAAGCTTCAAATCCCTATGTGCCATCATCCCACCTAAAAAGCATTGCACAATGCGACCAGATTTCACTAGTCGTAAGGTAGGAGTCAAAAAGAGAACGGATTCTTGCTCCACTTCCATCTTACCATCTGATGTAGCTGATTCAACAGCAAAATGCAACATATTACTAGCAATCCCCTGACGACGTGCTGATTTGGCGACACACAAGTTTGCAACATAACCATATCTATTTTCGGATGTTCTGTTGATGCTGCAGAAGAGTGGAGCTTTCACTCGTTCCTGCAAAGGGAATTAGTTGTTCAGTACCAGATAAGCAAAGGACTTAATTTGGACAGACTAAAATAACTGGAGGATGAGTTAAATGGCACAGCACCCCTGGAAAGATCTCTCCATGCAGCAAGTACCGGATGCTCAAGTCAAGAGTTCCAACGACGCTTTTCAGTACAGTACGTTTCACATTCTTTTTTTCTTTTTTTACCTGATAAATTTGATACCAAAATACCACGTAAGGACTTGAACAGAACACACTTAATCAAAGCCCATCGTTTCCTCACCATCACAAGAACACAAACTTGGAGTTCTGATTTCCTAGGACCGTAGACCAAATTTAAATGAAGATTCAAGAAGGATAATAACTGTCATACCGTGACAATGCATGTACATGTTTGCCCATTTATCAATTTGCTTCGCTTTTTAATGGCATTGAACTCCTAAACAATAGACAAGCATTATCAACAATATTGTACAGATAAACAATTGATCTAAGTAAACTGAATAAGAAACGGGAATGAGGTAATTCCTACCTGCTCGGCAAATTTCCTTTTGTGATTATCAACATATCTGTGTTAATAAAGCATAAGCTAGAATTAGCTTTGCCAATCCTCCACTTAAGTGCACAAATATATTTAGTTGAGCCCACTAGATGTTTTTTTTTTTTTTTTTCAGCTTGATTTCTTAGCTTTTCTATAACTGAAAGATAATTTCCCCTGCGTGTATCCTTTTAGATGGACCTACCTGTGACAGTAATCTATATGCACTTCATTTATTTACAGTATTCTAATTAACAAAGGCCAGATACACACAGATAGAGGAGATAAAATGTAGATTCTAATGTTATAATGGAATATATAGCGGGCATGCCTTTCATTTAATCGATCCTCCCAGTGACTTTCTGCACGAAGCCATGCTGCCGTCTACCACAAATTTAAAAGCAAACCACGCACCACAAGTTAATTGGTGAACACAAATAATTTACACCCAAAAAACAAATCTATGGACAAGATGTTTTCTGCTGTTACATGATAACCTACCCAGTATTCTTCATCAAGCATGGCCTCTCGCGCAATAAATTGCCCGAATTCATACTTTTTCTCATGGTAATCCTGTTCTGATGGTTGCAGCCGGTCAAATTGCAGATCAGGCTCTCTTAACAATGATTCACGCTGAGGAACAGGTAATGGTATCGATGGAAGCTGTACCGAAAATTTTTCTACTTTACTCTTTTCAGAAGATTTCGAATCCATTGTCCTGTTAAAATGCAACTGAGTAAATCAGGAGGAAAAAGCAATACAAAAGAAAACCCAGAATTCAGTTCCCCTCTCTAACAAAAATAAACGCAATTCTTATTAAAAAAAAAAAAAAAAAAAAAAGAACACAACTAAAAACTGACATAGTCCATGCTGCATGAGTTCTTTGAAATCTTCTCTGTGATTTGACTCCACCATAAGGGTGGGACAAGAAATCAAGCCTGTGAAGCACAATCGTCGACATTGGATCAAATTCTTCCTCCAGAATCTCTCCCGGAGGAAGAATTCTTCTTGAAAGCTATCCCCCTATCTATAAATGATGGTGTAATAAGCAATGGCCGGCATGTGAAATCTCCTCTGATCCCTGCTGACAAGTAGCTGGCGGTTAGAACAATGAAGGAAAAAAATGTCAGACACCTCAGACATATGGATATAACAGCAGTCATAACGGCCTCATTGACAGATTGTGGACCATGGAATTGGAGGATAAGACAAAAGAAACACATACTTTTATAGTTAATTTCTAAGGGGAGACGAAAGCCCCTTTGAAGTGGCTGAACCACATTGTTCGTGGGCCTACCTTGATTTCCACCATGTTAGGTGAGACCCCGCGGTATGGTGTGGGCCGCCCAATAGGTGATGACGTGGCAAAAACTGGACTGGATTTTGTTCTTCTGGATCTAAAACATCGAAAAAACATCATCCTGATTGTAAATCATATACCCAAAGTGTTGACTGTTGACAGCCAAGCAACGTTAATGGTTTTGTCTTGACGGGTTTTCTTTTTCCTTTTTTTTTTCCTGAAATGGTTTTTTTTTTTTTTTTTTTTTTGGTCCTGAAATGGGTTTGTCTTGACCGTGTTGATTATGGTGGGGGGAGTGACCAACCGGTGAAGCAAAACATGTGGGTGTAAGGATCAACACATATCATACTATCACAGAATATGTGAATATCAAGCACATCCAATTTTCCTCCTCTCTTTCCAATTTACATTATAAAATCATTTATAAATTCACAATTGCATCCCTTTTTTTTTTCTGCCCCTTTTGTTGAGTATCTATCCAAATTTATAAATTTACTACAATTGCTCGAATAAAAAAATTAAAATAATACTAATTATATAGTATTTTACTTTTTCAGTGCTATACAAAAAATAAAAATAAAAAATTAACCTTATCCAATATAAACAGCAGAATTCATTTCTTTTCCAAAAACTAAGAAAGAGAATTTAATTGAAAAAATAAAAAATAAATAAAAAAAAAAGACAAGAGAAATCAGAAGGTCAATCTGTTTTGGCTATAACGATCTAAACGCTGAGCGAAATCGGGCGAGTTAACACAGAATTCCTTTATTCTCGCAACTTATCGACATAAGAGATCAAAATATCGGAGATTTTCCAGCTGTCTGAACCATTCGTTTTCATTAACAGACAAAAGTTCAAAAATTGAAAGTGAAATTCAGACAAACAAAGGAAAAAGAGAAAATTACCAAAACTTCCTGGCCCAAAAACCAAGCTCACGGGTGTCGTTTGCAGAGCCTTCTACGGTGATCGCAGGAAAACGACAACTTGGGTTGTGATTTGGGATTGAAATTGTTAATCTCTCTCCCTCTCTTGAGATGATTTTGGCTATGGAAGAAACTCTAATTTTGACCCTGTAAGAACTCGAAGCTTATTATTTTCTGGCGGGTTTGGTGTGGCTCTACTTTCCTTTTCAATTTCTTTTTCTTTTTCATTTTTCAAATTGAAATTTGGGATTTTGTCGAAATGAGCGGGGATCGTGTGGCTGACGGTACATGCTTACTCTGGTGTGGCTTAATAGTATTCTTTAAAAGAGTAAAAATCGTCCTTTTTTCTTCCTTATTTTGTCAGAATCTTGCACTTAGGTATGGGAAAAGGACTTATATATAATTCTGTATAATACCCTTTTTATCATGCTTTTTAAATTATATACTTGTGATGATATTTTTTAAGAAAATAATATGATTTTTGTTTTTTCAGCCGTTAAATCTAATTAATTTCACATCATATTAAAAAAATATGTATAATAAACAAATTTTAATACATATTTAATGACTAAAAAACAAAAAATATCAATATTTCTAAAAAAAAAAATGAACACTGAAAAAGTCTCATTCTCTTATCCCATTATAAAATTTTCTTGGTTTTTTTACGGTATCAAATCATCAAATGAAGAATGAAAATCAGGATGATGATGAACATGTGACGTCTTCAATCATCAGACTCATCCAAAATTTTGCATCCTTTGAGTTTAATTAGTAAAACAAAAAAAAATAAAAATAAGAATAAACCAACAAAAACAAGAAGTCAACAATACGGATAAGGGCGACCAAATATTTACACAAGAATGATACATTGGATAAAACCAATTATAGGCTCTACAAAACACACAACATTAACAAGTGGGCACAACCAAAGTGCCGTCTTCAATCATCAGACTCATCCAAAATTTTGCATCCTTTTGAGTTTAATTAGTAAAACAAAAACAAAAAATAAGAATAAACCAACGAAAACAAGAAGTCAACAATACGGATAAGGGCGACCATATATTTACACAAGAATGATACATTGGATAAAACCAATTAGAGGCTCTACAAAACAGCAACATTAACTAGTGGGCACAACCAAAGTGACCAAACAAACACAACAAACGGGAATGAAACCTAACAAAAAAATAATAATTAAAAAAAAAGACAACTAAAATCAAATCGTTCAAGAGTTGAACAAAATGACACAAACAGCCTCATATCAGCCTTCAAAGTCAGTTTTAACCCACTGGACATGGCCACACTTGCTCTTCATCTTCTCCTCAAACTCTTTAGCCTTAATCTCCACAATCTTCTCCGCATTGGCCAAAGACTCCTCCTGAACCTTGGCGATCCTCTGGCTCCTCTTCCTCGCGGCGGCCTCTCTCTCCGCCTCGAGCCCCTCGTACTCCCTCACCCAACAGCTCTGCACCGCGCAGCTCAAGACAAACACCACGAGTTGAAGCAAAAGCATTGCCATCAACACACCACACTCCAATCTGGCCAAAAGCTTGGCCTCTCTGGGGTCCCGGGTCGATTTGATCAGCGAGAGGGTCGAGTTCTCTTGGGTGAACAAGGCCAGTAGGCCGAGCAATTGCCCGACCAGAGACGCGAGGAGGAGGGAGGAGTGTGTTATGAAGCAGAAGTGAGTGAGCTGAGAGTAGAAGCCGACGAAGGAGGAGAGAAGGGAGATCGCGGAGACCATGAGGAAGGCCATTCCCATGGAAGTCGGAGGGGCTCGGAGGAGGATGACCGGGGTGATGGAGGCCGCGGAGAGGATGAAGAGAGTGAAGTTGAGGCAGGAGAGGAGGAGGTTCGGGAAGGAGAATGAGTTTCTGAGGTTGGATTTGGAGGAAGCCATTTTTTGTTTGAATGGATTGTCGTTGGGTTTGGTTTTGGTTTAGGGGGGATTTTGAATTTTTATAGTAAAAAGAATTAATTCTGCCGTTGCTGGGATGTAACGGCTACGTGGGAAAAGGCCCACTTTATATCCTCGAATTGATTAATATTCCCTCCTCAGAGTTTTCAAAAATTCTGAGGCCTGTACATTGCAGCTCCAGGCTCCACCACTCAAAACTCAATCATCTTTTCTTTACCCCTGTAGTTTGACTGTCTTGAATAGCATGAACCCAAATTAAAAAAAAAATAATAATTAAAAAAAGATGTTGAAACAGAAATTATTCAAAAATAAATAAAAAATTTATGTGCATAGAGAATGTATTAAACGTTTAAACGGTTATATTTACATATCTAAAGTTAAACAAAATCAATAGACATTATAGATTTATCACTACTGGTAGGTGATTTCTACAGTAAAATTGGCCTCAACCCAAACACGGGGTGATTGTTGTCCAGAGAATTGACTAAATGATATTAAATACGAGTTACTAAAGAGTAGCAAAAATAAAGAAAAGAATCACCCAAAAAAAACAAAACAAAACAAAACAAACACGAATCAATGAAAATTTTGGCAATTTTATATGCGAGGGTCTATCAATTTACACAAGTTCAGGTTTGAGTTCAAAAAAGAAAAAGGTAAAGCCAGTGATCGACTTTCACTGAGGGAAGAAGAACAGCAAGTCAAAATAAATCAAACAGACGCGGGAAAATGAAAACATAGAAAAGCCAAAATGAATGTACTTGGCAATTAGTTCTTCCATTTACACATGACCTTCCAAACAGGAAAAAAGCATCATCGTAATGAAGCTTTTTTTTCTTTGCAGGAACTCTGATTGAAGCCAATTACATGCAATACTTTGGTTATATTCAAAGGAAATATTCAATCAGATAAGGAAGAATAATACAGCATGTCCACTTCTGCTTTATGCAACATCCTCAGTGGCCAATTTTTGATCCCATACTCTGACGATTAGTCAATTTGGTGATAGAGAAAAAGGATATCCATTGCTGATGAATGTACTTGCATTCTGAGGAATGATCACTCTTTCGTCAGTTGCAATATGGAGTGAAATATTGACATAAACCGATTTATCTTTTTTTTTTTTTTTTTTGCCCCTGAAAGAAATAAATTTAAAATCAAGTTAGTAGCAATTTTAAGTCGGACAAAACTGATCTTGTGCAAAAATGAAACTCAACCTTCAATCCTTCTCATCAAAGTTTTTATAGGCATGCTGGCCTACTGACCTGTAGAAATCACTCTGCGTCTGAATGGGTTAGAATAGCCTCGACTCTATCTAGTGATCCTTGGAACTTTCCAGAGTTCATGTTGAACAATGGCTCATCAGTTCCTAGAGCCCTGTTAGTTCAATAGTTCCAAACCACGACCTATTCTTCGTAAGATGAGGATATATAATAAATGAAAATTATCGCTGACACTACGAGGCATAAACACTTCTCTTAGTAAATTCATATTAGGTAAGTACTTGCCCAGTAATTTCTGGAAGGACATAATCAGCCCTCCACCCAAACCGAAAATCCACACCAGGGCACAATCCAAGTGTTGTTTTATTCCGTATTCGAGATATACCATCTCCACCAAAACATGTAGTGAGCTTCCATTTCCAACCAGTTGCATGCATGTGAAAATTATGGCCTATTCCGACCTGTAAATAACAGGGAAAGTTGAGAGTGATTTAAACTATTGTCAAATCCTATTACGATAGGTATTAAGATAGAGTAAAAAAGTAATTAGGATTGTCAAGAGTTAGTGAATCATACCTGGAGATTTAAATATTTTGTCACGGGAATTTTTTTAGAAAGAATGCGGACATCTTGGTGGATCGGCTCATAAATGAACTTCCACTTTTTATCAGGGGACAATGGCTTCAACACAAGCTTTGCTTGATACTCATTGCAGGGAGCATTATAGAACTGAACAAAAGAGACCACTTTCAATAAATTGCAACTTAGCCAGCTTTAAACGTGATCTATTGATATAATGACCTATGAGCAGTGATTATAAACTGAGATCAATAGCTAAAGATGGTAAAAGCATGGCAAAATGCATCACATCAGAACCTGTATTCAAGAATGTATATACATAATCTAGTTTCTAGGAAATTAGGAATGTATCTTAGCTCTTTAGGAGTCCAATTTATCCACACCACGGATCTAAGAAAAATGACAGACCTGAATGGCTCAGTGGCAACAGTATTTTATCTAAAATACTAAGCTATAGCAAAAAAATCTGACATAGAAATTGACAACCCTGATCCAAACTTGTAACATGGACTAGATAAATTCCCATCCTCCTTTCTTCATGCCAAGTTGCTTTGCTAAAACACCATCTCATGGAACTTTACTATAGTCTTAGGAAAATTCTACGATAGGCATAATTATGAACTGTCAGATTTTTATCAAGTTATGTTTATTTGTAATACTTTTCTTTATCTGATAGTTCAGAATTGTGATCAACTAGCAACATATTTTTTCACATTCTATAGAATTCTTCTAAAACACAATAATAGCCCAGAAAGACCACCAAAATCTATAAACATGCTACACTATTTTAGCCAAAAGAAGGAAAAAAAGTGGGGTAACTTTCTTAGTGAATAATGGACCAGGATAGCCTAACTGGAACTGGGGATAGCCTAAATCCTATAACTAGAATGGAGAAACCTTCTCAGCATATTGCTCGCTCCATATTTTGGTTAGCAAATAGCACATTCAAAAATAAAAAAAAAATAAAAAATAAAAGCCCTTTGGACAGAATTGACTTACACATTAATACTTAAGCAATAGAAGATTTGAAGGAATTAAAAAAAGTACCTCCAAATTGACACCAAGTCGTATACCCTGTATTTCTTTCCGAAACTTGAGAAACAACTCCGAGGGCATGAAATTAATATTGTAAAGCTCATCCCATGATGTGGGTTCTTCACCATTAGAACCAGAATCCATCTTTTGAACAATTAAATCTGCAATTTGCAAAAATGAACAAAAAAAAGGCTTTTTTTTAAGTCAATTCTCCAGGTAACAGAATTCAACACCAGAAACCCACCAAAATTAAAAACTGTTATTTCTCAGAAAACCCCAAAAGAGATTTCGATCTTTGAAGGCCTGCGAAATGGATTTATAGAATTCAAAATTTCCAAATCCGAGAAAAGAAGAAGAAAACGAAAACAAAGCAAGTATTTGAAGGTACAGAAGTAAGTACCTTTAAACGTCGTCGTATGAGTGAATCCCTGTGACGTATATACACTTTGCAGAGGGGGCTTTGGAATTTTCAGCCACTGCTTCTGCTCTAGAAGGAGCGAGGGAAGAAAGATGGAGCCGGAGAAAACAATTTGGAAATGAAAGATTGGTGCAAGTTAAGTTTGTTTACCAATATGCCCTTTAAATGTTATTAGACTGACAATTATGTCCTTTTGAGTAGATTGAAATCTCATTCATTTACCTGATTCGAATTTTCAATTTTAAATTTTTACAGTAAAAAATTTTTTAAAAATATCATATTTAATTTTTTTTACTATAATAAAAAATTTTAAAAAATATCACATCTCAATATAAGTTAAAAACTTAAATCTTGAACGTGAATTTATACTAGAACCCACAACTTATGTGCTATGGTCCATGACTGTCTATGAGCCTATCATTGTCTAAGGAATATGAGGCTTACGTTTGGGAAGTGGCCCACTAGCTAATCTTTTCAAAAGAAAAAAAAAATGAATATCTTTTAGGCGTGTCACTCAATTTTTATCATTTATTTTTAATTAATATTTGTTTAGTAAAGTGTTCTTTCTTTAAAACTTTTTCTTCTCTTTCTCTTTTTAAGTTTTTCTGTCGTCCTTTTCTCTTTAGCCGGGGTCTTTGGTCATAAAAACCTCATCATTGACCTTCCAGCTAGACAAACTACATAGTGATGGAGCGCTAAACCTTTAGCTATAAAAATCTCATCCTTAACCTCACAACGAGATAATTTATAAGGTGATGGGTTTTTTATAATTATAGGAAGTGACGTTTTGTCAAATTTAACCCGTAAAAATATGAGTTTTTCAGTGGTTTTACAAAATCTTCAGAGGGTGTTTACCGATCGTAGACTCCATAAACTCATGGACAAACTTAGTAGAGTTGCTTGCCCATGGTATTCACACCGTCTCCAACCAGATTTCTCCTGTATAGGTTATGGATTTGTGTACATTTTTTTGTATTTTATTCTTTATTTTGCTGTAATAATAGTGATAATTTCTCCATCCCTCGGTGTATTCCTCCAGCTAGAAGGTGGCTTCTCCACCTCTCTTAGTTTGTGATGCTTTCTCCCTCAGCCAGCGATTGGCTTCTCCACCACTGTTAGTCTGAGGTATGCGTGTATGTGTGAGGTCCATTACAGAATTAGGATATGACTCACTTTGAGTCGATTTTTCATGGCCAAATGTTAGAGCCACTTTTGGGAGGTGTCCACCACGTTATTGAATTAAGGGTACGTTTCTAATGTCTAGTATTGTGAGTGGCACCGGTTCCTATGGCTTTGGTGCAGTCATATATTCTAGTCTTTTAGTGACCTTTTAATGAAATTGTTATATTTATCTTCAAAAAAATATATATATCCTTTTAATAAAATAACTATATGGGACTTTTTGTCGTAATCCTTGTAAAAACATACTATTGGTAGTAATCCTTGTAAAAACATACTATTGGTAGTGTTTTATTTTTCAACTGTAGAAACTGTATTAGAATCTGTCTGTTATGTATATTTTTTTAATCTGATATAATTTTGATCAAATTTAACAGTAAAAAACTAAAATTATCAATAAGGCAGACGACTAAAAAACTCTCTAAATATATTAATCAAAAGAGTAAATTCAGTAATTCTTTCCTTTATGGAAAAACAAAAAAAAAAATCTTAGGATTTTATTTTGGCGCCTGGTGAAGTGGTGATTAATGATTAAAAAAAATGTCTGGTTAATTTATTCTAACAAGGCATTGCCACCAGGAAAATATGAGCATTCTGTGTGTACTGTCGGTTATGATATTTTTCTTTTCTTTTCTTTTCTTTTTTGTTTGTTCTTTTCATAATGGGATTCTATACTCCACCCCCATTTTGAGGCCCTTTGATGGTCAATAGATTATGTAATGTTTGTGGTGGGGAGATTGAAATTAAGGTCCTGTTTATTTCACCAATTTGAGTTTAAAATTTGAGTTTTGTTACATTAAAAAGCTCTTATAAACAGTCACATTTAACATTTTTACTACAATAAAAATTCTCATATAAAATCACATCTCAATTTAAATCAGCAAACTAAACGGATCTTAAGTTCATACTTTGAATATAATTGGATCAAAATCCATTCTATTCTACGAGTGGGTTTCTATCTCTCTTAAAAAGGAAGGACTATCATGGTATGAACGTCATAGATTAACTTGTTAGATCGATTATATTAATTAACCACGTCATTTCTTCTTCAATGCCTTGATTTAAAAGATTAAAGGAAAGTTTTTTGTATGAGCTGAAACAACAATATTAATTGTTTTGATGAGATGTGCTTATGTAAAAAATAACAACTAATCACTTACCAATTGTACACGATTCAGAACTTCATACGGCATAAAAAATTCAATAAATCTGGCCGTTTATAACTAGTCAATAGTAATTATAATAATGGGATATATTAGATTTATGTTCTTTAAAAAGCACTAACTCGTTATTTGTCAGTTTTACACGTTTCAAAACTTTATACGAGGTAGAAAATCAATAAATCGATAGCTTACAATTTATTATACAAGTTTCAAAACTTCATACAGTGCAAAAAAAAAAAAAAAAAAAAAATCAATAAATCAAACAATTTAAAACTAATCATTTATCAGATGTACACGTTTAAAAATTTTAGGAACGACAAAAACTTTATCTAACTGCTCATGATATGACTCATAAATTTCCATCTCAAATCAGTCAAATTAACTGTTAGTATGTTAACAACTTAACACAAACAATATTTTGAGCTCGACACAAACATCTTGCGCGTAAATCCTCCTCTTAGGAGTCAAGAAAGAACTTCATTCAATTATTTACTCCAAACAAAACCCCAACTCAACCTAACAGTCCAACAAGTACCATTACTAATCACATTAATTATACCCCAGATCATTTTTTTCTAAATGCCTTAATAATAAAGATTGGTGGAAAGTTTTTATATTAGTGGAAATAGAAATATTAATTGTTATTATTAAGATATATGATTTTTATGTACTTTTTTCAAAAGACATAATTAATTATTTATTAGTTGTACACGTTTCAAAAATTCATACGGTGTAGAAAATTAATAAATTTGACAACTTACAATCAATTGTTTATCTGTTTATACACGTTTCGAAACTTCATATGGCCTTAAAAATCAATAATGGGATGTTTATTTTAAGGGTTCGTCTTTGGTTCTGAAACATAATTCTTAATTCTCTATAGTGTTTTTCTCTCATAAAAAATTTGAATTTTAAAAATCAGAATCATGAATCATGATTCTGAATCCATGAACCAAACGTCTCATAAATCATTTAGCTTATAAGTATTCATTTATCAATTTTACGTAGCATAACCATTGCTCATAATAACTCTAATCACTAGATTCCTAAAAATTTATCATTGGTAAATAAGAGCTCTTATAAATTCTCATTTCAAGTTAGGCTAATTGTCTTGTTGGTATGTAAATACAAACAAACATCTTGCGAGTACTTCCTTCTCTTAATGGCGAAAACTTCCTTTAAATTTCCACATTCAATCCTCAATGAAGTTACATTTATTCCAAACAAAACCTCCAACTAATCACTACTTAAAACCCAACATTTCAACAAGTTCCATTACTAATCATATTAATTAAACCCCACCATTTCTTCTAAATGCATTAATAATCTTTTAAAAAATGCCTTAATAAAAAAATATTGATAGAAAGTTTTTATATTAGCCAAAGTAACTGTATTAATTATTTTGATGAGATATATGACTTTCATGTACTTTTATAAAAAGTAAAAGCTAATCATTTATTTATTATACACGTTTCAAAAGTTCACACAACGTAGAAATTCAGAGTCTGCTTAGTTTGCTGATTCGAGTTTTTAATTCGAGTTGATATGTGACTTTATGTGAGAGCTTTTTACTGTTTAGATGTGACTGTTTTTAAGAGCTTTTTACTGTAGCAAAACTCGAATTCTAAACTCGAATCGATGAAATGAACGGAATCTCAATAGATCCGACGGTTTGTAACTAATCATTTATCCAATCGTACACGTTTCAAAATTTAATATGTCGTTAAAGATCAATAATTCGTTTAGTTTACAACTAATCATCACGAGTCGTGTGGGTTTTAAAGGGTATGTTCTTTCTAACTAACTTAAATTACAACTCAAACTTTTTACTACAGTATTTTCTCTCATAAAAATTTAAATACAACTTTTTTATTATGTTTTCTCTCACATACTAAACTCAAGTTCTTAACTCAAATTTGAGAAAAGAACATGCCTAAAATTTCATGTAACAGAATCATCCCTCCTAATGTATCTTATCGCTAACTTTATAACTGGTAATTTCAAATCAGGCTAATTGTCTTGTTAGTATGGAAAACACAAAACAAACGTCTTAGGAGCACTCCTCTTAGTAGTGAATTACAACTTCAATTAAAATATCAACATTAAATCCTCAATGAAGTTACATTTATTCAAAACAGAATCACTACTAAAACCCAACAAGCTCCATTGCTAATCAAACAAGGAAGTTGGCAAAATGGGAAGCTGCCGTTGCATCATGAATTTAGTCCGTTTCGGGACGAATTTCCGCATCCAAACATGCTTCCCATTGATGGTGAACTTGGCCTTGGTGACACCATTGAGTATCACATCAATGGTAGAAGCCTTTCGGAAAACAATCCGAGCAAACAGAGACTGCTCATTAGCCTGCACATCTTGCATGTGAAGAGACTCAATACAATCCCCATACGTCCTTGTAAAGAACTCTCTCATTTCCCACTCATAAACCGGATACCCCTTTGAGAATGTTATAAACATTGTTCTATCATCTGGGTGGACCCCATTTTCTCTATCAATAGCACCATTATTATTATTATTATTATTATTATTAGCAGCAGCAGCAGTAGTGGTGGTGGTGCCATTCCTTGGCTGAACTGCTGGGAGATGAAACGACGTCGTTGGGGGCAAAACGAAGTCTTGGTTGGCTTGTTGCATTATGTCACCCATTGCTCTAACGCACACCTCGTTCACAATCTCGGTCACTTCAAGGCGTGCCATTTGCCGGTTGTCAAGGAAGAACTGGAAGCTGATCTCCTTCTCCATAAGGGATTGTATCAACGGGATGTTGTCGCCGCTGGTGGTCTCGTGTGAGAGAGCGGTTTCGGAGGCGATGAACTTGAGGCAGGCGACGGCCTCATCGGCCAGCTCGTTGATTAGGAAGTGGGGTAAGGACAGCATTTTCTTGACCACGTTGTGAAAGCCTTTGTGCTCAAGCCAGAGCCACAAGGCCATGATTTGCATCGCCTCCGCCGGGTCCCGGAAGAGGGTGATCACCAGGAGGGTGTAGAGCTCTCTGTCTATCGCGTGGAATCCGTTGAATTCCTCTTGGGAGACGAACACGGAAGGAGTTGTTGAAAAAGAAGCCATCTTTTTGTAATTGTAAGCACACATGTGTTAGAACTTAGAATGTGTGTATATTTTAGAACTGGTGCTCTTGTGTCCTTCACCAAAATGTATCAAATCCTGAACTGGAAAAAACAAAGGGCTATATATATGGTCAAAATCAGCAAAAATAAAATAAAAAATAAAAAAGAGGGCAAAATCTTACCATTTTTTTTTTGTCGGAATGGGCTTACTGAAAAGACATGAAAAGGGACAAGAATAAGTAGACACAGGAGTTGAATTCTTGGATTTCATGAAGCATAAATGGCTTTGAAAGTGATTACATAGGCGATATAAGACTCCTTACTTGAAGCCATATTGTAGTGGTGACCAAGAGAGACTCTGAGAATAAGCAGCGCAAGCAAGAAATGGGTTTCAGTATTGGAAATTATATAGGCAATTCTTTTTTCTTTTCTCTGTTTTTTTTTTTTTTTTTTTTTTTTTTTTTTTTTTTCTTTTGTTTTGCCAGGAGACCAATTACAATGCAAACATAGAAAGAGTTGGTGAATTAATGCCGTTCCTATCACTTTAGAAGGGATATTGTTGAGTTTAGAAAATTAAGAAGAAACAAATCTATATGGCAGTAAAGACGTTATAAGTATATCTAAGAATCTTGAAGAAAAGCAAATTTTATATGGTGTCATTAAAAGTTTTTCCTTTTTTGAGAGTCAAATTTCGGTAATGCCAAAATTGATTGCCAACGCCTGACCAGTCAAAATGCAGACTAACACAATCTGGTTTAATTAATTAGAATGCAATTTTGAATTTATTACTTGCCTACCAAGTTAACCAGTTATTGGCCAAATATTGCTAGTAATTCAAGTAGTTAAGCACTAGTTCATTTTGCCATTCCATATTAGAGTTCACCAGAAAACTATAAATTGTTGTTTCATACAGATTTTTTCTCATACAAATCTAAATTAAAAAAAAAAATGATTGCTTTTGCTTCACCGAGTGTCCTTTTACATGGTAATTAATGAGTGGAAATCAAAAAGCATAGAGACAGTTATAGATTTTAAATTTCTTTTCTGTAATTAACTCATGTTAATGTGCATGAATGACACGCTACATGCGATGCACTTTTTCAATTTTTTTTTTCCAAATATGTGAAGGTTATCAGAATTTGAAAAACAAAATTGAAAAGAATGATATATACTTTTTTTTTATTGTCCTGCAAAAGGAAAACATACATTGTTTCTTTCTCAAATAGAACAAATACTGACAATGCATTCCATAATAGATTACTGCTTATAATCATAACTCAAACGCTTTGTTTGGTGAATTTAAGGGAAAGAAAAAAGATAAATACCACTTAGAATGCACCAATTTGAATTTTTATCTCTTTATTCTTTCTTTTTAGTCAAATACTATATTAGTCAAAGGATTTTAATTCAGAGGAGGTAAAAATTTAAATTTATACACTCTTAAGGTTAAGTTTGCAATTTTCTCATTTTTTAAAGATGCAAGTTGGGCCGGGGTCAGTCAGGAGCTCATCTTGGGCTTTGGGCTAGGTCAAGGAAGCCTTTTGTCTGGGTCGGGCCGAAAACAATCTACTGAGGCCCAATCGACAATCTAGATATGACGCAGGTTGTGCGCTAGAGATCGGCGTATGGGGGAGTGGTTACTCGAGTTTCTTGGCTTGGTATCATGCACCTCGCATTGAATATGAAAAAATTGGTGAGCTCACTTTTTAAATGTATTTTATCTTATTATTTACTTTTAATTAATATAATTTTTTGACTAAAGGGTATTAATTAAGTATAAAAATTTGAGGGTCCGTTTAGTTTGTTGATTTGAGTTTTTAATTTGAGTTGAGATGTGACTTTATGTGAGAGCTTTTTACTATAGTAAAAAAATTAGATGTGACTGTTTTTGAGACTTTTTACTGTAACAAAACTCAAATTATAAATTCGAATTAGTGAAATGAACGGGGCCTCAAAACTCGTGTATTTTAAGGAGTATTTGTCTTTTTTCACTATTTGAATTCTAACTGTATTTCCTTTCTCGGAGTTAAAGAGGTCTTATTGGAGATTTTCTAAGAATTAACTTAGTGAAATTCTATTAATCCATACATTTGAAGTAGAGCCTAAAATAAACGGTATGTTCTTCTGAGAAGAAGGTCTTCGCTGCTGGTTACCGAAGCCCGACTCCAGATGAAACCCATAGTGCGAAATAGCCAGCTCTTTTGTTGGGCTGAGCCCGAACTACTCATGCGTATGGATCCATTTTTGCAAGGCGAGTGAGACAATTTAGGAAATATGAATAGAGCTAAAGAAAATGAGAAGATTGTTTACATTTATAATTACTAATTGAAACCGCGCGCATACAGATGCTTGGTGAGAATGAAAAACATATTTCTTAGAGTTTCATTAAGAAGAATAATAAGGCAAAAAATAAGAATGAAAAAAAGAAGAAGATAGAAAAGAAAAGAGTGAAAGGAAGAGGAAAGAGAAAAAAAAACTTATGAAACGTTTTGTCAGTGGGGGTAGAGCATTTAAAAAAATGAGAAGAAATTTTTTTAATAGGGAATTAAAGAGAAAAATATATTCTTGAGGGTCAATTTAGGTCAAGAAAAAAAGAAGAAAATTTATAACATCGCAAAAATGATAAGAATGGTAAAAGGAGGAGAAAAAAAGAAAGGAGAGAAAGAAAAAGAGAGAAGTTAAAAAAGAAGAAACTGGAAAGTTAGAAAAAGCACTAACAAAACGTCACAAACGAACTTTTCGTCAATAGGCTAAAAAATTAGATAGAGATATTGAGAATAAATTATTTTAACGAAAAATTAAAAAAAAAATGTATTATGTGGATCAATATTTTTTTTTAAAAATAGTGTTATAAGAAAAAGTAAGAATTAAAAAATGAGGAGAGAGGAAGAAAGGGGAGGAAAGTTTAAAAAAATAATAATAATAAAAAAAGAGGAAAGTGAAAAAAAAATAAAAAATAAAAACCTAACGAAACGTTTCGTTAGTAACCGCAGGAAACTCAATTCATTCTTAGTGAATGTAGTTTAGATTTAGATTTAGTAAAGAAAAAATAAATAAATTAAGGTTATATATCTTTTCCTCTTTTTGATCTTGCATTTCAACATTCCTCACCTAAATTATATATTTCCTTTTTTTCCCTCTACCAAAGGCAGCAAAACTAAAGTAAATATAAAATACTAGACAAGAATAACATTATTAATTAATCATGTTCATGCTATGCAAGCGAGAGAGAGAGAGAGAGAGAGAGGATGATATATCTACTAACAAAGTATTGATGGAATAATATGAGAAAATGGCCAATTACCCCTGAATATTAGGAGGAACAAAAGTAAAATTTAGTACATGTAATTATATATTTATATATTATCACAGTATCATTGTTCATTAGTGCATACCATCTCAAGTCAGTAGCTGAGAAACTTCATAACTGATACATTTTCTAAGTGCGTAGACATAGTATGTTAAAGCCAGTGGGTGAACACGAAATGTCCCAGAATAAACTAGGAAACAGCTGAGGAAGATCTTCAACACCAAAAACATAATCCCAAGTCCCAGACAAAGACCCTGCGTATCAAAAAGAAAAAGAATGGCTAAAAATGTCGATGCAGTTCGTTGTTCTTGTCTCCACCAGAGATGATCAAGCCATTTATGTTGGGTGTTGATGATGCAGCAACAGACTGGAGATCAGACAAAGAGAAAGACCGCCGCGGAGACTGTCGAGGAGGCGATGAAGTTCCGATGGTCGGGGACCTTTTACCATGTGGATGCAAAGGTGGAAGATTGCAAGATGGCGAAGTTGAAATTGAGCTCGAGTCGTCGCAATTAACATTGGTAGCAGAGCTGCGCAAAGTCTCACAGAGAACAGATGCACTTCTGTTGCAGCTAGCCGGTCTTTTTGATGTTCCACCTCCAATGTTTTTCAAAGGTTGGTTGTGGTTTTTGTCCCAGAGGCTACCGTGAGCTAATAAGTTCTTGCGCTTCTTGTTGTAGGGATTTTCTGGCTTTGCAAAGTCCTTAATTGAAGAGACGGATGAAGCATCTGCTAAGCTCGTGAAGGACTTCGATTTGCCACTGTAAAACTTGGATATGCCTCTCCTGAAATTAAATGGAAAAGAAATGATAGGTAAGTGAGATTAATTGAATCGGATAATGGAATATGTATATTTCCTGGGGAATGGTATCATGGGCAATGCTTTGAACCATTGTAACGTAAAAACACTTTTTTCTCGTTTCAAAACATAATATCGGAATCTTCAGTTCAACAAATTGAGACTGAAGTTATGACTAAAAAGACTGCCATAGAAGTCATTCTCCTTATTTGGCAAATCATTACAAAACGTATTATTTTTTTAGACAGATCTAGATGTGTCAACAAAGTGAACTGAAATCTCAAAATCAAACTAGCCTAAACTCTTTAGTAGCTCCAAAGGAACTCATTGGAGATCTTCAGCTTTTGCCACTTCAGGAATGTAAGCTCCTGACCATATATTATGGTAAATATACATGCAAAGCCCACGTTTATGTCGTTTTCTGTCAACCAAAAGAAAATCCTAAAGATGCCAAAATTAGCACTTGCTCAGTGCTCTCATTAACTCCACACTAAGAGGTCTTAAATAAATTCACAGTGAGGTGTATCTGCTATTCTGCATAATGTCTTTCTTTTGTTATCTTTCTTTCTCATTCCAAACCAACTTTTGGCCTTTTCCACACACCCGTCTTGTTCAACATAAGAGTATGAGAAGTATCGAAATTAAATTTGATATCTTTCCAACGTTGGAGACCATAATGACCAAAAACAAGACAAAAGGCCAGCAAAGAAACATAAGAATCCAAGGAAACATGGTCCAAAACGACAGCATGCCTTGTTCCACTTCCTTTTCTTAAATTGGGAAGATGGAGAAAACGACACACTAAGCTCAAACATCACTCCCTTTTCCTTGAATACAGCAAAATTGCATCAAACAAGGTATTCCTTTTTTTTTTCCTCCTCCTTTTTTCTTATTCTTTTCATTATTGAGGTAATTTCTATGAACTATGAAGTACTAAAAATTCCTCTCCAAATATCAAATCTTTTCACAGAAACAGCGAATTAATCAACCACAAATTAAGCAATAAAAGTTAAATCAAAGCTCAATCACCAAAACCTAATTTATAGTTCATCGAAACCAGAATGAAAATCAAATTAACTAGAAACTAAATCATAAACCAGAATTAGAAACTAGAAAAGCTTATCCAAACACATACTTGATGGGAAGAACTTCCTCAAGAGCATCCATGGTGTCCAAAGGACCTTTGAAGGAGCTCTGAACCTCGTCTTCGGCCGAATCTTCGCCGTCCGACGACCCACCGGACAAATCGGAGTTCCTCCCGATCGAAGTGGAGCTGCAGGAGTCCGATTCCCGCTCTAATCGCCGACGATCCTCGGCGAATACCTTGGGCTCCGACGAGTCGTAGATCGAGACGCAGGGGACGCCGTGGATGAACCTCGACCGTCGGATCGCGTCGCCGCCATTGCTCTGCAGAGCAATCGACATGGTTCAAAGAAAAATCGATAGCGCAGAAGAAAAAAGAGTGAGTGTGTTTGCTAGAGAGAGAGAGTGAGATTGGATGAGAAAACGCAGAGTAAAAACAGGGAGAGAGATATATGGAGTGATTATATTAATAGCTGGTGAAGAGCACATGGGGAGGCGATATTTTCGCCATTGTTGTGATATTCTCTCTTGGAGAGAGAAAAAAGACTTCTGTGGGCTTGAATATAATATATTATCCACCCAGTGTAGTGCTAGTGGCATAGCGTTAGCAGTAGTTTTTTTTTATTTTTTATTTTTTTTTAGAAGATAAGCAGTAGTTAATTATCCTTTGAGTATATAGTCAAAATTCAAGTAATGAGTATTGAATGATTTTTTTTTTTCCTTTTTAGGATCATGAAATGAGGATTTATTCTTATACTCGATTTAACGTGTCTAAAAAACCACACCACACGTTTTTAAATGATTAACACATTTAGGAAGTCTTATAAATTTTTCAGAAAGAGTATGATAAGTTGTTATAATTTTCAACGAATATTTCTATCAACGATTAAAATAACTGTTTTAAGATTAGAGAATATGTTAATGCTTGTGGTCCTTTCCGAACTTTTTTCATTGAAAAAATAACGAAAAATAGTTATATAAACGAGGGAAAAAAATGATTAAAAAAAGAGAGAAGTCATGAAGCCTTATCCTTTAGAATTTAGAATGGACCGGTCTTCAATTATGAAACGATGCTCCATAGAAACGAGTAAACTAAATTATCTATTTTTTATCCGGATCTTCTTCTTTTTTTATCTTCCCCTCTTTTTTAGTGAATAAATAAAGGGAATTTTAGAGTGTTGCACGTTCCGACCATGTTATGGCATGATTAAAGATGTTTGAACCCTGAACAATGACATGTTTGACTCTCGTTTGCATTGACCACTAGATCGTAGTTTTTATGATGCTTATTAATTGTGGGGACCCACTTTTGGCTTATCTTATTACCTGTGAAACAAATAATGTGGATAAGTGGTGTTGTTTGTTTTGAAGCTTCTGTTAGTTATTAGTTTATTATAATATTTTTTTTATAAAAAATTTAAATTTTAAAAATTATAATTTTAAACTCATGAATTAAATTTTATATAGATATTTCTATTTACTTTTTGTTGTCATGGAAATCGGTTTCGGTGCATAATTGAATGAGATTTTTTTTTTTTTAAAAAAATTTTTGTTGGTATCTATGGATTATGGATATTGTCAAATATGAATGATGTACGTGTTTTTTCGACCAAAATTGAAAATTAGGACCGAAAATAGGCCTGTATGGAATTAATTGAGAGTAATGATGTCACGTGTGATATGATTATGAGGTATGCAACATGATAAAGGATATTGCCAAATATGAATGATGTACGTGTTTTTTTACCAAAATTGAAAATTAGAACCGAAAATAGGCATGTATGGAATTAATTGAGATTAATGATGTCACGTGTGATATGATTATGAGGTATCCAACATGATATGCACCAAATTTTTCTCATTTTCTGCCCAAAATTATTGTAATGTGTACAATAATTACAATTAGACAATAATTAAGCTCAATGATGTTGTCATTAAGATATTATTTTGGACACGACGAGCTAATATTTTTCTTAATTTTTTTTTATAAAGAAAACATGATACTTTTCTTTAAAAACTATAATTTCCCGCTATTATAATTAATAGGCTCAAACCTTATCGAATGTGAGATTCAATATGGTCTGAAAACCTCCTTAGGAATACGGACCAGAAATTTATATCAGTGTGGGCTAAACTTAATTTTATATTAGGAAGTATAAGATTAATTTTAATGAGACTAATTTATATTAATATAGTGTGATACATAATTATATATTTTGAATCTACAATTATATATATTATGATTTTCTTCAAAATATAAAATTTGAGTTGTTAAGCCTCCACTTGCCATGCACCTCAGTGCATGCTTAGGATGCTAAGATAAAGAAGAGTATCAAATTTCTTTTGAAAATGGAGAATATCATATATAGTTAATAACCAAAAACACAATACAAGCCTTCAAGAAAAAAAAATTCTAGAAGCCAAAAAAAAAACACGATTCTTATATAAAGAAAAAAAAAAGAAAAGAAAAAAATATACACTATATTTTGCTTTACTTTTTAGGAGAAAGAAAAACACACAAGTCAAGGTGCAATGCATTTAAAAAAATATAAATTAATAAAAATAAAAAGGTTCCAACGCACTAATCTAGCAATGCTATACAATTTTTTAGGACGTAAGAGATTACGACGCATGGCCTGCTTGACGTGTTGTACATCGAATTCGACACGACGACACCATATAAAACAGTAGCTGTGGAAACACCAACTTCAAAGCGGATTGGGGAGAGAGACGTATGAGAAACAGAGAAAGAGTGGTCCAACAACGTATATTTATCTCCATCATTTTATCTATTTAAATTTAAATTTTAAATTTTATTATAGTAAAAAATTTTAAAAAATTATTATATTTAATTTTTTTATTATAATAATATTTTTTTTATATAAAATTATATCTTAACGAATTATCCGATAATGATTTTGTTCACATCATTGTTCCCTTCGGACAGCCACTGAATTTTTCTGATTAAGATTAACTATGTTTTTGTCACGTGTCGTTGATTGAAATTTGAGTAAATTTAGCAATCCCATTTCACATTCTCATACTTATCTTCGGTTCCAACCCCAAAAAGTTGAATATTCCCATCCTAAACAATATAGTATTTTTTTCAAGCAAAAAAAAAAAACACAATATAGTATTTTTATAGGAGAAAATATCAGTTTGAAGAATTATTAGGAGACATAAAAGATTAAGCTTTATGTATAATTTTAAACCGTGTCTGTTTTTTTATTAGACCTCAATTATATATTTATATTGCTTGATCTCAATAAATAATATTCCGCTTTCAAAAAGTAATAATAAAATTCAATATTTGAACACGTATGGTTCCAAATACACGGGTTAAAAGTTTGATTGATTTCATCGTGTCATTTATCTCAAAATGGCATGTCAGAGATATTTTTCCACAATTAAAAAAAAAACCAAGACATGTCAGAGATACAAGGTGAATTAGAGGAATGCCAGTATTTTGAGAGTTGACATTTAGTTATTATTCTTTTAGCAATAGTTTGGAATCTAATTTAAGTATAAAACTAATACGAGTGAATAATTTGTTGACGGCAGAAATTCATCAACAAAAAATATATTAAATTTTAGAGTGGATAAGGTGATTTGAAAGATTTAAAACACGACTAAGAGAATATTATGTAGTAAGAATAAATGAAGATTTATAATTGTTCACTCCTAAATTTAAGGGCTACGTTTAGGAGGAGAAAAATTCACTATCTTTTTAGAAAAATGATTACATACCTTTTCCCTCTGAACTAGTATCCTCTCAATATATATCCCATGTAATCTCTGCAATTTTTCTTATTTTATTCAGGGATATTTTTCCCATATTTTGGGATAATATCCCTGGTAGGTTAAGATTTCTCTCAATTAGTATTATTTTCTCACTTACTTCCTTACTTATTTTGTATATTTTAATTACAATTTTCTGTTAATCAGCATAATTTCCTCACTTACTTCTTTACTTATTTTGTATATTTTAATTACAAATCACAAATCTCGTTACATGTCCTGTATTTTTCTCAATCTGCGTGGACTTGACATCGTAAGTACCCTCAGAGCCATCTCCACTTACAACTGCTAGTGCAGTCGACCTCATGTTGTTCTCAACTCCTCAAAGCGGTCAACCGCCTTTACACGTCACTCCCTTTACTTGCGGTCTACTCCTAAAAGAATCGTCATCTGACGTGGTAGTTAAAACATAATTGTCTCCGGTCATTTAGTGGACGTTTAGTTCACGGATTCATAACTATTCTCGGTTTAAGTGTGTTTTTTGTGAGAAAAAATATTTTAGCGAGCTACGAATCATGATTCGAATTTTCATACCAAACACCCTAATAATGCCCTTAATTGTGACGTATGGATCCCATCTAATTGCTCAATTTAGAGTTTGAAAGTTTACTCTACAACGTAACTAAACTTCTTAAATCGTAAAGGCAGGCCTCGTTTGCTCGCGGATTTGAATTTTCAATTCGAGCTGAAATGTGATATTTTATGAGAGTTTTTCACTGCAGTAGAAAAAATTAGATGTGACATTTTTTAAGAGTTTTTAATTGTAAAAACTTAAAACTGAAAACTCGAATCGGTGAAATGAACGAGGTCTTAATTTATGCGGAGTAATTATGACAGGCGCTGTCTCTTTTTCCTCGTGGATCGAAGTCTGCTACACTGGAATACATTTTGTTCTATGCCATGTTGTGTGAAGGCTAATAACTTGGTTAGAAGATTACTTTTATCCTCTTTCATTCAAAATCAAAGAGCATCTCAAAAAAACCAAAAAAAAAAAAAAAAAAAAAGGCCGTGAACAATTGACAAGAATTAGCAAGGCACGGCCATCGGTTTCCTCGCCAGCATACACGATCTACTTGCTTTAACGGAGAGATACAGGGATATCCTCGTGGTAGACGTGCTGAGTAGATCTTCATCGTGATTCTCTTACACAAAGAGATTTAAGTATCATTTATTTCACTAATTTAAATTTAAAATTTAAATTTTATTATAATAAATTTTTTTAAAAAATAATCACATTTAATTTTTTATTTATATAAAATTACGTATCAATTTAAATTAATAAATTAAACGACTCTAATTATCCGTATCTTTTTCTTTGTTTTCGTACTTCTATCAGTTTTATGATTTTTTGTGTATCTTTTGTGATTTCTTAACTATTCGGACGAAGGTGACGACATATTGTTGTTGTCGAGGTGGTTGTTGGCGGCTACCAACTAGTATCATCGTGGATACCGGTAATTACCATGCGGATACCAGTTAGCAAACAGTATCATGATGAAATACCGCTCAGAATTTTGAAGTTTAGTAAATATTTTAAAGTATTATAAAAATAGCAAAAATAACATAATAATTATGGCAGTGATATCATATTTTATACGGTGTAGTTATATAATCATTATTTTAGTGAGATCAAATTTTATTGTTATTGTAATATTTCAAAATTTTATTATATGTGTAAAGAGCCTTTAAATTTTTTTTTTTTAAAGAAAACTAGAATTACCCCTTAATATAATAAAAAATATTATTTACGTCACTCTACTTAAAAATAAATAATTACTATTCAATTAATAAAAAAATAAAAAACCAATGCCTAACCATTTACTTTTTTCTTAAATTTTACTATAAGCCCAAAATGTAATGTAAAGAGCACACTTTACACCCCAGATACATTATTCACAGGTCCATAAATGGGCAGTATTATAAATGTACCCAATTTTAACAAAAACACAAAAAAAGACACGTATTAACCTTAAGATTAATGACACCGCCTTGTAAAGCACCTACTTGCATCTCTCCCTATGTATTGCACCTGATCCGGAAACTAAAAATTAACTAATTATTTTCTTTATTACATTTTTTTTCTTCATTTTATAATTACTCAGATTAAAGTCTCATTTATTTTATTAATTCAAGTTTTTATTTTTAATTTTATTACAATAAAAAACTACGATAAAAAGTTATATTTAACTTAGAATTACATCAAATTTGAATTAAAAAATCAAATTCGGACGAGACCTAACTCTATCAATAACCTGATCCGGAGAACAATTTCACAGCCGCATCTGCATTTATCTTCCCCCACCCCCAGCATTTTTTCCCCCTTCACACGCGCAAGTATAATTTCCCATGCATTTTACATTCGGCTGAGGTCCATGATTTGGAAGTATGTGGTTCAGCCCATCCATACAACATTAAAGTTCCGTTTACTTCGCTGATTCGAGTTTAGAATTTAAGTTGAGATGTGACTTTATGTGAGAATTTTTTATTATAGTAAAAAAATTAAATATGATTATTTATGAGAGCTTTTTACTGTTGAGATGTGACTTTATATGAGAATTTTTTATTGTAATAAAAAAATTAAATATAATTATTTATGAAAATTTTTTACTGTAAAAAAATTTAAATTCTAAACTCAAATCAGCGAAGTGAACGGGTTTTACAGTCGGCCCAGGCCCAATTGAACTACAACTTCTCACTAGTCATAGTAGTAGAGTAGTTCCGTCCATGCCGCCCTCTTCAAACCAACTCCAAAGCTCTCAACTCAAACTCTCACCGCATAGCAGAGACTGAACTGAGCTCCAGCGCCGCCAATGTCAGCCGCCGCCACCACCGCCGAGAGGATCGAAACCTACGAGGACTTCGTGAAAGTCCACGGTCTTCTACTCACGGCGTCGGGATTGCCGCAGTCTCTGCACCGGAAACTCTTCGCCAAGCTCTCCTCCGAGACCTTCGATGGCGGCTCCTTCTTCCAAATCGTGCCCTGCGATGACGGCCCTCAGAGGAGCCTCGTCCTTACCTCGGAATCCATGCCTAAACACTCAGACGTCTTCCTCGTTGACCACGCTTGGACTTTCCGCCTCTCCGACGCTTACAACCAGGTCGCTTTCTCACTTTCCTGTTTTCTCCACTATTTGTTTGGCTGCCTGAAAATGTACCAGAAAGAGAGCAGATCGTTTCTTATTTTCTTCTTGATTTTGTTTCAGTTGCGAGAAGTTCCTGGATTGGCGGAGAGAATGGCTTCCATTATGTGCGTCGACGGCGATTCGAATTCGGATTCCGAAGAGAATGGAGTTAACGGAAATGACGCGAGGAAGACGGTTTTCGAGGTCGTGGAAAGCGAAATCGTTGTTGCGAAAGAGAAAGGAGAAGATAATTTGAAGTGGTTGGAGCTTGAGGAGCTCGAGATTGACGACGATGCGTTGCTTTCATTGGATTTAGCCAATAAATTTCCGGTGCGTCTCATCATAAGCAAGCATAATTTGGTTAATTTAGTATTATCAGTTAGTTTTCTGAAGCTCTTTCTGTTTGTTGCCTTGCGTCAGGGTCTACTTGCTCTCAGCCTTTGCGGAAATAAGCTCGAGAACGCAGATGTAGTTGTTCAAGAAGTTACTAAATTCAAAGACTTAAGAGCTCTCTGGCTGAACAATAATCCAGTTGTGGAAAAATGGTATGGTCTCTTAAGACCAGATTATGAGTCATGATCAAGAAGTTTGAGAGAAACTTAGAGCCTTTATTTATTTTTATTTATTTTTTTTTATTTTATATTTTATATTTTTTTTTGTGTTCCAGTGGGGTGCAATTGGCTGATAAAGTTTTGCAAGGCTTGCCAAATTTGGAAATTTATAATTCAAAGTTTACTTCTAATTATGGTGAGTGGGCATTGGGGTTCTGTGGAGAAGTATATGACAAGGAAAATCCAGGAAGCGGCAAACTTCAAGATGATCCTTCATTGCAGAGAATCACTTCTCTTGACCTTTCCAATAGATGCATTCACAATTTAATCGACAAGGTTATAGCATTTTCTAAATTTGATTTGAAAATGCACGTTGGCGGATAGTGTTTGGTATTAGGTACTAATTTTCCACTGGATATTGGTTCTGATTGTGGTATGTTGCTACAACCTCTTTCTTATTGCAGGCCTTTTCACTTCTTCGCTTACCTTCTCTTTCGTACTTGAATATTCGAGGGAACCCATTGGAGCAAAATTCAATAGGTGACTTGTTTCAGATTCTTGGTGGATTTCCTGGCTTGCATTCTCTAGAGGTACTTTGCTGGAGACAAACGAAGATTTTTTTATATGCTATATTAAAAATTGGCTACCATATTGAAGGGAGTCTTATGACATTGAAAACTTAGGATTTGAAAACTTAGTGAGACTTGTTCTGCAGGTGGATATTCCTGGTCCTCTTGGAGAAAGTGCTGTGGAAATCCTTGAATCTCTTCCTAATCTTTCAGTACTGAATGGTGTCGTGGCATCTAAAATATTAGAACATGGAAAACATGTGATCGATTCAAAGCTACAACCGCGTCTTCCTGAATGGACCGCAGATGAGTCTCTTGCTGATCGTGTTCTAAATGCAATGTGGCCATATTTAATGACGTACAGACTTGCAGATGAAGAAAAGATTGATGAGACCTCTGTTTGGTATACATTTTGAGTGTTATAAGACGATCTGCATTTGGTTGACAACATGGGTATTAAGTCTCCATAGGCAGTTTAAGCTACTTAAGTTTTCCATGATGTTTCTTAGTTCTTGCACGTAAACAAATTTAGAGTACTGCAAGTTTGATTTAAGAAATGTTGGGTGAAACAATAGAAAAATTTCTTTGAGAAATAATGGATAAACCATGGTTTTGCTAATACTTGAGTTTGCATTGCTTTGTTTTTGAATTTTTTTTTAGGTATGTGATGGATGAACTAGGTTCAGCTTTGCGTCACAGTGACGAGCCAAACTTTAGAGTGGCTCCCTTTCTCTTCATGCCGGAAGGAAAGCTGGCATCAGCCGTGAGGTTATATTTTTATTTTTTTGTTTTTGCATTACTGCCTTTGCATACAGAATAATTTTCTCATTTAGTTATATCAACTTGGTATCTACTGTGTTGTTGCACTTAAAGCACGTTTACATTGATGGGGTCGCGAATTTTGCAATTCAATTGGCTTAGTGGTTTTGACACTTATGTTTTTTGAAAAATCAATTTGAAAATGTTTGGCCATGCAGCTCTGTCTTTGCTGGTTAATTGAAAATCATTAGAGAATTTTTATTTAAATGAATCTATTTTGTCATTTTCAGTTTCTCAATATTGTGGCCAATCCAAAATGTCCAGAAAGGTGATGAGTGCACACGTGACTTTCTCTTTGGTATTGGAGAGGACAAACAACGATCTGCCAGGCTTACGGCTTGGTTCCATACGCCAGAGAATTATTTTATTCAAGTAATTTTGTCTTATATAAAATAATTCTGAGGTCTTTATTGTTGGAATATTTTTATGTGGACTTTCATAATCATAATAATTCACTCTAATATGAATTAAAGCATGTTATGAACAACTTTGATATTGTGAATTTATTTATGCATGTATGATAGTTATAGGGTCATAATAGGATGTACACTCACTCTATTGACTAGCTTGAGGTCCATGAACCCTCATTTATGAGTGCTTTGGTCAGTCCATTGAGCCAAAAAACCTAAAAGCCCACCACAAACTTACCTATTAAGTTGAGTGAAACACTTTATTTAGGTGTTAGGGGGCTATTTGTGGGTTAAGGTTGTTGTGGTGTTGTTATGCATGTGCATGGAGAGGTTATCTAATGAGGAGAGCTTTATCACACTCTAGATAGCGACTTATATGACAGCACCACGAGGTAACTTATGACCTTTGATCTTATGATATGTGTTAGACACTAAATCGGCATGGTATTTAAGACGTATCATAAAATAAAAGATTTTCGTGGGTTACCTCTCAGAAGTGATGGTGTAGCCATCGAGCTGTCGAAACTCACTGGTGAAGAGAGCTCAAGGGTGATGAACCATCCTCTTCATATAGCCTCCCTAAACACTATGGAAACACACCCCTATATGCCCATTACACCCTCATACATATAGCATGCGTGTTATGCCCAATTGGCCCATTATAATATAAGCATGGGCAACATATAATATATGCTTGTGGGTGTTATAGGCATGTGAACGGGTGTGTGTGTGCATAGTTTGGAAAGACTCCATCTGTGAGTTTCGACAGTTCGATGGCCACGCTACCGCTTCGAAAAGGTAACCCAGACATCTTTTATCTTATGATATGTCTTAGATACCATGCGACGCCTATCGTGTCTAAGACATGTTGTCGTCAAATATCTTGTGGTGCCATCTTTGGAGTTGCTACCACAATCCTTAAGAGGATGATGGAGCTCTTCTCCCTGTATAGCTTCCCAGCACACATATATAACACCCCTCGAATACTTATATAAAGTGTTTCACTCAACTCAATGGGCTTACTTTGTGGTGGGCCTATTGGGCTTTACAAATTATGCTAGAGAGGTTCTTTAGTTCGTTGGGCTGAGCAGCTTATGAGACAGGGGTCCATGGACCTTAAGATGGTCAATAAAACGAATGCCTATCCTATTATAGCCTGATATTTAACATATATTCATTAACTAAATCACATTAGCAAAGTTATCTATAACATGCTTTAATTTATATTACAGTGAATTGTCATGATTATGAAAGTCCACTTAAAAATATTCCAACATGAATATCATTCATTAAACTGAAGCTCACGGCAGAGTTTAACGTTAATTGGCATTAATCTATGCAGAGGTATGAGAAACATTGGAATAATTTACAGTCAAGAAAGTTGACTTTACCACCTATACAACCATATCCACCTAGAAGTCCGCTTCGTAATGATGGTTGCCCTTTACGTCTTTATACCGACATACCTCATGTGGAGGAATTTCTGACACGTCCCGAGTTTGTAATCAGTGTGTATTACTTTTTTATACTCTGTTATTTTCTATTTGTTTCCCTAATATGTTTTCCGATTTATCTTCAATTTGTTTCCTCAATCAGCTTAATCTGTGTAGTATTGTATCCTGGACATTTAGTTGACAGACTTTTGCTCCTTTGTATGATTTATTTATTTATTATTATTATTGAAATGTATGTCAACTGTTTTCAATGACTCAATTACTATGATTTCTTGTACTGATAGATCTTTCCCTGCTTCTGTTCTTGGGGTGTTGCTTAAAAGCAACTGATCCAAACCGTGCAGATATCATATGGACTAGTGTGCAGGTGGATGAGGATATGAAGAAGGCCACTGGAATAACAGATAACCAATTCGTAAACCAATTTCCTTTTGAAGCTTGTATTGTGATGAAACATCATCTGGCGGAGACTATTCAGAAGGTGAAGAACTTACGTTCTGTGTTTATATTAGCATTTCACTGTTTAATGATCTTACAGATTTGGCTTTGCACTTAAGTTAGACTTTAAAGGATTTATCCGGTCAGGATACTAAGGTCATCCTTTTCATTTAACAGGCACACGGTTCTCCTGAATGGCTGCAGCCTACGTATAATCTTGAAACTAACCTATCTGAATTTATTGGGGATTATTATGTACGTAAAAGAGATGGACGTGACCATCTGTGGATATTGAAACCTTGGAACATGGCACGAACCATAGACACAACTGTCACTGATAATTTAACTGCTATTATCCGACTCATGGAGACTGGACCAAAGATATGTCAGAAGTATATTGAGCACCCTGCTTTGTTCAACGGAAAGAAATTTGATCTCCGTTATATAGTACTAGTTCGCAGTATGAAGCCTTTGGAGCTATTCCTTTCAGACGTTTTCTGGGTATGCGTATTCTCCTTTGTATATATAATTTGTAATGCCAATTTCTAGTGTTTGTTGTCTGTGTCGCCAATTTGAAGAAAATGTTTTAAGGCCTTTTCTGAGTATTATCTGTAAGAACCACCATTCCGGCGGCTACTTTTAATTTCCTTTTCAGGCCAGATTGGCAAACAACTCGTATTCTCTGGAGAAGCACAGTTTCTTCGAGTATGAGACCCACTTCACTGTCATGGTATGCCCTCATAGTGCGTCTCTGCCCTTTTTATTTTTGCGTGTGTACCATTAATCATTTTGTTATGGCTTTCAGAACTACCGAGGAAGATTCAATCACAAGAACACACCAGAATTTGTCAAGGAATTTGAACTGGAGCATCAAGGTACATTATAAACAATTTTTTCTATGGCACGTTTATATCATGCTCAACATTGTTCTTAAGTTGATCCTCAAGTGTAATTGCAGTCAAGTGGCTGGATATTCGTGAAAGAGTAAGAACAATGATCCGTTCAGTGTTTGAGGCGGCTGCTATAGCACATCCAGAAATGCATAGTCCAACATCTAGAGCCATGTATGGCGTCGATGTCATGCTTGATAGCTCTTTCAACCCGAAGTTATTGGAGGTTCATATCTCAACAAACTTATCTCATCGTTCATTTTTTGCATGAATCTGATTACTGTCTGATTCTCCCCCTTTAAACTCACCTTTGTGTTCATCAGTGGTTGTACCTGCTCTTGTAAAATTAACTTGATTTGTCTTTCCCTAGGTTACTTACTGTCCCGATTGTGCAAGAGCATGCAAGTATGACACAGAGGCTATAGTTGGAGGAGTAGTCAAAGGTCGCGACTTCTTTAACGACATCTTTGGTTGTCTCTTTTTGAACGAAACCACCCACGTTAGTCCGCTGTAGTTGAGGTATAGAAGGATGTTCTTTGTAATGGTAATGTAACATGCAAAATTTTGTTTAATGTATTGTCTGATTTTGTCTATGCGAAGTCTGCATTCTTTCAGTCTTATGTACGAAAATGGAAACAAAAAACAAAACAACACTCTCCTTTCATCTTATCATGCGCGGAATTATCTATAATACAACGAATGAACAATGATCATTATGCCAAAAATGTGAGAAGTCGAGAACAATATGTTCAAGATTGCCAGCCCAAGAAAGAAGTGCTTTTCATAAACCGATATATACACATCTGATCAGTGTGATTCTTCTTGCTTCATTTGTTCTTTCGGCTAAAATTCTTGTATAAACACATGAAATTAAATTAAGGTCCTCGTTGCTCAGTTGGTTCAGCTTGTACGTGTGATTGTTTTGTGAGGATTGTGATCTTCTTTTGCAACTCAAGATTGGACATTCGCTCAGCCTCTAATGCTCGCTCAAGCTTTAACACAACAAACAAAAATACAAAAAAAGTATTAGGCGGAATTCCTGGTAAACAGTCATATATGCATTGAAGGATTTGATAATCATCCAGACAAAGCTTTAAACAGATGGAAAAAATACCTTTGCTGCTCTCGTACTCCACTCTCCTAAGATTGCTCTCAACCTTTCGTTCTCTTCTACATACTGTTTTAATAGTATAGTTACAGGAAGATACCAAGCTAGCACATGTAATAATAAAATGCAAAGTTATCTTGTCATTAAAATTGTCAAAATATTAGGCCTCGTTCGTTTACTAATTAGAATTACAACTCAAGTTTTTGTTACAATATTTTCTCTGACAAAAATTCAAATCTAACTTTTTCTGTTATAGCGTTTTTTCTCACATGAATTCACTTTTTAACTCAACTTCTCAACTTGAACGAGGAAACGAATGAGGCCTTAGTTGCCAAAAAAAAAAAAAAAAGAAAAAAGAAAGAAAGAATTGGGTTTGGGTTGATATTTTAGACTCAAGAACAACAATAGGCAGCAAGAACTGGTAAATACCTGGTTGTTGGTAGTCCGCACGCGTTGTATTTCAGTGTCTCTCTCAGCTAACAATGACCGAGCAAGCCTCAGTTCAGACTGTAGCTGATTCATCTGCGACATAAACATGCACCACTTATGATAGAGTTCAATACAATAACATTGACGAGCATTTTATTGTATTCATCTTTTGGTTAGAAAAAGAATAATAAACAAACTAGTTGCTTTTTTCTACCAAAAAGCCTCAAGAAGCTATGTCTCAAACATGAGGACTGAAAACACAAGGCATTTTTGCCAAAATGCATTTAGGGTCCAGTTGCGGCTAACAAAAAGGGGATCTGTTCAATGATCAGGAAAACATGCTATGATTATAATAGATAAAACTTGAAAAGAGATCTCCTAAAAACACAAGGCTTGTAAACAAAGCTAATTGCATCTAGTGCTCATGTAAACATCATGAGTACCGATCATTACCTCAGCAGAAAGCGTCCGTAGTTCTTGATCACGAGCTGCCAACAAATGAGCAAGATCAACCTGCAAGTAACACAATGTAGAAACACGCATGGCATTTCAGAATCAATATTGTCTCCTTTACGTTTGCACAATTCTACATTTTTTTCGTTTCCTTTACTTAAAAAAAAGTAGCTAGAATCACTATCACCTGAGGTGTGCTCCCATCATCAGAGCGTTCATATTTACTTAAGCACTCTTGCAATCGAAGAATCTGCAATGCTCAGATCCAGAATCACGTTACAAAATTTACCACTAGCAAACACATGCTGCAACATGTACATTGCGATCACACAAGCCCATTCAGCAACCAAAAGCATTACTTAGAAACTAACAGAACTATATGCTATAAAACGCATTACTTTCATACCACTACTAATTGTAAGATCCAGTGATGATACCTCTTCGCTCAAAAAGTGAAGGTTTTCGCGCTGGTATTGCAGCAAAGCCATTTGCTGATCAGAAAGCCTACCAGCATCATAATACCTGTTAACCACCGACGGATTTCAGATATGATACTACATATTGCATAAAATACACATAATAGAGGAGAATAATGCATATACTTCATAACTGTGAGTGTTACTTGAAAATGCTACTAAGGATGCTAAGGACAGCTAAAACATGGCAGTCACCAGATGCATCCCTTTGTACACGAAATCCAGTAAAGGTTGGAAGCAACAATTCAAGGGTGTAAAAACAAAAGTGACTAACTAAATAACTATAATTACCTCAAACCTTCCAATGAACTTGATGGTTGTAGTGGAGAATACAATGACTTCAAGATGTCAGGCTGAGAATTTAACGAGTTGTATTGGTACACGTAACCTAGAAAGCACGAAATATATGGGACCCCCCAAAAAGAAAGTAGTGGAAATAATAGCAACAAACATAATTGAAATTTCATGCTCCAAGTTAACTCCACTCAAATGTGTACTTATACTCACCAATATAGAGACTCATAAATGATCCGGCACATACTGCTTCAACTGCCATAATTATCCTGCAAATTTTACAGGTACACTATACGGATTTAATGGAAATATTGATCCAAGTAAATCACATCCAGCCAACTTATACAGATGAAGAGACAAATGGATACATATCATAGTATGGTGACTTGTATACCTTAATATCGTTGAGATAGAAAGAATACTGATGTGGGGTCTCCAAACCGTGACAAGTAGCATTGCAGCAGTTCCTAGAAAAAGCAAACCATTCGTAAACATTAAAAAGAACACAAGAGCCTCTTAAACTCTATGCTACTTCACTTAATAAATATGTGCCAAAAACATTTTGAATTGCTTTTTCTGTAAAATCTCATTTGACAATACACTTTTTAAATGGAATTTAGATTAATGACAGAAAATTAGGAAACAACTTAAACACAGTTGGTATACAGTACATACCATACGCAATAGTTGCAAATGGAAGGCGAACTATATGCTTCAACTTCTGGCTAAAACTATAATAACCCTGCATACCAAAATACTTCCTGTGGTTAATGAATGAGGTGAAATTTTCAAGTACGGATATACATGATTAACGAGACCCTAGGACAAAGATCCAATAGTTATGTGTATGTGTGCAAGAGAGACGGTATACTTCCATATGTGAAAAAACAAAAAACAACAACAGCAACAAAAAATAAGAATTGAAGGCAGGCCAATCGGGAAGTGAAAATTTTGACTAATTAGAGAGATTACCTGTAAGCGAATCTTCTGAACCTGGTATACGAAATACTGCTGAAAAAGGCCTGAAACATTACATAGTTTATCTTCAACAAACACTCCCAAATACTATTCGTATTCTGATCCCACACTCAGCTAAAGTAAGTAAAAATTTGCTCACCCCAAAACGAAAAACTCATGATTTTTATCAAAGCAACCAATGCAATTTGAAGAATTGACTCATCCCAAAGTTTAATAAACAATATGATAGGGTATAAAAAGTATTATGTCGAAGTAAGACACGCATTTTCATATTGATGTGATTAGATCATATTCAACATTTGAGAAACACGCACTACCTATAGTCATACTCTACCATAGAAAGCTCCTAAGCAATAATTCTACGTAAAAAAAAAAGTAAGGAAAAAAAAATTAGTCCCATTCGTTTCACGGGCCTATAGTCATACTCTACCATGGAAAGCTCCTAAGCAATAATTCTATGTAAAAAAAAGTAAGAAAAAATAAATTATTCCTGTTCGTTTTGCGGGTTCGAGTTGGGAACTTGGGTTGAAAAGTGAAAAGTGAATTTATGTGAGAAAAAACATTGTGACACAAAAAAGTTAAATTTAAATTTTGATTAGAGAAAACACTATAACAAAAAGTTTTGAGTTGTGAAACGAACGGGCCAAAGTTGCGGTATAAAACCTGCAACTACTAGAAGGATAACATCGCAGCTGCAAAGCAGTTGTAAAGTATATCTCTGAATTGGATGGAAAATCCATGGAGCTCCAACGGCCAATGCAGCATAACCTGCCTACAATCGAAGAAGAAGATCAGTCCAACTAAAATCACATTCAACTTCATCAGATTTTCAACTCTATCTAGTCACATAATTTGCAAAACCAAAAAGCTTCTACTTGCCAATAATACAGAATAAACGACACCCCCGAAGATGCTTCTGGACTTCCTGTGACCCAGCAAAGGAGCTTCGTGCAGTATATCTAGAAACCTAAAGCACCATAAACAATCAACCACGAAAAATTCACGAATTCGAAGAAAAAGACACAAGATCAGACATGGAAACAAGAGCTCTAGCAACAAAAATCAGAAAATTTAGCGTTTACATTAGTTAGTAATCATTTCGAAAGACGAAGAACATACTACATAAAACCGAACAATTTCACTCAAATATTCGATTCGGAGACGAAATGAAATGCTGTAAATCAGGAAGAGGTTTGTTCTTCTAGAGAACAAAAAATGGAAGAATTGGTTATTCGGAAAAGCTTACAGAGCGTCGAAAATCGTCTTCGAGCGCTGTGGATGCCAATGGAGTGTGTCTTTCTCGCTCGGAAGCCATTTTAGGTTTTCTTCCGGTTCTGTTTTCAGAAACAGTCAGAAACTGCTTCCAGGAAAGAAGAAAGGAAACCTGTGCTTAAATCGTGTTAATTAGCTCGTTTTACTCTCCGACCTTGCTGTTAATTACTAATTAATTATTATGGTTTTTAGGCAATTGCAGTCCAAAACTTAACACTTTTGTCCATTTTTATTTTTTTTTTTATTTTTTTATTTTTTTTATATTGGAAGCCCCCTTTTGTCACCTCCTCTAAGTTACATGCATATATAATTAAATAAAAAAAAGAGAGAAATATTTTTTAAAATATATCGATTTAAATTTTTACTTCTTATTATTAATTAATATTTTATAGTCAAATAATTATACTAGTTAAAAAAATTTAATCAAGAATCAAGAATAATTATATTTTCTCTAAATTAGATTGTTCCCCCTCCGTCCATAAATAATTGCATATACATACACACATATCTAATCTAATTTAATTATTATAAAAGGGTGAAAACGCTTATTTTTGTGGCGTTTACACGTGGCGGGAACATTTCGCTCTCGTTTTGCTTGCTTTTTTTTTTTTTTTTTTTTTTTTTTTTTTTTTTTTTTTTTACTTTTCTTATTTTTGTTATTTGATCCTCAATTGTTAAATTGTTTTTATTTGCATCCTTGTCCTTTCTTTTGCTTTTTTTTTTTTCTCATTTTGCAACCCTTTTTCACATGCATTTTCAAATTCATTTGGCAAAATTATTTCTCTCTTCTCTAATTTCTTAGTTAAAATATTTTGTACAAATATATTCTTACTCAAGTAATTTTCTTACAATCCTCAGTATATTTTAAGTTACATGTGTGTGACTATTTTTGTTACTCAGAAATATTTTCTCTCGAATATACTTTTAAATAAATATTTTTCTCAATTCTCATATGTACACCTTAATTAGGTTTTTATGCACTGTAATTTCTTTTACTGGAAATTTAGCTTATTATTAACAGTTGGAATTAATTGCTATTGTTTTTTGAGAGAGTTAAAGAATTGCTGAGAAAAATTTTAAGGAGTAAGATGTCAAACTACAAAAGAAATAAAGGGCAAAAGCGTCAGTCTGGGCGCACGCTCGCTGGGATTCGCTTGAGAACATCAAGCCAATGGGCTTTGGTGAGGCCCATTTTCCAAAACTCACCCTCCTACGGACAAGAACATCAAGTCGGCAAAACAGAACCAACGCACAGCACAACAATGGCAAAACGTCACAGATGAGACTTTTGTTCTCCAAAACCTTTCCTTTGTGCGTCCCAGCCTCTAACTCTAAAGTTTCCCTTGTCCATTTTCACCACAAACGCAAAGAGGTAATCTCTTATTCCGAGGCTTGGTTTGTCAAGGTTGTTTCTACTCTCTTTGTTCGTTCTCAGTCCCTAAACACTTTCTTTGGTTATCTCAGCAAGAAATTGACTCCTTCAATTTCATTTGAGGTCATTAAACGGCTAAACAATAATCCAAACTTGGGTTTGAAGTTTTTTGAATTGAGTAGGGCCAATTTGAGTGTTAACCATAGTTTCAGCACTTATAATCTGCTCATCAGGTCCTTATGTCAAATGGGATTTCATGATTCTGCTAAATTTGTGTTTGATTGCATGAGGATTGATGGCCACTCGCCTGATAACTCCACTATAGAGTTTTTAGTTTGTGTTTTTGCGAAAGTGGGTAAGTTGGATAGTTGTGAGAAGTTGCTTGAAGAGATTAGGGCGAGTAAATTTGTTTACAGTAGTTTGTTCAATGTGTTGGTGAAGAATAACAAAGTTTATGAGGCTGTTTGCTTGTTCAGAAAACAAATTGGTTCGCATTTTGTTCCGGATACTTGGACTTTCAACATTCTAATTGGAGGTTTGTGTGGAGTAGGAGAAGTCCATTCGGCTTTCGAATTTTTCAATGATATGGGGAAGTTTCGGTGCTCTCCAGATGTTGTTACTTATAACACACTGATAAGTGGGTTGTGTAGGACTAATGAAGTTGATAGGGGTTGTGATCTCCTCAGGGAAGTTCAGTTGAGAGGTGATTTTTCACCCAATGTAAGGACTTTTACGTCGGTCATATTGGGTTATTGCAAGTTGGGTCGGATGGAGGAGGCCTCCGCCCTTTTTGATGAGATGATGGATTCTGGAACTAGACCAACTACAGTCACTTTTAATGTTCTCATTGATGCATTCAGTAAGGTCGGTGACATGGCTTCGGCAATTGCCTTGTATGAGAAGATGCTATTTCACGGATATCGTCCGGATGTTGTCACTTTCACTTCTTTAATAGATGGCTATTGTAGGGTTGGGCAGCTGAACCGGGGTTTAAAGCTTTGGTGCGAGATGAGTGTAAGAAATGTGTCTCCAAATGGCTATACTTACTCTGTTGTTATCCACGCTCTATGCAAGGTTAATAGGCTACATGAGGCTCGTGATTTGCTGAGGCAATTAAATTGTACTAACATTGTTCCGAAACCTTTTATGTACAATCCTGTAATTGATGGATTTTGCAAGGCAGGAAATGTTGATGAGGCAAACATGATTGTGGCAGAGATGGAAGAGAAGAGATGTAACCCCGACAAAATGACGTTTACCATTCTTATACTTGGGAATTGTATGAAAGGGAGAATGGTAGATGCAATTGGTGTCTTCTACAAGATGTTGGCTGTTGGTTGTGCTCCGGATAAGATAACTGTACATTGTCTGATGTCTTGTCTTTTGAAGGCTGGGATGCCTAATGAAGCGTTTCACATTAAAGAAACTGTAATGAAGTCTCTAAATGTTGGTATGTCAAGCTTAAGAAGTAATCATATGAGAGCAATTGCTGAGATACCAATGGCTGTATAGTTGGTTGGCTACCACAATGTGCACCTCATAATGTTGGTCCCTTCAGTTAGACAAGACCCTTCAAAACTTGTACCGAGCAAGAAAAGGATGCATTTTATGTGAGTTGGAACATCGCGATAACCTAATTATATTTTTTGAACTACTTACAATACAACTTTCATCCATTGATTTCTTAAATTTGTATTTCTAGTGACTTATCACAAGGAAAAAAGAGATTTGTTATGTTCTTGTTTATGGAAACTCTATGTAGCATCAGCAATTCTATGTGCCTATAGGTGTCATTTTATGATGCGCTGAATTCATGCATCAACTAATGTACCACTATTTTTTAGAACACCAGTGTTCATGAAAAATATTATGAAGTACCTTAAAATATCATGTAAGATCCAGCTTGTGGCCTCAGAACCTAATGCTAAGTATATATTGCTTGGACTTGTTAATATACTTCCATTTGGTTATTCATGACAAATGTGTTCAGGTGAGACTCAAAAAGAAGATTATTGGTTTATTAGATTCGGAAAAGAATTATTAACTTTATTGGTTTCATTTGGTTTCCAAGAATTATTAACTTTATTGGTTTCATTTGGTTTCCAGTAATACACATTACAAGGCATCTTGTGGTGGGTTTGAACCTTAAATATTTAATCCATAATTGCACCTGAAATGTTGAAACTTAATGAAAAACATCATAATGGAGATTCTTCAAGAGCAGGAAGCCGCGCATGTTTTGGCACCAATTCTAATTTCAACAATTCAAAAAATATGCTAAAATTAGTGGGTGACTTACGGTTTAAACTCTCTATCTGTCTGAAGCATTATTGTTCTATACATTATTTAATGTTCGATTTTCAGGTCTAATATATGTGATGTATATAATTTGGGGCCTTGTTCGGCTCGGGGGCCTTAGGCACTCGCCCTTGAGCCGGCATTGAATTTTTCCCCTAGATTGCCTGCGAAATTCTGAGTCATACTTTCTCGTAGTGTTTGGATCCTTGTTACCATAGAATGACAACTCTTGGAGGTACGAGGTTGTTTACTAGACGGATGTGATTTTCAAGCACTCTAATGCATGGCAGTGGAAATGTGGAATCGATTACCACCATTATATTGGACGGAATGAGTTAAAATTTGGATATCCTATTTACTAAAATGAAAGGCATTGTTGGTTGATCACTTTGGTTGCTCCCACATGGTTTTGGGATTAATTTCTTTGACAAACTACCTGTCCATATAACATTATCATATTAACTTATAAGAGTGGGTTGGCTAGAAAGCAAACCACTATGTGCAATATGTTTAGAAGTTGTGCTGTAATGTTATTCTCTAATGGTTGTAGAAATTCTGACTCATTTATATATTACAATGTAATTAGATTTATGCCTCAACTTAGTTAAGTGTTAAAATTTGTGTTGTGCTGAATGTCAATAAAAATTAACTAACAAAAAAAGTAAATGCTAAATTTCATAATTACAGATAAAAAAACTCCTCAACCGTTTTTTCAATTAAAGAATTATTGAGAAAAGGTATACAAAATAGAAGAGAGAAAAAGAAAGTTGGGGAGTGGAGGATACCAACCCATATCGCCCACCTTTAAATCAGATCCATTCTGTCCCCAACCACGACCAACGACAAGCCTACTCTAAAGAAAATAGGATTAACAAATTAATCTAAGTTATATCAACATTTTTGTCAAGTAATAGATGAGAAGAAGGAAAATAAAACCAATGGTTTTATATCAGCCCGCTTAACACGTGAATTCAACATCAATAACACATTTGACTATAGATGTGTATTTGTGTTATGTGCTTAAGATATTTTATGTACTCAAATATTTGGATATGATTATGTTTGATTATAATTTGAAACTTGGTATAATGATTTATATTTTGTATTTTAATATTTTTATGCTTTTTTTAATTGTTTTGGAGATTTCGAGAATTTGTATTCTTGTTATCAGATGCTTGCTTGATTTGGCTATAATTAATATTTAATATTCAATTCATAATAGTTATAGCAAAAACAACCATTCTAGTTAGTTACATCATATTTATTTTAGTCATGTCATTATGACCCGTTTAATAAATATATTTTCATATCATGTCATGTTGTTTATGTAATAAATACTTTTTGTTCATATTTAGGTTCTAACATATTTAAATAAACGTGTCGATTCGTATCCATATTAATCATAATCTTATCGTTATATAATCATGTGACTTGAGCATGATAAGTCAACATAAATTACTTTGCCCATCTGAATTAGGAATTAGGATATATTATGAAATCAAATTTTTTCAGGGTATCAATACTTTTTTTTCTTTTAAGAAAATTAGTCCTTTATTATTATTATTATTATTGCTTTAACCTTTTCTTTTTTTCGTTTTTTGCTTTAACCTTTTTTTTTTTTTTTGGATAAATATCGTCTTGTTCACTTGAAAAACGCTAACGAAGTAAATATTCGTTTTTCCAGATCAAAAAACGTAAATATTCGTTTCTCTATATTAACCAGACGGTGATATAGCTGCAAACGCACAACCCTAACGAAGTAAAGTAACCTTAGAGCTTATCTTCATTCTCTGTCTTCTCTTCGATAAGAGCCTCTGTTGAAATCACATCCAAATTGAAGCTGAAAATCCTCCAATTCTTCGATTCATACCCCATTTGTTATCAACCATTTTCTTCAATTCCATCAACGGCACATATCGGCAATCGTTTTCACCGTCAAATCGCGTGTTTTTTGCGAGTTTCAGAATCCGGTTTCAATCTTTCCTCAATCTCCATGGAGACTAAGGACTCAAGTTCAAAACCCAGATCGATATCTGGGAGACCCACCAGAAAATCCGGTCCTCCACAGACAAGAATCGTGATCGAGAACATCTATGAGAGCAAAGCCGAGCCCAACGATAGCGCGGCGGTTCAGATGAGCCTTTTGTTCTTCACGACGACTCGTCCCTTGTGGGTCCGAGTCTCAAGGATCGCCATTGCCCATTTCAACAGCCTAGCTCACGGTGGGTCCCGCGCCCGTCCCTTCCACGATAGAGAGATACTCTCGAATTCCGAGGCTTGGTTTGTGAAGGTCGTTTGTACTCTCTTTGTTCGTTCTCATTCCTTGGATTGTTTTAGTAACAACTTGAACCCTTCGACTGCGTTTGAGGTCATTAGACGGTTGAACAGTCCCACTTTGGGTTTGAAGTTCTTTGCGCTGAGTAGGGTCAATTTGAACGTCAATCATACTTTGAGCAGTTACAATTATCTCATGAGGTCGCTCTGTCAAATGGGTCTCCATGATTCGGCGAAATTCGTGTTTGACTGCTTCAAGAGTGATGGCCATTTGCCCGATAGCTCGATTGTAGAGTTTTTGCTTTGTTCACATGCACAGGTGGGAAGGTTAGACCTTGTAGAAAAACTGCTCGACGAGCTTCGGCGTGATGGGATCATAGTGAGTTCGATCGTTTACAATAATTTGTTGAATGTGTTGGTCAAGCAGAATAAAGTTTGTGAGGCTGTTTGCTTGTTTAGAAAACATATGAATTCGCGTTTTCGTCCGAGTACTTGGACTTTCAACATTCTCATTCAAGGTTTGTGCGGAATAAGGGATGTCTATACGGCTTTTGAATTTCTCAATGAGATGGGTAAGTTGGGGTGTTCCCCGGACATTGTTACGTACAACACACTGATAAGTGGGTTGTGCAAGACTAATGATGTTGATAGAGGTTGCAATTTATTGAGGGAATTACAGTCAAGAAGTGAGCTTTCACCAGATGCTGTAACCTTTACGTCGGTTATATCTGGTTATTGCAAGTTGGGTAGGATGTCGGAGGCCTCTTCCCTCTTTGCTGAGATGATAAATTCTGGAATCAAACCTGCTGCAGCCACATTTAATGCTCTCATTGATGGACATGCTAAGGCTGGTGATATGGCTTCCGCAGTTTGTTTGTTTAGAAGAAATATGACTCTGCATTTTCAACCGGATACTTGGACTTTCAACATTCTAATTCGAGGTCTGTGTGGAGTAGGAAAAGTCCATACAGCTTTTGAGTTTTTTAAGGATATGGGGAAGTTCGGTTGTTCTCCAGATGTTATCACATATAACACGCTAATAAGTGGCTTGTGTAGGAATAATGAGGTTGATAGAGGCTTTGATTTACTAAGGGAAGTTCAGTCCAAAAGTAAACTGTCACCCGATGTTGTAACTTTTACATCGGTTATATCTGGTTATTGTAAGTTGGGTCAGATGAAGGAGGCCTCTTTCCTTTTTGATGAGATGATAAATTTTGGAATTAAACCAAATACATTCACTTTTAATGCTCTTATTGATGGATTCGGCAAGGCCGGTGACATGGCTTCAGCGATTACCTTCTTTGCTAAGATGCTCTTTCATGGTTATCATCCTGATGTTGTCAGCTTCACTTCTCTAATTGATGGCTATTGTCGCGTTGGGAATCTGAACCAGGGTCTGAAGCTTTGGCGTGAGATGAATGAAAGAAGTGTACGTCCAAATGGTTATACTTTCTCTGTTCTTATCCATGCGCTGTGCAGGAATAATAGACTACACGAAGCTCGTGATTTTCTGAAGCAGTTAAGTTGTACTAACATTATTCCAGAACCTTTTATATATAACCCTATAGTTGATGGATTTTGCAAGGCGGGAAATGTTGATGAGGCAAACATGATTGTGGCAGGGATGGAGGGAAAGGGATGCAAACCGGACAAAGTGACATTTACCATTCTTATAATTGGGAATTGTATGAAAGGGAGAATGTTAGAGGCAATCGGTGTTTTTAACAAGATGAAGGCAGTTGGTTGTGCGCCGGAGAGCAGAACTGCCAATTGTTTGATATCTTGTCTCTTGAAGGCTGGGATGCCTAATGAAGCATTTTCCATTAAGAAAAGTGCAATCGAGGATCTAAATTTGGGTACTGTATGTTTGAGAAGTGACCATTTAAGTACAAATGCTGGTATTCCGATGGCTGTGTAATTATTTGAATGGCTGTGCAAAAGAACACCGGTTGATCCTGTCTCACCAAGTGCAAAGCGTCCGTTTGGTGGCAGTCAAGAACCAGTAAGTACCTTTTGAATGGTTATTTTTTATGACCTAATTATATTTCTTTCACTACTACAAAAGTTTCTGCTTTCTTGCATGCTAATTGCTCTTCTCAATCAGTAAGTGTCGTGGTATTCGTTCTATGATGAGTTGGATTCATGCATCATCAGACTCACAAGTTGATTGTTTTACTATTGTTTTACTACATGCAAGGATTTTGAATGTTTTTGTTCCAAAACTATTGCATGGTTTATGCTCGAAAATGTCCTGTAAGATTCAACTTGTGGTGCTAGAACATAATGCGTTAGTTACATTCCTTGGAATTGTTAATCTTCCTTTATGTATAGTTCATGTAGAACACTTTAAGGCTGTACCGGTACACTACATTAAATAACCACGGATCTAAAATGAATTCTTGGTCACTGGAGTTGGAGAGGAATTATATGTGGCTACATATAACTCATTTACTTGCCGATAATACAAATTATAATGTTGGTTTAAATAGATCAGTGTCACTTCGTATTTGGACTTCTCAACAAAACTTCATAATGAGGATTCACTATTCAGTATGCTGACCATGAAGCCAAGCAACATCAATAATTCAAAAAATATGCTGGTATTTGTGGGTGATAAATGCCTTAAAACAGTTGACTCCTTATTTGGAGGATCAATGTTCAATTATGTTCTTTATTACGCGCTGATGTATTAATACATTATCAATGTTCAATTATATTCTTTATTACGCGCTTGATGTATTAATGCATTCTTTTTTTTTTCCCCGGACTGCAGGATGAAATTAATAATACTTTCAGTAGTGTGCGTCTGGATTCTTGTTACCATAGAGGCGTGTGGCAGACTTCATCTTGGAGTTGATATGACAAAGTTCATTAGGCTTCGTTCAGTTCACTGATTTGAGTATAACTCGAGTTGAAATGTGACTTGTGAGAGTTTTTAACTGTAATAAAAAAGTTAAATGTGACTTTTTGTGAGAGTTTTTAACTGTAGTAAAATTAGAATTAAAAACTCAAATGGGTGAAATGAACGATTAGAGAAGTATGAGATTCTGTGCCCCTGACAAACGGGTGAGATTTCCAACAGCCTTCGGTGAAATACAGAGGTCCCGTTCATTTCACCGATTCGAGTTTAGAATTCGAGTTTTGCTACAGTAAAAAGCTCTCGAAAACAGTCACATCTAAATTTTTTGCTACAGTAAATAGTTCTCACATAAAATTACATCTCAACTCGAATTAAAAATTCGAATTAACGAACTAAATGAGCCCAGATTTTAAATTTTATAATGTCTAGTAGATCGCCATAGCCGTCCATCTTGCTTTGCGGTGGTTTGGGGGGTATTGTCGTTTAGGAATTGATTACCTGGGCATTTGATTTTTGACTGAGTTAAAATTTTGACTTAGTAGATTCCCAATGTGCTGTTACGAGATGCAGCGCTTGTATTGGGGGTTGAGGAAAAATATTAGGCCGGTAACAATTTTGTTTTACAGCTTTTTACTGAGATGCAATGAATTAAATCATTTATTGTTAATGTAGTTTTTAGTATTCATGTTGTTTACTTTCATCTTCTCCAAAAGTCCAAATATAAAAATAATGCTCTTAACTTGCAGTATCGCCTTTTATGTCTCTAGTAGCTGGAACATATGTTTTGAAAAAGGGGCGAATAAGCTTCCATTGGGACGACACCCAATCCAAGGTTTATCACCCAATCACGTCTCATCACTTTTTAATGGGATGTTTAATAAGAGAATTTGTGTCATTTCGTAACTCGTTATAATATTTTTTTTCATAATAAATACACATAAATAAAAAATAATTATAATTTTAAATTTATAAACCAAACATCTACAATATTTTATACGGATTTATTGCGTTTGATTTTTCTTCGAGCGTTGAAGATGGGGTGTTAGTCATCACATGGGTTTTTATGAGATGAAGAATTACCAAATATTAATGCGTTTATTTATTTATTTGGCTAAGAGTGCGTTCATTTGCTTATTTAGGTAGGCATCAACATCTATAAATAATTTACAAAAAAGAGGTCTTTGCTTTGCTTTAAATTACATGACAATGACCATAATAGTGACTGTCTTGTTATCTTATTGTGTACCCCAAGACTAAAATTATTGACCATGACCCTTTAAATACTAGACTGCGATATTCTCAGGCTGAGACAAGCCAAAGCCCGTGTAACAAATCGCCCACCAGGGCCCACCATTACTTCTAAATCGCTCTCACTCACATGGCGACGATAGGGTATGACGCACAAGTTGCAACACCTGTCCATCAAAGTCATCAAGTAGGAGTATTAAATTCAGCAGTTGGGTATGAGCATGATCAATCCGAATCAAAATTGGACTTTTTATCAGCTTTACGCACAAGAAACTAAGGCAAAATATCTTTGGAATCTTGCATAAATGTGGAGTTAAAATCATTCCTTTTCATCAATTTGGCACATATGGTTATCTCAAACAGTGCCTAGAAAACTCACCGCACATATTCTTTCCAAGTTCCATCTTGAAGTAGCCGTTATCGCCCCACTCTGCTCCCCAGGAGTTCTTGATGAGCCAGTATGGGATGCCATTTTCGACTCCATACCCGACTGCCACCACAGCATGGTTCACGTCCTGCAATATATTGAGCTTGTCAGTATGATGGCATGTTGAGATTTACAGGAATTTATTTCCAAGCCACTGAGTTTTGGATTATCAACAGAGAGACAATATCTCTGTGTGAATCTTGAATACCAAACGTGGAGATGAGGAATTCTTAAAATATACACCATTCCCATCTCTTGAAATCCAACACTAGCAAAAATTCAGGGCAGTTGTAACATTTTTGTTTAGAACATAGTAGTGTACTGATTGCCCTATCACTACCCTCACTTAAAAGAGTTAATATATATATATACACACACACACACACACACACACACACACACACACAAAACTCACCTGGGAAGTGCTTCCACATGTGACGCTTGTGAATACTCCTTCCTTGTATAAACGGAATGGATTTACTACTTCAAATGCCACGCTCACTGGCCGAACGAGTCCTACTGCATGCTTTAATTCGTCTTCAGCACCCTGCAAATTTATATGTCCACAGGTATTACAAATCTATAGAGGACATCTTCATCAGAGAGAACAAAACGAAGAAATAGTTAGAAAGGCCTTACCAAGGTGATATTGACAGAATTTGCAATTTGGACAGCAACATTTTCTGGTTTGAACTTGCAAAGACCATTTACTCCAGCGTAAGGATAAGCTTCCTCGGTGTCAAGGCCACCGTTGTACTTGATATATTCGAAGGCCTGCGATGGCAATCCACCATTGCATCCAAAGTTGTTGAAAGCTCCAGCGCAGTCCACGAGCTGCTGCTCGGAGAGAGAGATATGCTTGCCGAATGCCTGTTTGTAAGCTGCTTCAAGAGCTCCAGTGGTACTGCAGAAGAGAGACGTCAAGTTCAAAAGCATGAAAATCGACAAGCCGATTTTCCTTTAATACATTGACTTTTTGGAATCTTAGTTCAAGCTGACCTGAATGTCCAGCATGATCCACAGCTGCCTTGATCTTTAACAGGGCTGACTATGCCTTCTTCTCTCCAGTCTTTCTGCAAGTAAAATAGAAATCATCTAGTTTATTTGTCGTAATCACAAAACAATTCATGTATGAAATTATTATCAACATACAACAATAAACGGGTAAATACTGCCACAGTTCAAAGCCTACAATGATTGTTTTGCAGTTATTATAGCCTGGACGTGTATTTTGTTAATTGCGTGATTGAATTAATTCATCCAAGTTAAATACTAAAATCAATACTCAAAACAAGTGTGCTAAAAACAGAACAACATGACAACGGTATTACCGTCACAGGAAGAGCAGCATCAGTGAGCTTGTGGTTGCCCTTTGTGGTGGCAGAACAGTTTTGAGCAGCTCCCAACCTGTGTTTTTTGAACTCTTCCCATGTCCAGTCCGCAAAACCTTGATAACAAAAGCAACACAGTGACCAAACCCAAAAAAATCAATAACTAAATGATCTACATATTAAGGTTAGTTCCTTTCAAAGAACTTCATCCTCGCATGGGGAATTTATCTTACCATCTATGTTGTCTTATTCATGGATTGTCTTGGGGAATAGGGATGTTCAAAAAAAAAATCAAGTAAATGAAGAGACCGACAAATCCAAAGCAAATCCACCAAACTATTAATACTTTTAGGTTATTGATCAGGTTTTATCACTATTTTTTTTTTAATCCGTTGGTGTTTTGAAACCGACCAAAAAAACCAACGAAAGTTACATATATGCAATTTTCATATTTTTAAATAACTTTTTTTTTTCTATTAGTTATTCTAGTAAGTTTTGAAATAGTAAAGTGAACTATAACACTAAATAATTTTGGATATTATCTTTATTCATGGAAAAATTTATAATAACTAGAACTTAGATGTAATAATTTAGAGTTAAATAACAAAACCTTAAAACTCATATGAAAAAGTTTGCAATCTTTGTCAAATATCAAAACTTTCAAACCAACCAATGACACACTTTTGTCCGTCAGGCCTCTAAATAAAAAATAAAAATGGCAGACCAGTTTTAAAATAGAGACTTCAGGCGGTCAGATCGCAACTCATAAGACAAAGCCGACGGCTTGTAAAATCTCATGAAATTCTACATATAATCTTCAAAGAAGAAGAAGCAAAAATAATAAAAAATAATAAAAAATAAAAACTTACGATTGACACCAAGAGTGTAAGGCAATCCCTTCCTGTTAGTGGACCTGATCAACTTCAGACTCTCGGAGAATATCCCGAATCGGAGCTTCATCTCCTCCACAGTCTCGTACTTCTTCCCATACCTTTCCGATAAAAATAAAAAATAAATAAATAAAAAACAAGGATCAGTCCAAAAATTCTAACGATCTGAAAACTGAAAGCTGAAAACTGAGAAGACAGTACTTGGTGGCGAATCGAGCGAAGCGGAGGGCATGGCGGGTGTTGCCGACGACTTGGAGGACATGGGACTCGAATTCGCGGAGGCCGTCGGATACCATTTGGATCGGATTCGACTCGTCGAAGCTCGATCCGGCGGCGACGGCGGCGATCACCAGAAGGATGAGTGCGGAGGAGAAGAAGGTGAGACGGGCCATGTTGTTGTGTGTGTCTCTCTCTCCAAGAACTGGGGAAGAACTGAGCAGAAGAGAGAAGGGAAATGAAAAGATTGATTGGGTTTGATTGGTACTTATCTTGGGGGATGAACGTTTGAGCATGAGATTCCAAAATGGTGAGTTATTACGATGCCAAGTCAGCGGTAGTGATGGGCTATTATTTTCTGTTTTATTACGTAAATATTTTTAAGACTTATTTAATTTGAGTTAAAATATAATTTTATATGAAAATTTTTTATTATAATAAAATTAAAATTTTAATATTAAATTGATAAAATAAATGAGACTTTAATTTATTAAAAACTTACCAACCCTTTATTTTAAATGTTTACAGAATTGTACTTTTGAATTTTGATTATGTTCCTCTAATGGACCAATAAAATTGATTTTGACCCTTGAAGTTATAAATTTAACATTTGCAGCTCATAAATGACCTTATGTTAAAAAAAATGAATCACGAGTAATGTTAGAAAAATGAAAAAATTATATTTTCAAACTAAGTTATAAGGTGTAATTTGTTTGTCAGTACTTTTGTTGTTGTATGTTTATTCGTAAGTTAGAAAGGGTAAATTCATTTATTTTGAGGTCAAAATTAATTATTGATCTAAAAAGATACAAATTTGATGTGGTTTTGTAATTCAGAGTATAAATTTTGAGAACATCCAAAATACAAGGTCACGTCACGTCTTTGATAAACTCAAAAATTAGGTATAAAATTGTGTAAATATTCCTTGTGTGGTATTTTACAATCACTGTCACGTGCTTTGTTTTCTAGGATTTTTTTTTATACGTTTTGTTGCTGTGACGTACGGGATGACTTCAAACGATGTTTTCTTTTCTTTCTTTCTTTTTTTTTTTTTTTTTTTTTTTTTTTTTAAAATTTTTTTTTTCTTTCTAAAAGCTTGTTTGTTTGGTAGGGGTTGAATATGGAAGGGGAGTCACACGATCATTAAAACCCGTTTGTTTTATAATTTGAATTGTAATTTAAATTTTTTATTATAATATTTTTTTATAAAAATTTAAATTTTATTGTTTTATTATAATTTTTTTAACTTAAATTCTCAACTCAAACCTATAAAATAAACGGTTATAAAGATTTAAGACTGAATGATTTCTTTTCTTTTCTTTTCTTTCTTAGAAATGGAGTAAAGGAGTTCCATATTCTTGATTTTTTATTTATTTATTTCACTTAGATCATGTCAAGTGAAAATTACAATATCAATACTATGTTTATCATTAAAAAGTAAAATAACTCTTATTTGATACACCTTTTGGATGTCGCCTACTCGCACCTTCCATTTTACTTTTTATACACCAATTTTTAATAAAGTTTCTTATTACTAAAGTACTCTGATAACTCTATGAAATAGAGTTATTTTACTTTTAATTTTGTACAAAATCCGACTTAATTCTTGTGATTTTAATTTACTGTTACGTGTTTTTATTTAAGTTTTAAATTATTATGTTTTATTCTAGTTTTAATAAACTTGGTGTGTGTTTTTTTTAAATATTTTTCATTTATTTTTGTATATTTTATTTTATCTAAGTAGTATTTGAAATTTAGAACAACACGGTATAAAAATTGATAAATTTGGACCACATTTGGTATTTCAAATACTATAAGATTCGGTTATAATATATTTTTATATTAATTTTATTTTTATTTTCAAACTTGAAATCAAGTTGTTGAATCAAGCACTAAACGCGGTCTAGATGCACACGAGCAACCCAAATTCGGCAGAAGCACCTTGCTCAGATTACGGGCTCCACCACGACAACGCACTCCAATCGCACCTGCTCTACGCCAGCCGCTCATCTAATTTAACAATTAAAAACTGATCATATCGATAGACTGACCTATCAGAAAAAGCCCCCTTTTTTAAATAATAAAAGAAAGAGGAGAGGTTAGTTTAGGAAAAAATAATAATAATAATCGTAGAAGTATATTAAAAGCGTTGAACGGTGTTTCTGTTTCGTCTTCCAAGAACACGTTATTGGGACGGAACATTTTGTGTCATTTTTTTCTTTTTTCTTTTAACGTTCTTTTTTTTCTTTTTATTTTTTGACATTCATTTTTTTTATAGCTTTTTTAGTCCTTCATTTTTATCCACCCTTCGTCATTTTTCTCCACTATAAATTCTTTTTCTTTCTTTCTAATGTGATCCTCGTAAATATTTTCCTTTTTCAAATTGTCACTTTAAATAATTTCTTCTCATATATTTCTCAACCTAAATTTTTTTGGGTGAAATCATCTTGAATATATTTTTTATATGCACCTAAATAAATTATCTTTAACATATATATATATAATTCTTTTTCAACGGATCTCCCCTTTTTTGCCTTTTGTTTTTATTTTTAGTCCTTCACATTTTTTGGTCCATCTTTTCCCTCCTCACTTTTCTGATACTTTTCTTTTTTGTTTTTTTTTTCCCTAATCTATTCTTGTTAAAATAAATTTTCTCAAATATGCAATCACAAAAACATTTTTTCTTGTAGTCATTTTTTTCCCCCAAAAGTAGCTCTCATAGTTGTTTCCTCCTAATTACTCTCAGATAAATTTTTTTTTTTTTCCAGATGTATTCCTGCCTAATATTGTTATCGGACAACCTTCTCAAATACTTTTTTTTATATGTACTCCACGAATTTGACTATCTAATTTTTTTTATTTTTTCTTTTATATGTGCTCTACTATTTTTTTTTTTTCCTTTTTTACTAAACTCAACTATTAGGAGAGTAATGAATTAGTATAACTAAATGTTATGAGCAAAAAAAAAAAAAAAAAACGACTGCTAAGAAAACCAACACATAACACCAACCTGTGCGCTTCAATACGAAGCAAACCAAGTGATGAACGACGATGGCTGAAAAAAAAAAAATGACTGCTCTCCCCAACGACCAAAGTTTCACAAAGAACAGAAGTTAGCAATGAAAAAAATGGTGGAAAAAGGGCGAACACACAAAAGAATTCAAAAATAAAAGAAGAGGGAGAACAATAACAGTGAAAAAAAAAAAAAACAAATCAGCATAAAATCATAATGATTGATTAAAAAAATCAATTAAAGTAAAAAGGGATAGAAAATATCTAAATTATAATCAGGCTCAAAAAAGATAACAATTAACCATGTAATTGATAAACCACATGCTTAAAATACTCAATATGGGCAAAAATCGGGAAAAAAAAATTCTCCTTATAAAAATCGAATCTACATTTTTGTAATATTGTACAATAGTTAATATTTTTGAAAATACGGCTTCCATGGTCATTTTATGTAATTACTTCAAGAATGTAAGTATGCATGTGTGGCCCTATTAAGATAACTTCTTTTAAATGTGTCCCTGTTTATTTTACAATTTCATTTCTTTATTCTTCTTTGATTTTTTTTTTTTTCACTCACTTGCTCCTATTAAATTCTGTTGTTTGGTTTTCTCAATTGGCACACTACAACATTTTTTTCCCCCTGAAATGTGTCTTTTCTTAAAGATTTTTGGTGTCATCCTTTCAACTTTTTTATTTTTATTTTTATAAATGCATTCTCTCTAGTTTGTTTCTATTGGAGTTATTTCGAAATGCACCTTTTGTATTTTACTCATATTAACATAACTTTTATCATATGTGTCCGTGCTTAATTTTTGGGGTTTTTTTTTTTCATTTTTCTAAAAAATTCTCTATATTGTAATATTTTTTTATTCACTTTTTCAACCACATGTTCCTTGGAATATAATATTTCAAATGAGTCCCTATTTAATCTTTTTCCTGTATAATTTGTATTATATTAATAGTTATTCTAATAAAGATCTCTATTATTAAAAAAAAAAAAGTAAGAACACAATAATCAAAACTAAATACTTGGATCAACTTACAAAATTACCCCACGTGCATAGCACATGGGCTTCAACTAGTAATAAAGTAAAGCGTTATAGACTAAGTATGAATTGAACAAAAATATGAGGTTTTGTTTGGATTTTTTTTTTTAGATTACTATGATAATATTTCTTGTTTATATAATTATCACTATAATCATAGTTGTTCTCATCGATTAACTCACTAAAGCAAAAGATAAGAACTTTTATTACACATAAACTTCAATCCAAAGTTTAATATTTTGTACCTTATCAAATCAGATAATGCATAAGACCAATATCAAATAAAAAGGAAAGAAATAAAAGAAACTTTCTACCAGAGAAATGCGGGCAATGACTTTCAAAAAAATGAAACTTGGAAAATTATATATTTATCTCCCCGTTTGATATGCGATTTATGCCTACACAAACTAAAAAATATCTTTGCCAGAGGAAAACTATTGAGATTCTGATGCGTGTAGTAGTTCAAAAGAAATGAGCGAAAGGTAAGACTTTTCAAATTATGATAATGATTGATACCAAAAAAATATCTTTTCCAGAGGAAAGGTTTTGAGATACTGATGGGTGTAGTCCAAAAAATAATAAGGGATAGGCTTAAGTCCTTCACATGGACTAGAATTTCGTCCACATGCAAAGCCTTGTTCATCATGCGTGGTAGGAAGTGAGAGTAGCAAGTGGAAAAAGGCCTTTATGGATGTTAAAAATTCTTAGAAGGGAAAAAATTATAAGTTGATGTTTGGTTCATAAATTCAGAACTATGATTCAGAATCATTTTCGTTTTACGTGTATTTTTTATGAGAGAAAAATACTATAAAGAATTATAAATCATGATTCAGAATCAGTGACGAATACAGAAAATAAACATTTGTAAAATATAGAGATTTATACGATAAGTTTATCGCTGTAAGAGAACAAAGAGCACTACCGGTTTATTAAGAAGGAAAAAAATTAGAAATTATGCCCTTTAAGGTGGTCCATAGTATAAGGTGGGTATTCTCACAATACAAAAGCGCTAGACAAGCGCTAGACCTAGTGACGAAGGCAGAAAAATTTCAGGAAAGCTTTAATTGAACTTAAATTTTAAACTAAATTAATTATGCAATAGATTATTTTTTAGAATTAAAAATTAGGAGCGTAAATGAACAAATTTCAAATATTCTACCTAAAATATAAAGTTAGTACATTTTAAAGGAGTACAATAAT